AAATTACCATGGCAGTGTCAAAATTATCATAGTTAATCAAGTATATCGTCACAAGACGCCATCGAAATCAATTTCAACGGTCGAAACTCATTTAGGATCAAGTCCCTGTTTCTGACAAACCGGAGTTATAAGATCGATGCCTCGAGATCGCTTTTTAAAAAAGTTTATTTTCGAAAATATAAAAACTCAAAAATGTATTTTTACAAAATTATTACAATGTTATTATGATGTTAACAGTACAAAGGCTTAAATCTGACTGACTGTAAAATATGTTGAGAACAATAATGTAAACTCTAGGTCTTCTAGGAAAATAGTAGCATCGTCGGCAGTATTCCTGGCATATCAGCAGGAACGGCTGATATAACTCCTGTGTCTTTTTGATGCCATTGCGATATATGGCAGATTATACTACAAGCCGTTGAAATTGTTTTCAGTGAATCTATCGTATAGAACCGACTGAATTGTTCTGGGTCATGTTGACTTTCGGTTATAGCCAATAAGGAACTTTTGAGTACTAGAGACCCTCAGATACAGTCACCCAAACAAATTACTGACATGGTATCGCCTAGTTACCAGCTAAACTGATCAGGTCTACTGTCATTGACCGTTCCGGATTATCAGAAATTCACTGTTTGAGAAAATCGTTTCTTAGCATTTGTGAATTGTGACTTATTCATAAAAAACTCGTGTCCAATTTACATTATCTCTGTGAGAAACATCGCTACCTGCATATTTATGCAAAACGTTCATTATGACTTTACCTGGGGCATGAACCGCAGCTACTGGAACCATATCGTTAAAAACAAAAGTCAACCCAGGCCAAAATGCCCAATAACATTTTCTGATAAGCGTGCATCAATGTCACATTTGGACTTCAATCTTCACCAAACAACTGCCGTCGTAGATCGATTCCAATAAGCTGCAATCCTCATATACTAGTTGTGTCGTAACTAATTTCCGTTTTTTTTTCGCTAAAGAAAACATGCTACTTACAATCAGTGGCGGCTCGTGAGGTAGTGCCACGGTGCCATGGCACTACCTTGTCTTCTTCAAAAAGAATATTTTTTTCAATCTTCAATGTTTTACTTTATTTTTTGCTTTTTCATTTTTTTTTGGTATAAATTATATGAAGTGACAACACTGACAACGTGACAACACCGCAAGCACCCGAACCACGCGACGAGATATAAAGCATGCCTTGACCTTGACGTCATCAACTTGTGCCAATGTCGGGCCGGCCCAAATAAAAAGAGAGAAATTTTACCAGCATCGCATACGAGCGACAGAGATAACGCTACAATACACATTTTTATATGAGGTGAATAGCGAAAGACAAGTATAATTTGTGCCAGGCACATCATCAGTCGTAATTCGTTATCAAATGATATCGGCGGTGTTTTTGTTCGGTCGGTCGTTTCGCTATGATTACGTCTAGTGCTGATTTCGGTCTTTTTTTACCTGAAAAGTGAGAAATAACGTTTTTGTTTTAGTACGTCTAGTGTTAATGAACTGCTCTGTTTTGTGATCATATTTTTTACTGTTTTATTAAAACTAGTGAAAATGAATAAAATCGGGATATTAAAAAACTCATTTAGTGGTTTTTCGCTGGATCAAAAACTGCAAATTAAAGAATTAGGACGGCCAATACCCGATTTAAAAATTGAGAAACAAAGTGGTAGCGGACAAAAATCGCGCTGTCGCAAATTTAATAAAAATGTGTACGATAAAAACAGCTGGATATGTGGTTGTGAAGAAACGAATAAACTATTATGTGTTCTATTTGGAGGTGACGAGACTTGGTCAAAAAAAGGTACAGATGATCTTATACATATATGGGATAAAATGAAGACCCACGAAAAATCTAAAGTCCATATGAATAATGTTTTTAGCTTTTCTATTCTTGGTAAATTAAATATAAGGACTCAACTCAATTCGGCTTATCGCAATGATCTAATTAAACATAATAATCAAGTGGATAAGAATCGATATGTATTGAATAAAATTATTAATTGTATAAGGTTTTGTGGAGCATTTGAGTTAGCCTTAAGGGGTCACGATGAAAAGGAAAATTCGGAAAACAGATGCATATTTAAGGAGCTGGTGAATTTTAGCGCCGAATTAGACAACGAATTGAAAGTCCATATTCAAAGTGCCAAACTTTTCAAGGGTACCTCAAAAACAACTCAAAACGAGCTTCTTGAGTGCATGCTAGATGTTTATCATGAAGAAGTTAAGAAGGAGATTGCAAATTCTCCTTTTGTTGCAGTAATTGCCGATGAAACGACTGACGTAGCCTGTGAATTTCAGTTAGTTATTATTTTCAGATATTTGTGTAAAGGACAACCAGTTGAGAGATTTTGGAGATTTTACGTCCCCGACGGACACGATGCCAAATCAATCGCTGCATGCGTTTTAAATGTTGTAAATCCATTAATAGATCAAAATCCAAACAAATTAATAGCTCAAAGCTATGATGGTGCGTCTGTTATGAGTGGTGAATTGAATGGCGTTCAAAAGATTATTAAGGAAACTTATCCACTTGCAAATTATGTTCATTGCTATGCACACCAGTTAAATCTAATTATGACAAGCGCATGCTCTGTCAATAAGCAGGCTAGAATATTTTTCCATAATTTATCTGGATTGTGCTCTTTTTTTTCGACGTCTCCTCAAAGAACAAAAATTTTGTATGAAATAGTTAATCGCAGATTGCCAAGATCTTCCCAAACACGTTGGAATTTTCAGTCACGAGGTGTTCATACAGTTTATGAAAATAGGAAAGACCTGATTGAAGTTATGGACAATATAGAAAGTACTTCACGCGATTCTTCGTCGATTAATCAAGCCAGTGGGTACAAATTAAAGCTGCAAGATACAAATTTTGTATTTTGGCTAAGTATATTCCATAAAATAATGCCACATGTTGAAATTGTCTTTAACCAATTACAAAAAGTATGCACCGATTCTGTTAAGGTCAAAAATGATTTAGAGAATTTTGAAGCAGCAATTCAAACTATACGAGAACAAATGGATAGCATTATTGACGAGATTGAACGAGTGCAGAGAGAAACTGATGAACCGGCAAGAAAAAAAAGGCAAGTTGAAGAAGGCAGCAAAAAACGGGAAGCGTTAGAAATATGCGATGCAGTATTATCGCAAATAAGAACAAGATTTAACTTTTCTGGGCATTTAGTTGCTTCTAATTTATTTGTGTCTGAAAAGTTTTCTGTTTATAAACATCAGTTTCCTGAAGCACATTTAAATGACACATGCACACAATTTTCATTTTTAGACAAAAACAGGCTTAAAACTGAGTTACAAGTATTATATCAGAGAGAAGAATTGAGTACTACTTCTGGAGCTGTTCCACTATCCATTTTATTGAACGAGGAAGGATTAAATTGTACGTTTCAAGAAACTCTTAAGCTCTTAAGTATTTTAATCACTATACCGATGTCAACATCTGAAGCAGAACGCTCTTTTTCAATGCTGAAACGGATTAAAACTTTCCTCAGAAACACAATGAAGGAAGAAAGGCTTAGTGCTTTAGGAATGCTGTCTGCAGAAAAACATTTTGTTAGTGGCATTGAAAATTTTAATAATAAGGTAATCGAAAACTTTGCTACCAAAAAAGAAAGAAGAATGGACTTCATGTATAGAAAACTTTGAAGTTATAGGTACTTCTCCACACTTGTTTTATAATTTGGTGCGCGTGTGTAAATAGTTTTATTTTTGATTTTTTTTTTGGACATATAGATTTATTGAACCTCAAGAACTTTGACCACTAACTATCAGGGGTAAGTTATAAGTTATTCTTTACAATTTTGAATCGATTCAAAATTATGGCTTCCATTCTGGCACTACCTCACTGAATTGGCACGAGCCGCCACTGCTTACAATGGATATTTGAAATTTATTTACCTAAAGTGTTGGAGGTCCATGAAGTTAACCCAGAAAAATCTGGGCTGTTACAAAACGATGTGCCATCATTTTACCATGTTTTACCACCAACAATTTCAGCTTTTCCACCGTTGGCTTAAAAAATTCTGGGCTAAGTTCACGTAGGCTAGTGACAAAAACTAGAAAGTTATTTCCGACTCAAATTAACAAAATTCAAATCTAACGGAATCTATGCGGCAGTGATTAAAAATTGGATGACTTATACTGGGTGTTTCAGAAAATCGTGGCAATATTTCCAGGCTAGGTAGTAAATTTTTTTAAACAACACTACGGTGAAATATATTCTTCCAATATAGTTTTCAATGTCAAATTTTGTTAAATTGATATTTTTAAAGTGGGACGGGTTGATGTTTTCTGGTATACAAACCCAATTTTTCTCCAAAAGTAGTATGACAAACATTTATCAAGAAAAGCGATTCATGCAAAATTTAATACCTTATTCAAAAATGCAATAGCTATTTCAAGAAAGTCATTAGCCTAAATAATAATTTTTCTTCTGTAGGGTTCGAAATTTACAAATTTCTACGCCACTCGTATATTCTCGGCACTAAGATTTTTGCATGTACTGGCTATGATGTCAGTAATACATGTACAAAATTTTTAGTCAATATCTTAATTCACACCGAAAATATGATTTATTTTATTTCGAAACCGTTCATCTCAGCAATGGAGCATTTCAACGCCTATAATTATATGAACTTTCCGTGTTATTTATCGATTTACTTTGTGCACTATAAATATTGTTACGTTTTTCAGCAACACCTTGTAGATCCGTGTAAAGCCGCGGCCGATATTTGAGTGGTGTTATATTCCATACAAAATGGCATATAGTCATTCAAATAAAAAAAAACGTTAATACTTCACTTACTGGAAAGCTTTCTGAATATAAGTGTCATGTTGCCAATGTGGTTTTCAACATTAACAAATTTTTTAATACTTTGTGCTTTGGAAAAGGCTGCCGAAACAAGTGTAAGTCTCTGAGTCATCATCCGTAGTTTCTTCTGTTTCTTAATAACTGGTTTTCAATAAATAAAAACACATTGAAAAGTTCATCTATATTTCTGAAATACATTATCACATCTACGGCAGTACAGTTGATCTCAATGAAAAACGATGGATCAGTCTTTAGCACTTTTAATCAAAAACTTCGCATTAACAATCGCCTTGGCTTTTTTCGACAGTTTCGGTCGTCGTTTCTTTTTCTTCTTGTCTATCACCTTCTCTTCCTCCCCAATGACCAGTGACTTCTTCGAAGACGACAGGGAAGTATTATCAGGTAGGCTCTTTGACTTACGGATGTATACTTTTTCCTGAACACGCCATTCCAGAGCAGCTTGTCTTTTCAAGCTGCAATCAGGAAATTTAAAGCATATTTTCAGAAAAACAGAATTTATTGCGATCTTTTTCTATCTATATTGTAACGCCGTCGTATCACTGGAACTCTCTAAACACTCTCTTACATCGATGCTCACGATGCTGTCATCTACACTACTTCCATGGAAGTTCACGAATCGGACTGGAAAACGCTGGAATTATTCTCGACGCGTCGATAGGGTAATAAATTCCCGACCAGATGGTCGAAACAGGAGGTCACAGTCGAGCCAGTGGACAGCGAACGCAGAATTAAGATGAATATAGTCCAGTCGATATACTTATAAATTTGTTATAAATTAGTTGCAAGTGTTATGAATTCATGCAGCTGGACAGTAAAACGGTGTTTTCTTACAATACTTGTATACATCTAACGGCACTGTTCCTGCCGGTGTGCCTCTCTAGCACGGAGCACGTTTTGCACACAATTTCAGATACGCTCACCTCACTTCAGTTTGCTCATTTTATTGCACGTTGTTTTTACGAAAACTTAGTTTATATGAGATTTTCAGAACAACCTGAGCTAAGTGAGATTTGTCATCATTTACAGCTATTAAGTTTATTGCTTATGTGCAAATTCCACAGAATTTAAACTGTGAGATTTCTTTTTGAACTCTGACAGACTCGTCAGCTCTGTTTGACAGTGTCACTTCAATTGTAAACCAAACGCAACTGTTGAATATAACGAGATACTGTGACAAACTAGATAGGTACGTCTGATAAAAGAGCGATCGCTGGCAGTCGGATTATCTCATCGATATCTCCTGACTATTATACACATCACACACCACCATGTTTTCGAAAATAGAAGCGCTACATGTTGATTGCGTGGTATTCCTTGTATTTCAAGATCTGATAATCTCCATAAATTTATGTTCATTATGCAGTTTGTATTGCAATTTCTCAATAGCTCGGAGACAGGCATTTTTGGTGCAATTTCGATGTCCAACAAAAAATACCTTTTGACAATGGAAAGTGAGTCAATGTTATGTTATCCACGTTATCGTGGAGTCCTTTTAGAGGTCAAAGAAGACCTGATTACTAATAACTATTTGCTGCATATAGGTTGGCCGACCCATGCTCGTTGTACGTTTAGCTTGGTTTAAGAATGTATAAGCAAAACGTATGATTTGCACGACAAGAAAAATACTATCTTGAAACTGAAATCAAACGCATAGTTTAACGTCTTTTTGTATAAAGAAACTATGATATAAGCTGTACTGCTATATGATCTATCGACGCAGATAAGTGTGTTTGAGTATATCCTGCCATACCTTGATTTATCGATAATGATACAGACTATAATGAATTTTTACTTTGCTTTCTGAAATGATTCTATGTAAAACTAACTTGAATTAACATTGGGGAATCTTAAAACGACATTGTTATACCCATTTTGATTTTTCTGTTCCTTTTCCTTTGGTTCCACTTTGATTTTAGAATCTTTCGATGTTTTCTTCTCCGAACACTTTTTAGAAATTACTTTCGCCAACTTCTTCCTGAAATATACGTCAATATGAATATTTCATATGATGTAATGTACCAGGGTTACTAAACAAGTGTCGTTGACGGTAGCTATCGGCTGTAAAAATGATAAGGGACTATAAGTGGGCTTTTCGACCCTGAAGTTGACCGGATCTATGGAATTTTTGCATTTTATCATTTCAGAACATATCTGTTTTTAGCTTTGACCGATACTTGTAGTGGATTTTTCTTCGAAGCTTGCATTTCGGGCTTTGTCCTAAATTCACCCATTTTCGATTATCTAATCTATAACAAAACACACTAAAACCCAAAACATAATTATCAAAATAAATATGCTGTTCCAATGCATTCGCATTAGAAAAGTTGAAATCTCATTACAATAATTGTGTAGTGAGTTGTTTCAACTTTTGTTTTTACTGTGAACGCACACACACTTTTATATTATGTTCTTTGTCTTAGTATGTTTTGATTATGTCGCTGCATTTATTATCTATGAAATTAAATTATTTGATTATGACAAAAGTTCAGCTGCTTGTGTATCCCTCACAGACAGTTCCATGTTTGTAACCCTAATATTATTTTGCCAAAACCTACATTCATACTACTGACACAATGATTTTGCATAATTATGAGATTGGTAAACTGCAGAGTTGATAAATAATTTTATTTATTTATTTAACCAAACGGTAAGACGCTTGTTACAAATACAAAACGTTTTTGATCCAAAGAATTACACTATCATGTTCTTAACACATATGAACAGGTTCCAGATATACTGTAATACAAGTACTTAGTATAGAACATACTATTTGCGGTTTGGCTGGAAATGGTTTGAAAGTCAAAAATATACTCTTTGAAATCCTGAAGTATCTTCGATCAGGAGAAGTGAGATTAGCAGGGTCAAATCAAACAGACAATAAGACAATGTGTCAGCTGTATGAGAGTTCACACAATAGAACTTACTTTTGAAGTGAAGTCGACTTACTGGAGGATAAAAGAAAACTCTCAGTACCCCAAGAGATGGGTATGTCACCGTTCCCTGTCCCAAACCACAACTTATTCTTTAGAGTATACAGCTTCGCCTGAACCTCAGCCAGCTGAGCAGTTATTTGACATTTCTTCTCCGGCACACGCCTCAAAAAATGTTTACTTATAAGTTCATTCAATACTCACTTATAAAAAGCAAATTTTCATAAAACGAATACTTTTTCATAATTAGTTTCTCAAGAGTGTCTGGTAAAATTTGAGTTCACCTTGAACTTAGGTAGAAAAAGAGTCAATTAAAATTTCAGATTTGAAAATGATCTTCCTACTCATGATTGTCACTTTAGAAAAAGGTTTAAAGCAGTTTTTAAATGGTATCGTGCAGCCATAGGTCTCAAAAAGGTGTGAGGATGTTTCCTTTGATTGATTGGAAAGATAGGTTTCGATTATGCTACTTACTTTGCTGGTTGAGGTGTCCTTGGCCGTTTGACATAATATGTTGACTTCAAAGAATCCGCTGGAATTAAATCGAACACTGATATTGTCTTTTGAGGCCTTCTTATTTGGATTTCGCTATCCGACAATTCCTGCAATGTCTGAAGAAGCAATTATACTATAAGTTGAACTATATTACATCTTTTGGATTTTTGGTGGATGCGACACCTGAGCAGCCTTCTGTTTCTCAACAGTAATACAGTCACCACAACATATTTCAGTAGATAAAAGCATCAGAGAAAATATCAACTGCATATTATACATATCTCAAGTAACAGATAAATATAAAGAATACATTTGTAGATCATACAAAGTAGCCCAGGTCTCGAGTTGTCTCATCACAAATGTTGATGTAAAAGATTCGTAACTATAATCTCGACATACTATTAAATTTGTCGGATTCCTTCTTCTGATAGCACTAGAGGTGATTCGGAAGGAAAAGGGAAGGGATAACGGGATTTACCTGGAACTGCAGGATAATGATATAGTCTTCTTCGGTATTCTTCTTTTTCTTCTAGGGAGGAAATGGAAAGGTGTGCATTAAAGGATCGATAAGATGCATGTACCTTTAATAATCGGATATTACCTTCTTTCTCCTTCTTCTGCGCCTCTTTTTCTTGGTTTTGCTCTTCGACTCAGTTTCAGTATCACTGCTAGATGAGTCGGAGTTGGTCTCTTTGTCTGACAATGAAAGCTTCAGTGTTGCTTTGACTATCTAAGAAGATATTCATTTATGTAACATAGTCAGATTTTCTACTACGTGAGATGCTTCTGGGTCACAAATTATTCATTCGCGATTGCTGATGCATATAATTCATCTTATTTATTGTTCTCCCATCCACTGTGAAGAGCATGTTCTCTCAAATTAAATGTTGGCTCAAACTTCGAAGCAAAATTATTTTTTCTATACTTGGTACCGTTAAACTCATGCAAAGTTAATTTATTAATGAGTCTGCATCTAGATAAATTATCCTGTATCTTTTTATATTTATCACCTGATTGTTCGTTTCTTATTTTAATAGCAATTTATAATGTTTTCTAAACTATTAAACGTTTCAACGCTCTGCGCTCCCGTGTAGATCTCGGCAGCCAGTCGCAGAGTTCTCACTAAAGGGCAAGTTTTTGTTGAATAATATCGATTTCCTTGATATACATATTATATACAATCTGAACAAAATGAAGGCTTATCCTGCGGTATAGTCGTCAATTATATGAAGAATGCGGGATTATTTAAACAAATTACAACGAGATGACAAAAAAACCAACAATTTAAACTACTATGTAGTCGACACCAGTATGACTGCTTCCCTATCGTTCGACACCTGACTGGTGATTATTGAGGACATTTTTTTAAATGTCTGCCATAGAACAAATTTTACATTGCATCAAAAATGTATAAGCGGGTTTTTGAGCTAGTCCTAGTCGTAGCTTGGATACTTATTTTGTAATGATCTGGAAGCAACTCACATATTCGGTATAAATTTATTCAAAAGAAAAGAAAAAGTGCGTTCTGACAAAGAGTTAAAGTGCAAAGGCTAACATAATTCTTACATGTTGGTAACTAAAATTATGTGCTCTTTAAATATGAGTAAGTTAATAAGTCTCCAAAGAATGGTATATCTTTTGGTTCGTATTTAAGATAGCTATAGATGGGTCAATTGATAATCTTTACCTCAGGTAGCTCCAGTTGAGTTACTGTTATTAACTTTTGCAATCCGAATTAGATATTGTTGCTACCATGCAAAGGAAATTTGATCCTATTTTGTGTTGTGCATCTAACAGTACAGATTTGTGATAGTGTTGTAGTTTGAAAATCATTCAACATAATATTATTAATTAGTAAATGGTAAGTATACAGAGACAAACATAACAAACATATGCTTAAAGTGTCACTACGTACCAGAAATGTGACGAACTGTGCAGTCTGCAACCTGCAGATTAAAAGTGTTCACGAACGAACAAAACATACACTAAACACTAAATGCGAAGGATACATATAAAAGCACATGAAGCGATAATATTATTCAGTTATTTACTGGTAACGTTTTTCTAGGCAAAACCGGACTTTTCGGAGGAAGCACTTTTTGTTTGGAAGGAGAAGATTTCGGCTTTGGTTTTTTAGTCTTAACTAGCATTACCGGTGAAGGTGGCGGTCCTGAAGGAACTGGAGTGTCGTCATCTCGGCCTACTTCGTCACTGCTGCTTGATGTATCACCTTCATCGCTATAATAAAATGTAGATACATTCAAGAATACTTACAAATAAAATGATAAAATCAACAGTTTTATTAGTTATTTTCAATACATTAATAGTAAAAAACGAGATTTACATGCCCTTAAAGAAGGAAAATAAACTTTAAATGAAACCCACTATTTTATTACATGTCACAATTTTTTAATATAATATAACTGCTTATCTCAAGATTCATCAATTTTATAAAAACATGTATTCTTCCTTAGGATAACCTGTATCAAGTTCAAGTAAAATAGGTATTGTATTCTTGTTTATCTACGCAGGTAAATCTGACGACATGCTTATATGTTGCCATAAAAAATGTGTTATGTAATAAATTTATGGGTTTTATTTTCCTCTTTTTAGATCATTTTAAAACTTGCGTTTAATAAAGTTTTCAATATTAAATTATTTAATATCTTTCAGTGACTTATCGCTGTTTGTTCATTTCATTTGATGCGTCGGTGTTGCAAGCTTTCGAGATCAATCTATTAGACTATAATAATAATAGTTACACCGCGTTACACCGCGAGCACGGACATGCTCGAGAACAGTTTTTTTGTGATTGTCTTAATGGGATAAATTTGCAGGACATTTTCTATTGTAAGTTCGCCAGTTGGTTCTTTACTTAGCCAGTTCATTAAAATTGCAAAATATTCTCCAGTTCGTCATAGTTTTTGATACACCCCGATGTCAATGCTATTGACGCCCATCCTACCAAATTACAAAAGTTATAACATGAAGCCAACTGTACGCACAATCTCACTACCAATGTTCGAGAAACCAGATGTGTGCGATCATAGTGGTTATTTTTGAAAAGTGGGTTATAAGCAATAAACAAAAAGTTTTAATCATCCGAAGCTCCATTTTTTGTGGTTTTCTGTGTCGTTGGCAGAGTCAATATTCCGAAGTATTGAAGATCTCAAACTATCTATTTAAGCCAAATCCAAAAAGTAAAAGAATTAACATTTCATAAAAAAATATTATAGCAATTAGATGAAAAGAATAGTTGTAAAATGATTGCTACACAATCTTCTACAGGTCAAGGCCAAAACTAAGGCATTGACAAAATCTCTTTTTGTTGAAGGATTAAGAGATTTAGGTCGTTACATTTTAAAAGATATGTTATTTCCATTAAGTTCATCTTAATGTAACATTGCAGCTCATAGCTAAATAAATATTCAATTTATCTAGTCCAGGGAGTTGAAAAACTGTATATGTATGAAATTAATTTACGGGTAGCACGAATTTTTACAAATACGTACCTAGAATAATCACTCAGTCTTATGTTAGTTGGTTCATCAGCATTAGAACCTTCCTGTGACAATCTTTCAATGATCTTTGTCCTCAGCCTCTCCTGAAAACAAAATCAACTGCTAGAAAGTGAAGTTATGAAAATAAAATGATATTTTTTTGATAGACTATGGCCGGATTTTATCATAGGTCCTCAATTCAAAATCGACCAATCTAAAATCAATTTCGAGAGTAGGAATAGATGAATATAGTCAAAAATAGGTTTCGGTAGCTAAATCAGGTGATTAAAAGGGAATTTCATTTAATATGAATATGCACAAATCGTATAACTATGCGCTAGTAGGAGATATTTTAGAGGAAATTGACTATAGTTGTAGTCACCGTTCTTGGCGGGCCAAAGTAAGACTACCAGCATCCCTTTATATATTTCTAACTCCCTCATACATACACATACTACCTACCCACGTGTGTGAACGTTTGTTCGGTAAGCTCAAAGAAATACGGCTTTTAGTTGTGTGTCTCCGGCTCGAAAACTTTGTCGTTACGTATGAGTGCCCTTCAATTATGTTTGTCAGAGTAACAACTTATTTGACATCGGCGTATAATTTGAGTTGTCCTGCTATGAATCTTCGATATAAAATTGTTCAATGCCTGGAAATACGATCAATGGAGAAGAAAAAGAAAATGAAAACAGCTGTCCCGTGTCACGAGTACTAGAGAGAGTAGCAGATGTGCTGAAGATTAAGATCCGCCCTTGGTACGGAGACTGATCAGTTTTCTTATTAAATATGGCGTTGATGACGTAACCGCCAAGAACGATGGCTACAACTTTATACGAGTATTCGTTAAATGCATTGCTCCAAAACGCTTTCTGAAAGATGATTTTCGATCCGAATAGTTAAACCAGACCTAAAGTTCTTCCTTGAAAGAAAATATTATACAGCATTTAACATCTTATCCCATCAGAGAAATGCATTTTCAGTTTATTTTGTAAAAAAATGGCGAATGGTCTTTCCCGTGTTGTAGAGCACATTCGCCATTTTTTTGAAACAGCACATCTTTTTATCTGAAGTCACTTGAAATAGCATAAAAACCTTTGGTCGGCGCGTCCTTTGTAATTTCATGACGTATCATAGGCGTGCGGTCATTTATTTAGAACGATAATAATAATGTTTTTATATCACAATAAATGGATTTTACTATCTTCTTATTTTTTTGATTTGGGATAAAAAATACTTATATTGGGAGTTTAGTTTATGTTGACTGAAAGTTAAGAAATAGAAAAATTACAGAATTCCAACGTTTGACATAGGAAAATATTTACATAGCAGGTAGGTATATAAAAAGGTAGATATATAAAGACTTACATTATAGGTATTTATATATATCATCCTCGCCTTCGGAGCTGTCGCTAGAGTCATCTTGTAGAGGAATTACAACGGGATTTACAGGAGGCAAAACACAATATTCATTTTCTTTTTCAATAATATGCCTAGAACACTGCTTCCATAGGTCTGTGGCAGCAATATGAGATACTGCATCTCTTATTGTGGCCAATAGCGATTCACTTAATTGAGGGGTCTGATTATGTTTTCTTACTTTTTTTTTTAAAGCAGCCCAGACCAACTCAATCGGGTTAAAAATGCAGTAATAGGGAGGTAGACGTAATACTTCATAGCCATTTTGCTGAAGCAGATTGTCAACAACATACTCTTTTTCAAATTTTTGTCTTTTAATAAGATCCAATAATATGGCTTTGGTTGATTTTTGTGGTATTTCCATTTCCTTATCCTTCATAAAATCAATAATGTCTTATTTTTCTGTGCCTGTATTCGGAATTTTGTTTTTCTGTCGGGAATGGTATGGCGCATTGTCCATAATAATCACTGAATTTGGGGAAATGTTTGGTATTAACTGCTGCTCTATCCACTTTTCAAATAAGTCGGAGGTCATGTCCTCATGATAGTCGGCACATGATTCTTTGATATTTTTGGCAGATAACAGCAAGGCATTAGGTATAAATCCATTTTCACTGCCAGCATGGAGAATAATGATTCGTTTTCCACGGTTGCATGGTGCATTTAAAATGCACTTGTTGCTGTCGTCAACCCAGCCGTACTGCACAACATCATGGGTATCATACCACGTTTTATCCAGGTAAATCAGATTTCTTTTCTGCTCTCTATAGATTTTAACTTTGTGCAAAAATTCTTGGCGCAATTCAACGATTCGAGACGACTCCATAATCACCATTCTTTTATCTAATTTTTTTGTATTGAAAACCACACAGTTTTACAATACAGTACAGTGAGTCTAAGCATTTAAATTATATAATTATAAAAATCTTCAGGATAATCTTTTAATTTATCCCGTATCATTTCCAACGTGGGCACCAAATTTTCTTTATAAAATCCGTATATTATACGACGAATATCTTCCTGAAAACCCACGTCTATTCTTTTTAATTTTTGCCCTATGCTCTTTCTGTGGAAGGAATGATTGACTACATCTCCCCTTTTTATAACCCGATAAATGGTAGACCGACTGATTTTTGTCAGGATACAAATTCTGTTTAAAATTTGATTTTGCGAGGAATCTGGATTTTCGTTTTTCAGACAATCATACATATTTAGGATTACTCTTTGGGTCTGTTCCTCTAAATCTTTATGAAAGAATTCTGCCGGCACAGGTTCATCAACCATCTCCTCGTGGCTTGGAGCATTTTCCCGAGGTCTCCAAAGAGCCATATTTAGGACACACAAGAACAATCAACACAACAATTAAATCAACAAGTAAACAGAGTATTAAAAAGTCAAAAACACACAAACTAATAAAATCTATGAAAAAACACGGACAGACTAAAGAAAACACGTTTATTCACCGCTACACGGCACTGGCTAAACTGTTTCAATTTTCAGTAGCCACCTGCACTTGTTCGGAACTCTGAAATACACGCTTTCTCATTGGCTATGTCCACGCATAGGCGTGCTTTACTCCACGTGGACCGGTGAAACTGCCTTTGATCTTATACGGGGGATATTTGCTGCGAAACTTGGCGATTTTTGCAGCAACAGAGCGTGTTAAATATAGATATATAAAACGCACCCGGTATTTCACAGTGTTTCAAGTGACTTCAGATAAAGTATACCTAATAAGCTTGCAAGCAAATCAACAATATAACATTCCTTATTTTTGCTAAAGACTTTGCTTGTATCTCGAGTACTTCCAGCTGCAATCCCTACTTTCTTTCATTTTTTTTAACGCAATCATTAGACAGTTTATGTGCGTGGAGCCCTTTATTTTCGACTGAAGAAATACATCGATACTGCTACAGCCGCAATGGCGACGAGCGACGTGACCGTAATTCCTGCTGGAATAGATCGGTTGGTCTTCCAAAACGGTACTACCTTTTTGGGGTCTTCATCGTAGAAGTCCAACAGGGTCTGGCAGAAGGACTTGCCCATCTGCTCGAAGTCCAAAGTGGAGAAGTGGGTGTCTGCCCGGTTGCCCAACATGGATCCTGCGAAGGAGGCCTCCATGGTATAGCTGTTGGCGATACCCATCATCCACATTACCACACGACCTGTGCCCTCTTTGGATTTCTGGACGCGGAACTTACAGCTCTCGAAGGAGAACTGAAAAAATAGTAATTGGAAAAATTTTACTGCAAACCCATTATACTATAATATTATAGTCCAACATAGATTGGGAATAAAACAACTGCATCTAAAGAATCTGAACTGAAACCTACGTAGGCCTCAAACTCAAACTTCACGATCATTCTTCTTTTTTTGATGATCTGCTTTCAGTCGAAATTTCAAAATAGGAGTCGAATCATAACAAAGCTCGTCAATATTTAAGAACCGTTGTCACGAGCTGATATTAATGTAACACTTAGGGTAATGCTTCCGGAAACGTTCTTTATACCGATGCAGCCGTGTACGCAGAAGCCTAAATGCCAATGCACCACGGCTGCTATGAGTAGCTTAGAGAAAATTTGTCAATGCGGTTTTTGAACTACCTAAGGTTAGTCGAACTGGGAAACGCCTCCCTAGGAACAAACGAGCGGTCATATCGGCCAGTTATGGATGTACAGGGTGGCCAATATATGTATAACTGACTGATTTAAATTTCGCGCCATTTTTGATACTCGCATTCCAGTAGATGGCGCCGTAGTGGGTATTTAAAGCACATGTTTCCAATTCATCATGGAGCGCTACACGATCCCACAACGCGACCGTATTGTTCAAATGTTTTACTTAAATAACACTGATCAACAGCCAAAAAATATCCTAAATAAAATCAACAAAATATTACTATTTTTAATGTGCTAAAACCGGAATGAAACTTATTTTTTCAATATTAGTTCGAGTTTTAGAGATACGGTAATTATATGTGTTCCTGCTGTGACAGTGTTAATATACTGTAATTCACAAGAATGCACGTGCTACATTTTTATATTCGGCAAGGAAAGATGATGTAATCGGCATGATTGTGTTACGTTATACATACTTGTACATTATATTGTTTTATATTAGCCATTTTTTCCTCAGTTGGCTGACAGCGTTCATGCAAGATGTCTCGAAAGTGTGTAAACAATCCAGATCAGTTTTGTTACGTGTGTGGTGATGTGACTTTTGCGTCTCAGAGACGGTCTATTACTCCACTAATAACAAAGGCATATCAGCTTTATTTCGGTTGTAAACTAGGTGATCAAGACAAACAGTGGGCACCCCACATTTGCTGTAATACATGTGCTTCAAGTCTGAGGAGCTGGTTAAATGGCAAAAAACGGTCTATGCGCTTTGCTGTCCCAATGGTTTGGAGAGAGAATACAAATCATATTAATGATTGTTACTTTTTATGGTACCTTGTGTTGGACAAGCCACAGGTACGTCCAAGAAAAAAAATCGGTTATTAACTACCCAAACATACCATCTGCGATGAGACCTGTGCCTCACAGTGACGAAAATCCTATTCCAAAACCCCCAGAATCCTACACTTGCGAATCAGAAAACGAATCAGATCATGGCGATCGAGTAATTCGTCAGGAAGAAGATATGCCATCAACGTCAAGAGATCCTGATTTTATACCGAGCACGTCATGCCACCAACCGCACAAAATAACACAGTCAGAATTAAATGATCTTGTAAGAGATTTAGAACTTCCAAAATGTAAGGCAGAGTTACTTGGATCAAGACTGCAGCAGTGGAACTTGTTAGAAGACGATGTTTCGGTATGTGTTTTTCGTAAACGCCACAAAGACTTAGAACCATTTTTCAATATGGAGAATAACTTGGTTTTCTGCAATAACATTAACTGCTTACTGGCGGCTTTAAATATAAACTATAACCCAGAAGAATGGAGATTGTTTACACACAGATCAACATTGAGTTTAAAGGCAGTGTTATTGCATATTGGAAATATTTTACCATCTCTTCCTGTAGGGTATGCAGTTCACATGAAAGAATCATATGACAATATAAAGTACCTATTGACATGCATAAAATACGATGAGCACCAATGGCATATTTGTGGCGATTTGAAAGTTGTTGCACTTTTACTTGGGCTGCAGCTAGACTACACAAAGTTTTGTTGTTTTTGGTATGAATGGGACAGTCGGGCAAAGGCACTTCATTACACCAGACAAAACTGGCCTGTTCGTCAATTCCTAGAGCCAGATCAAAAAAATGTACAGCATATGCCATTAGTAGATTCGAAAAAAATTTTATTACCACCACTGCATATCAAGTTGGGCCTTATGAAAAACTTTGTCAAGGCATTAGATAGAGATGGGTCAGCTTTTCAATACCTGCGTCAGAAATTTCCAAGACTAAGTGAGGCAAAGGTTAAAGAAAGTATTTTTGTTGCTGACAACTATAAAACCCTTGTCAAAAATATGCTGTCATCGTATCAAAAGATGGGCTGTAATATGTCTCTTAAGATACATTTCCTACACTCACACCTGGACTTTTTTCCTGATAATTACGGAGCCGTAAGTGATGAGCACGGCGAATGTTTTCATCAGGATATTTCAACAATGGAAAAAAGGTACCAGGGAAAGTGGAATCCTTCCATGCTTGCAGACTACTGTTGGACTCTTGATAGAGATGCTCCAGAAACGATCCACAAAAGAACAGCAAAAAGACAGCGCATATAGTGATTCTTATAAGTATATGAATCTTGTTACTTTTTTAATATATCCTTAAAAATAAAAAGCTTTTTTTCTAAACCGCAACTAATTTTTTTATTTCATTGTCATTTTTGGATTCAGCGCCCCAAAATTAACAAAGAAGTGCACTTTTCCCACAAGATACAATTAAAAAACTAAAATTTGTTGTCCAGTGAATGAGTCGATTGTTGCAACGACTCGGAAGCTACGGCAGGATTTGGGTCGAAATAATGTGTGTCATGTAATATTGCAGCTTGATACCCAGAATAACGATTTTTACCGGCAACTGATAATGAGCGATGAAGCCCACTTCGATATGAACGGATTTGTAAATAAGCAGAATTGTCGTATCTGGGCATTAGAGAACCCTCGTGTCATCCATCAACGACCACTATATCCTCCTCGAGTCACAGTTTGGTATGGATGTGTCATTGGACCTTACTTCTTTGAAGACGCTGCACATAACTCTCTTACTGTCACTGGCGAGCGCTACCGTGATATGGTGCAAAACTTTCTGCGAAACATGTGGTTCCAGCAGGAGGGAGCAACTTGTCACACAGCTAGGGAAACAATGAATCTTTTGCAAACAATATTTCCGGGACATTTAATTTCTCGATTTGGTGATGTCAACTGGCCACCAAGGTCACCGACTTCTTTTATGAGGGTTTTTGAAAAACGGGGTTTATGCCAACAAACCAAATACTGCAGAGCAGCCGAAGAACAATATTACGGAAGTGATTGAAAATATTCATCCCGAAACCTACCAAAAAGTGATGGAAAATGTAATCAAGAGGGCTCAGGTATGCGCGGCTTCTAAAGGCGGTCATTTGTCTGATTTTATTTTTCATACATAATTTCTAAGTTTCAATAAAATATTAAGATGAATATAATAGACGTATTTTATTTCATTTTTCAAATATTCAAGATACAAACCAGTCAGCTACATATCGGCCACCCTGTACAAAGATCAACATCGTCAGGATGGTAGGCTGAAGTCAGGCGAATGTGTCTGTAGGCGCATCGCGAGCGGTATTATGGAGGAGAGCTCTGAGGAGCAAGGCCTGTTGCCATAGCGGCAGAAGAGAGATAGATCGCCCACGGCGCGTCTGTGTGAAAGGGTCCCGAGACTGGATGGTAAATAGCAATAAAATGATGTTTACAAAATTGTTCTCGTATTTTATGTATTTACCTTGTTAACAGAGTTTTTGTGTAACATCAAAGGAAACACTTGCTCTTGAAGTCTCTTGTCACCTCCTCTCCTATTTTCACACCCATAAATGAAGATATTGTGCTTACGAGAGTGGGCGTGAAGATCACAGTACATAGTAACACCACATTCTTCCAGGAGTCTGAAATGAGAGGGCCAGTTAGAATTATAAAGAATATGTTTCACCTGTTTGCAAGATTGTCCAATATTTAATATGTCATGTGACCGAGCAATACCAAAAAGGCTCAGCGGAAATAGCGTAGAGTCTTTTTTTCTATTCAACATTCACTTATTCTAGTTATACTTTAGTTCTTGAGAAAACATTTGTCTGTTATTTGTCCGAAATTGTTTGCAACAGTAAAATTCAGTTCAAATTACAATTTTCTTAAGCTGAGACATTATATCAAATCAGCTCTGGTTTCCGCTGCAACTCAGTTTCACTTCTCGGGTGTAATTAGAAATAAAAATATAGTTTTTTTCGACCAGCATCAACTCTGTTTCCAGAATCTTTTATATTTTGGATACTTCTCTTGCTATTTGCTTGACACGCAAATGTCTCGTTAGTGATTATTCAAAATAACGATTAAAATCACAGATAATTTACTCGTAGATAACTTATTTTTGAATAATTTATTGGTGAATGTATTATTTACGACTAGTTATGTCGGCAATAAATTTTTATTCGCATAGTTATCTAGATATCGAATGATGCCCAACTCTGTTGCTTTCATACTTTATCGATTCACACTCACCGGCTCGGGTATTACGTATCTTCAAAAGTGACATTTCGTCGGTTTTTTTTTTATATCTCGTCGGTTTTTTGTGACATAGCGTAGTTCTTTCTACAAGATGTTAACTTTGCACAAGCTGTTGTACACTTGTGAACTCGTTTTGTAGCTGTACGTGTTGCTTGAACATCAACGAACAGCGATCATAGCGAGCAAACGTGGAATGCACAATAAAAGCTACCCAGTCTGCAAGATGACATTTCGACAGTTTTTTTTTGACGTTTTTTAAGTTTATTAATACCCCTGCGGATCCGAATCTACCAAAATCTACCGAGTGTGAAGCTCGAAATAAGTTATGAGAAGGAATATCAAGTGGGTTAATAAAATGTCTTCGGAAAACGAAACAAAATAATTATACAAAAAGGGCACCGAGTTGATGACATAATGCCGTATCTCGTGGCCTCCGTAATTGCAAGTCATTTTTCTCCAGCCGTAAAACAGGTAACATCAGCAAACGAGTGATAGGAAAAGAACATAAATTATAATGCTTACTCTTGCCAGACAATGAGAGCTTTCAGGCGTCGTAAATCGTGACAGCGGTGCAACGTTTTTATGCTGAACAGTAGTAACCATGGGATAACTTTGTCAGTTTGACAACAGTTTTCATTTGGTTGTCAGATTTGATGTAGTTGTAGTCACTGTTCTTGACGGTCACGTCATTAACGCCATATGAAATAAGTAAACAGATCGAGTCTCCGTACCATGGGCGGATGTTTATTTTTCTAATTGAGGGAAACCGATTCAAAATTATTTACTACTCGTAATTCTCAAAAAAGTAATCTAGTAAATAAACATGGGTAGAGTATGACACGCCATTTGATGTTTTTTAAAGTTGAAACAAAAAATACATACGGAATTTTCAATATAATACAAAATAACACATCTATTTGCTAACTTGATGAAACATCTAACATTGGATGTGGATATGTGACAAGCTTATGAGAGCTTTAGAAGAATCATATTCAATAATAAACATGCTCAATTCTTCCCGGAGTGAAATGCGACTAAATAGATTAATGCTAGACAAAGAAGCACATTTTGATGATGATGCTCTTAAACTCGAGCTTTTAAATCTATGTCGCCTTAATAAACATCAAGCATGTAACTTCCTTATCTTTCAGAATATTTAACAATCTGCATTAGGGTACACACATAGAAAATTAAGAATTATAAATTTTCAAAATCGCGTCAATAAAAGTATGAAGTATTGGATTTCTTCATTAGAGTCATCTGAACCTTCTCCCAAGTGAATGATTTTATTAGTCTCGTCCCTATTAAACACTTGATGCTTGCCCTGTCGTTTTTAATCAAGTCCTCAGTATGTTTCACGCACTTGGCCCAAACTGTAGGAGTCACCTTCGCTAGAGCATCGTCCCAAACTTTCAAAACATCCTTGTCGCCATAGCCAGTTTCCCCAATACATGTATGACGATCATAGAACTGTTTGGCTATACCCCAGACTAACTCAGTAGGGTTGTATTGACAATGGTAAGGGGGGAGCCGCAAAACTTGATCTCCATGTTCATGTAATATTTCGTCTATGATATATCTTGCAGCCGATTGTTTATTAAGGCGACATAGATTTAAAAGCTTGAGTTTAAAAGCATCATCATCAAAATGTATCTTTTTGTCTTGCAGCCATTGCTTATTGCATTTTACTCCAACTAGAATTGGGCATTTTTTCTGTTAAGGCACTATGAGAAGAGGCATTATCCATGATTACTAAAGATGGCTCTTATAATGCTGGTATCTGGCTGGCTTCTCACATACCCATTTTTTTAAAGAATATTTGTCCATGGAATCGTGGTAGTCAGCACTTTTTGATTTGGTAGCAAATAACAATGCAGTATCTCTCAAAACACCGTTTTTGGGCCCATCATGGAGAACAACATACCGCTTGCCGGTACCCTGATGACCTGATTTCAAACTGTTTACGTTTTTATCTTGCCAAACTCGTTTAAACGACCCTTTGGCAAATATCCACGTTTCATGGGAAAAACCCCAAGGTTTCAATAGACGCCTTAAACTTGAATCCGAGGCATTATATATACCCTTTTTTAAGTTCCTGGCATAATTTCTGTTTTGACGGCAGCACTTACGTCATCGGTGTTGCATTTTTTGATTTTGCGAGTTTCCCTAGGTGTTACTATGGGCAAATTTTTCTTATTTTCTGACTTTATTCACACACGAAGTGGATAACAAGGGACCGCTACTTTCATTCTCTTCCTGGAAATACTCTAATAAATTTAGCACGAGCTTTCGGTCTTCTCCATTGATCGTATTTCCAGGCATTGTACAATTTTATATTGAAGACTGATAACAGGACAACTCAAATTGCACGTCGATTTCAAGTAAGTGGTCACTCTGCCAAATACGATCATAGGGCACTCATACGTAACGCCAAAGTTTTCGAGACTGAAACACTCAACTTAAAAACGTATGTCTTTGAGCTTACCGTACAGACGTTTACACACAGAGGTAGATTGCATATGTATGTATGAGGGAGGTGGAGATTTATAAAGGGATACTGGTAGTCTTACTTTGACCCGCCAAAAATTGTGACTACAACTATATTATGTTGATTAATGTTGCCAAATGACAAAACCATTCCACGGCTACGGCAATGCAGCATAAAAGCGCGGCACTCCTGGACCGCTTTACGTTGCTTAAACGCTCCCAATGGTTTTGAGAAAAATAATATTTGGAAATATCTTCACTACGATGTTCACCGCAGACCACGAGATAATGCACAATTTCTCTACATTTCCTAACTAAACCACATAAAACGAACATCCCAAACCTTCTAACCATTAACTTGGTGTACCATATAGAAGGGTACGCGTCTCGAATGACGGTTCGGTACTGCCTGTTCAAGTCTTTGGCGCTCAAGGAGCATCTGTTGTTTCCTACTATCACTCCGTCAGGATTGAGCATTGGGACGATTTTGAATACAAACTTATCGCGCAGCTCTTTCGCAGGCGCGGAATCGCCGGTCAGGAAGTCCAGAACTCCTTTCATCATCCAAGAGGAAGGGGTTTCACCTGGATGAACTCGCGCGGTGATCACTATGGCACGTTTCTTCTGGAATATGAAATTTCATCACCTATCAAATGGCTCATTATGTTTTAAGAACACAAAGGTTTAATTTTCTATCAGGGAAAGATGTTTGTCGGTATTTAAACGTGTTGTTCCGTGTACTTAAATATGTTGTTTCTTCTAAAACCATTTTTCTCTTCAATAAAGGGGTATTATGTGCTATAAAAAATAAAATGTATACTATAGAATATTGGGCACACTTCCAACACTAGACAATGTCCTGGGCCTTAGCAACATCACCAATATTTCGAATATAAATGGATTGAATAATATTTTATATGGACACTTTTTTTGGTATACTACGATTCCTTGCCTACCCTTTTATTTCCCAGACCAGTCAGTGAACAAAATCGCAAAAATATCGAATATGAGATATTCGTTTCTGTGGAAGTTCCAGAACATGTACATTTCACGAAAAGCCATGTCACTCATTTGAGTCGGTCAATCTGTCTGTCCTATAATACCTGACCACTCTATAACTCCAAAATTACAGCTCGGATTTTGATGGAATTTTGATACATGATTAGTACTATACCAAGAACCAAACAGCTCTGTAGGTTTTGAAAACCGTTCCAGAGGCGGCGGAGCTACGGCTAAAAACAGAAGAAACATAATAAAAATCGTTCAAATTTCATTTTTTGACGTTTCAGACCCTCCTGATCATTTGAAGGGTCGACAAATCAGGATTGAGAGTTGGAAGTTGTAGGAGGTGAGGGTTATGAATTTTTCATATTTGGTATCAATGAAAGACGCTTTATTATGATATTTTCCATCGCGTGGGAATACTTTCACCTTTACCGGTCAGTAGGTGTGTCATCCTTCGCTGCGTTTTAATGTTGTTATATAAATCAGATGATACTGAAGTGCGAGAATCGTTGAATGCAAAAAAGAAGGAAACCCATTAACATTTGAAGATATCTGAGTTTTGAAATAGTTGTCGCTATCAGGACCTTAGTCTGGGCAGTGGATATAATTCATAAATCAGTAGAGTAATGTTAAAAAAAGGTAAATATTTGTGTATGGTGGATCTAACGTTATTATGATTGATTGCCGAATTGCGTGAGAAGTACAGAAACAGCCTAATTGCTTGTTACAAGGAAGATACACTCGTAATGGTGGAAGTCCAAAAACTACTTTTACATTCAACATTACTCAAAGAATATTTTCCGTTGCGTCCATTTAACATCTAGTTGCTGGAATTTGCTATGATTTCTCTTTAAAGATTTGACGATTTTTCTAAAATATGTTTCAACAATTGACCAAGGCCAGAATATTTTCTTGTCTTTCAATATGAAATATTTTACCTTTGCATCTCCTGGTGTAGAGGGCGAGGTTATGGTAACGTAGTACACGTTGTTCCCAGCCAAAGTCTTGCAAAGTAATCGAACTGTGCTGAAAGTGGATTTAACAGGATGCGAACACAATTCTGAAAGGTAGTCTTGAAGATCAGAATAGGTATACGGGTAGCAGTGAGCCAAGTACACTTCATCATCCTCATGAGGAAACTTCACTGTGAATGTCAGGGTGTATGTCATCTGCTGGTCAGGATCCTCTGGTGTACTGAAAAAGGATTTAGAGTTTATGTTACAGTTTTTCCGTCTGCTTATACACGCCTTAATATACCCGGCACAAACGAGCGGTAAATTGATTGATACGTTATTCAATGGTAAGTACGCGCGTTGGTAGTGTTTCCTGTTTAGGGTTTCTGGTTTCTCGACGTTTTTTATTTCTCGAAGCGCGAGAATTCTCGACCAGAATTTCTTGAGTATTTTGAGAAATTTCGAAATTTTCAATAGAATATAATGTTTTCAAAATTTTGCTTTATTTCAAATTAAACTAAAAGATGGGATCAATTAAATCAAATGGTAAATGTCTAGTTACCATATTTTGACTTTTTAATTAACAAAGCAACATAAGCCAACAATAAATTTAACAACCTTTACTCGACTGATCCATATAACAAGTAAAAAGTAAGGTAGTACTTAACTTTTTTATAATTATTGGGTCCCTAAATAAAAAATAATTAAGTCAATAAAATTACTAATACATACCTAACTATAAAACTTTTTTACACCAAAGCAGCCGCGCAGGCAGAAGCCTAAATGCCAAAGTACCGCGGCTGCTACGAGGAGCTTAAAGAAACTTTGTTAATCAAGGTTAGTAGAGCTGGGAAAAGCCTCCTCGTGTAGATTGTCCCACACTCTCTGATACCCTAGGGATGCAGAAGCGGTCGAATCGGACAGTTCTGGATGTACGAAGTTACACACATAGTTAGGGTGGGAAGCTGAAGTCAGACGGATCTGTCAGGCTGGAGCATTGTGCGGCGGCATCAAGGAGGAGAGCTCGGAGAAGCAAAGCCCGTTGGCGGTGGTAGAAGGGAGCTAGGTCTTCAAGGGCCCGCCAGTGCGAAAAGTCCTCAAGACTGCTCGTTAGAGAAGAGTCATCGATCAGACTGACAGCCCTCCTCTGGACAGCATTGAGCAGGGGTAATGCAGTTGTGGCGGCAGCACCCCAAACATGTGAGCAGTACTTGAAGCTAGCTCTTATATGGGCCTTGTACAGAGTGATTAGGCCATGTGGAGAAAAGTTGTTCTTAGCTCTAAACAAATGGTCTAGATTTTCCCCAGCAGCTGCCGCTTTTGACGAGAAGTGTTCATGCCAGGGACTCCGGCCATCCAACATGAACGGCTCTTTGGTATAACTTGGCCATCCAACGAAAACGGATGAGCGCTACCGACTTAAACTAAACATATCTTTTATACTTATAAACATTTGTGTTAGGAACATCAGAGTGTGTCGATTAAAAAAATCATAATTAACCTTCAAATTTTTTTTTGAGCTTAGTATGCTAACATTAATCATATCACTAACCCGTAGAATAATCGACAAAGAAATCAAATTTTGAGTCAATGCTTTTTCCTTATACGACTAGAATAGGCTTTTAGACATACAAAAGCATTGACAGCATCACCTGATAGGCGTTTCCTTATTTTCTGACAATGTTTAGACTCGTCACATGTCATATGCTTGTTTTTTAGTTACCTTGCGCACGGAATTGATTTTTCGAGTTCTCGAGGCATTGGGTTTTTTGTTATCTAAAGACAAATTTCTCGAAACCCTAGTCATGTCCATCTTCATCAATGTAACTTAGGATTGTATGCTAACTGCAGCCAAACAATTAAAACGAAATATGCTACGTGCATGAAATGTTCTTGATTGATAGTAAGTCTTGACACATCAAAGTTCTTGGACTGTAGCTAGGTGTTAAATGACTAATGTTAAATTACAACTCCGCGTAACAAGATACTAAGAACGATAAATGGTAAGTACAATTTAATTTTTGATCAAGTGACATTTATTAGAAATGTATGTGCAAATGGTGGCCTTGCTACGTGAGATTATTTCTAGGAGTTACTTACACGTTTTCATTGCAGTAGTATGCAATATTCTGACCACATCTCCTCCATCCAATTGAATGTAACTGCGAGTCTTTGACTGAATACATTAGTGGCCTCATACCCTCGCTATATAAACTACTATCTTTGGAACAGTTTGTTATCGAAAACCTACGGAATAAAGGCGAATCATCAACTCCTAAATGTTTTTCGTTTTTGGTTGTCTAAACTAAGCCTAGTAAATATGTCTATTAGCTAATTCCCATGTCTATCTGTCTGAAGATAATACAATATGTCACTGTATAAGCTCTGTCCTAGAGAAAAAAAAACTTCCTAGAAGTTGCACTAGTCCTTTGTCTCTATTAATATCGGCAAAGTTTCTATGTTGCTAGAATAACTGTACATTACTGGCTATGTAATACTTGTTCTCCATCGATTTTGACATGAGCATGTATTCCTTGATTTAATATTAACGCGTTTTGGTTATTTCGTTCAGCTGAAACGATGCACGTTTAAAGTTATACGTGGGTAGAGCTACAAAAGCTTTTTCTTCTTGTGTTTCTTCATTCTTTTGACTTCAGTCATGTGAAGTAAATCGTGTAGATTCATTTTATCGATTATAATCAACCCTTTGCGGTCGGCTTTGTCTTTCTTTTTGTTATGAAATCGACAATTTCATTCCACCAGTATTACATAGCCGGTCATCCTAGGCAGTAACAGTAACATTATTTGATGAAATTCAGCAAAACAATCATTGGCAACCTGTAATTGTCGTGGAAACGTCAGAGTATCATCAGGAGCCAATTAAAGTCATTATAGATTGGTGGTTGTCCCAGAAGGGTTAAAAAATACTACTGGAAGAAGCTTTATTTTATACCTGTATAAAAAATCTTTCTTGACATTGCTGACCTTGAAATAGAACCATTGCATGTGTCTATTGGTGTACATATCAGACCTTAGATGTAGTTCGTAGTAATTCGGAGTAATCATAATGGCTTTGGCAAGGTTTCCAGATTCAAAACGGGATTCGAACCTAAGTGTGTCCTCTTCGGGAAAGGAAAGCGTCGAAAGAATATATTTGCTACCTCCCACGCTGGACCTACTGAACTGAAATTGTCTTTGTTTGAGAAACAAAATCATAAAATATCGAGAAAATGTATACCTATACTGTAATGGTCTATTGTTTTTAGGATAGATTGGTGAAAATAAAAACTATGTTACTGAAGGACACTCACTGATGTCACTGTATTATAAACATTGACGCATGAGTCGAAGCAATGATTAATACTAATAATGATCTTCTTGTAGGCTGAAATCGATTAACACTATCCATGCTGATCAACATTATAATTAAAATGTGGTTTATATCTTTGTCCTGTAATAGAGGAAGAAGAGATTAAATCTGACTTGTTTATCGGCGATTTCACATTTACGTTTCCCTTGTCGTCATAATTGTATCATATTGATATCTCAAGTTACCCAAAAATTGTACTATTGTACGTCTTTACATGTTGTTCTGTAATGGTGATAACTACTACGTTCCAAGGTAGGTTATTACTTACATAATTAACTGCACTAATAGGTGTATATTGAAAAACAATCGTCCCAAGTTCTTCTCCTGAAGGTTTCGGTTGGCATTCGTTCCCAGTTGGAACATAGTAGGGCTCAAAGCTTGGAGGAGTATCGCTGATATGATGAACTCGCTCTTCTAAAACCTGTAGCATTTACACCATGTTGTCAGTTGCCTCAACTTTACTATTGCATGTTTATCAAGTTTGTAATAAGTTTTGAGGATAAAAGAAATTATGTGGGGTTTAGAATATGTGATATTACACAAATCAAGCAACTGTGTGGTTATAAAGATCCAGCAAAATTGATTTATTTCGTATAATTCATAAACTCAAGCTTTGTTTTAGAGTAAGGAAGACATTCTTCGAGGGAGCAAGGTTTCAGTCTTTTCTGGTCGTTTCTGTGATCTAAAGGGTGCGCCATCAGTTTTTTTTAAGTTGGTATTATTTTGACAGATGGTAACACTTCCATGCTCAACATATTGACAGATATATTGTGTCAAACCCGCTGTGAGCAATGGGTCGTTTCAATTTTGAACAAAGGTGAGAAATATTGAAAAACTATTTTCAAAGTGAGTGCTGCGTTGCAGAAACTTGAGAAAACTGTCTGGTCGAAATGAAGCTCCATTCGCGACTGGTATACGAAAATGCGTGAAGAAGGTTCGTAAAACTGGCCTGCTTGTGGATAACAGAAGGTATGAGCGTGTTCGACTCGTACGTACAGTCGAAAACATTGCTGCTGTTGCCAAGAATCTGCGTGAAAACGCAAGAATGTCAACTTGTCACAGATCACGACATTTCTTTGTGTGGGCTCTAAATAAATTGGAAGCGGGCGACAATTTTGGTTGCCAAATCATCTTTTCGGACGAAGCCCATTTCCATTTGGGAGATTACGTTAACAAGTACAACTGTAGGATTTGAGGTCCTGAAAATCCACATGTCATAGAAAACCAATGCACCCAATAAGAGTAACTGTTTGGTGTGGCTTTTGGAGTGGTGGGATTATTGGTCCCTACTTTTTTCATGACGAAGATGGTAACAGCGTGACGGTAAACGGGGAACGCTATAGAGACATGTTGAGGAGTTTTTTATGGCCACTATTAGACCACATGCACTTGCACAACCTCTGGTTCCAGCAGGATGGTGCAATATGCCACACCAGCCACGAAACGTTTTTTTCACACTCGGTCATCGCGTGATCTGCCGTTTTGGAGGCGTTCATTGGCCAGCCCGCAGCTGTGATTTGACGCCCATGGGTTACTTCCTATGGAGTACTGTTAAGGACCGCTGTTACACTAACGATCCTCAAACAATTGATGTTCTTAAGGAAAATATCCGTCGAGCTATTGATTAAATAGACCCACAAACTATCGAAAAAGTGCTTAAAAATTGGGTTAAGAGGATAGAATACTGCCAGGCCAGCCGCGGTAGCAGTATTCTTTTGAATAACGTATCGAGTGTTACATATTATTGAAGAGTATAGTTTTGATACCAATTTAAAAAAGAAACCTGCGGATGGCCCACCCTTTAGATGTAGTATTTGTGTGAAAATAAATTAGAGATATATGTGCATGTAGAGTGCCAAGTTATATAATTTAATTGGCTAGACTTTAAACACAGAGTAATGCAGTTATACCTGACATTCCGTAGGCCATCTTGGGGGTTGAGTATTAAATGGTGCCTCTTTGCTATTGACGAACCATTCTCTGGATGTAACGTCTTTCAGCTTGAACTTGCTATCATCGTCATCATCAAAAGGTGATTTTACTAAGAAATTTGAAAAATAGCTGCCGGTGTTTGACAAAGGTGGTAAGAATAATGCTGACTGAAGGGCTTTAACTGAAGATTCTGAGGAGTGTTCTAATACTTCTGGAAAAAAACACAAGTAGGTAGCTCCACTTATCCCTCCGCGTAGCTCGAAAATGCGGATCTTCTGATCTCACAAGATTAAAAGTTAGTTCTAGATCTTTTACCTAAGAGTGCGAAAATTTCACCATTCTTGGTATTCCTTCTAATTCCTACGCCACTGGACGCGAAAAATTTCGAAAATGATATATTGCATGAGATATATTAATTTTTGGATGTTATACATCACAAAAAATCATGTCACGCCACTTTCGTCAGTCTGTCTGAATGTCTTTTTTGTCTGTCGAACTGGAATGAAATTTTACACAATGTTACTGCTATGCCAGGGACGAAAAAGCTTTGTAGTTTTTGAAAATCGGTCTAGTGGCGGTGGAGAAAAAGGCCAAAATCGAAGAATATAAAAACTTGTCAATCCTGACTATTTTTGAAAGCAATGTTAAGGTCAAAAAAATAGTAGTGGAAATTCGGAATTCGGAGTGGGGAAGGATGTATCACAATTTTTTAGCATGCATTTCCAGCCCCGATAATTGTACGCACCTGTTAGACCTATTTCACCTATTGCCCTGTGCATTTGCCCTTAAAACTTGAAACTATAGAAAAATGTTTTCGACAAGCGGCCCTTAAGATTTATGAACAACTAATTCACTAATACTGGAAATTACTGAGTTTAGGCAACGGTTTATCTTCTCTTCTATACTCTATCTTACACCATGTTTGTACCCAGTTCGGATATTTCATTTTCAAGTCTGTCATCTCGTCGTTCCTTCTGTGAACGGCTAAGGGAAGCATCCTGACAGACATATTGTCTAACAAGCCAGCCAGGAGAGATCTTATATTAAGTTGAAGATAGAATAGCGCAAAAAGAAGAATACGGAGAATAACTTTAATTCAACGGATATGCTATACAAGTACTTCCACCATATTTGAATTCTCGAAATTCTATAGCTAACTTGTTGTAACCCACCGAATGTGCATTCGTTTTTATTTGATCGTTGTTTTGTGGTATATGGGATCCTGAACTATAATAAACGGCTATCAAATTTTCATAGAACTATTTTTCAATTTCGGTATCAGAACGTAACACGAAAATATTCCAACTTTAATAGCACAGCCACCATAAATTGAACTTACGGCACCACATCCGTCTATCGGCAATTTACAGCGCCAAGTGCGAGAACTTACAGGAAAACTTTATGCAATATCGCACGTCTCCAAGATTGTGAAAACATAATTTCCATTTTTATCGCTATCGACGGTCTATTAACTTGTTCGAGGAAAGTATCGATTCTCATGAACATGCACGAGGAAACAAAATGCCATTGTTATTGAAGGAAAAATTGGGGTAAGCTTTGGTGAGTTTTATTATGCAGTGATAATTCAGAAATGACTGAACCAGAAAACACATTTATAATAGATACAAAAATGTCACCACAATTTACGGGCAGATTGTAGATTTAGACGCTTCGGAGTATGTTTTTCTTATTGAGGTAAATTGGTACGTTCAACGTACTTTTTGAAAACGATAATTGAACTGGAAACCAACGAAATCTATGTACATAGTATCTCACCTTATATCGGTACGTCTGTTATCATCAAAACAGTGTCCAAAATCTTAACATTTCTGAGTTGGCGTTGAATCAGTTCTCAAGTTTAATGTTCCGCAATTATGCATGCTTTAGTTTTCTATGTGAATTTATGCTAACCTACGTTAACTACTCGATTTACATCATTTGTTGGTCGAATTATATACGATCAGTATTTACCGGCAATAATTATCATGGATTGGATTGGATGGACATTTTTCGGATAACCAAGAGATTACTAGAAATTAAAGGGACAGGTAATGCTATTTCCGCTCAAAATGGCTAAAGTAAGAATCTAATCTATTTGATACAAAAAAGGAGTTTCACGCTTTTTCGACACCTCCATGGTTCTTTGATAATTTATGGTGTTTGTGTTATGAAGATCAAGTACTGACACCCATCAGTCTGTCTATTGGCGATTGTGTCTTTGAATAATTTCAGTAACCGTTGCAGCAATTTTAATGGGAGAGAAGATGTAGTAGATAATGCTGGTTTATGGTGTCTCTCCCATCCCATTAAAAGGGCTGCGACTTTTGCTGAGACTACCTAGTGACAAAATGGCCCATAGACAGACTGAAAGTGACTGACTTCCATTTTTTTGATGAAGACATCATGAAGCATCCGAAAATTCCTTCATATTTACGCGTGGTAGTAAAAGATGGATTCACTTCGTAATAGTATTTTTGATCATAGATAATATGGAGTTATCTCCACGTGGAAACATGTTGTATGCTGACACGTTGCAACGTACGTAGAGTGCGGAGCATGCCGCGTGTCGTTTTCATACGAATGCTTAACTTTCGCTTTTTATACTTGAAGAACCATCAAGGTATCGAAAATGCGTAGCACTTTTTTTGTAGAAAGTTTTATTATCTATAAAAAGAGGCTAGTAATCTTTATACTCTTAGGTTGTTAGTTTAGTCATTATAGCAAAAATTTCATTGTATGTACTTTTACCCTTAATTTTCTCGTAACCTGTTGACAATATGATACATTTTCATAGAAGCTAAAGTGAGGACAATTGAGAAGCAATATTCTAACGATACCACAAAAAAATACTGTCGTCAAAATTATCTATTTCCTGTCCTATGTCCTGCTTCATCACCCTGTAACTTAAGAGAGCTTTAGTGGTTAGTGACATCGGCTTTAGCAGTTGACAAGTCCATTACAGTGACGTAAATTTCGAAATAAATTGTATAAGTATTTGATACAAAATGATTTTGGAATTGTTATTTCCGATTTAGATTGATATCAATCAAAATATCCTTGCATGATATCGACCAATCAATCTATTCAATAGGAATAATACGTGGATATACCGTTTTATCGTACATCTATATTAAAGAAAAATATTTTCTTTAAAAAAGGACGTAATGATGTAAAAATACAAAAATAAATAAAAATGCTTTAAGAAGCATGAAGAACTTATTAGAAACAGTCAACAAAGATTTTCAACGTTTCATTTACACAAGGAGATTGAAGGAGTTCACTAACCTTTGCCCGCACTTTCATTTTCGTTGTCCATCGTTTGTGGATACTGGGCATGGGCAGTGTGAGTGGTCATCACCTAGGTCCCATCTTCCGCTGGGGATTCACGTCACCACTTATGTGCTTCCACGTCGCTCGTCACCACTTTCCACTATTCTTCACGCGCATCCAACTGGCGATGGCTCCGATTTTTGTGCATGACAACCAGACTCAACGCTCCAAACTATTTCCATGGAAATGGAATCAATAGCAGTGAAACCGATTGCAAATAGTCTGGTCGATTCTCTGTAAATAAACTTTTCGTGAGTTGCAACCTTTGTGGTTCCAGCTTTGTAAAGGTATCAAAGGCTAACTTGAGAAAATTTTAGGAAACAGTGGGGGAACAGCAGTCGTCGCGAGCCGATCATTGGCAAGCGATAACTTATTGTGACTGATGTTTCTGCTCATAAAACCTTTTGAAGTGTAGCAATGGATCTGCGCTCAAAACTTTTTGAAGGGTGGAAGGGTAGTAACTTTTCTCAGGGTTTGGAGGGTTGGGTCAGGAAAGCCTAGGAATCCCCAAAATTGCACATAAAGTCAGGCTAAATATGCAAATCCAACCGCATTCTCAGGACCTCTGCGGGTGCCCATGTCACAAATCTTACTTCTGCTTGTGTATAGTTGAGTAAGACTATAAGCTGTGGCTGTCATGCCGTGCCCTTCAGCTGAAAGGACCCAACTATTCGTAGACAGCAGCGGTGGCCGCAGTAGTAGACTCTTTGGTCACCTGATCAGTCGTCCCAGGAGAAATTTTTCTCTTGGCTATGGATGTTGTGATTTTTCGTAGGTGGTAGACGGTCTCTGACTGTCGAACGTGGAGGTACCACCTGGCGGATCTCGTAGGCGGAGCCAGAATGTGTGCATGTTGTGTTCGTGTTCCCTCGCCAGAGTCCGTGTGGCGTTCCCTCTTTCCCCTGTATCCCCCTATAGCCCCACGGTACCCAATGGGTGTTTAGGCCTTAGGCCTTCGAGGTAGTTGCAGTATAAAAAAATCTATAAACCTTGCCGCGCCCTATTTCAACAGTTATTTGAATCATATTTATAAAGTCTATAAAATGTCAAAGCTTAATAATGTAACTGTTAGCTTTACAAGAATGGCATGGATAAAACCAAAAGACTCCGATATGCAAGTTCATATTCCATAAAACGCTGTATTTCAAGTTTTGTATAAAAGGTAACCGTCAGGGTCAAGAAAATAAGAGTATTTTCTCTTTCCACGTTACAGGTGCATCAGGGTCGCGAACACTTTCACAAAAAGCTGCTTGGCTGTGATTTCAAATAATGAATTAAATAAACAAAAATAATCACAATTTCAGAAACAATGGACTATAAATTTAAACATTTTTTTCCACTTCAAGCTTTCAAATAAAAGCGATGACTTTTTGACAAAGGATGAAAAAAGGGTATAACATGCTTTTATTTGAAAACTTGGGATCTTCATTATCGTTCAAATATTTTCAATGGGAAAATATTTTTAAATTTATAGTTCATTTTATGAAACTTAAATAAAAACTTGTTTTTAACAATTTATTTTTTATTTCATTTATTTTTCACTTTCAGTATTTATGATGTAAAATAACCAGTTTGGTAATTTCTGTATGTTTCATATATTATATTCATAGCACTCCATTAATCCTACTTTACTTGTATTAGGAAATTTTGATAGATATAAATCATGTAATGATATAAATCGATATTTTGCGGCGATGGTCATATGTAATTTAGAATGACGTTATTTGCTTTTCGTGTTTCTCTCGTCAAACCCTCAGAATAGGGGGTGACCATATTGGAATTAAAATACATCGCGTTGTTTGTTGCGTTTCTCTCATAAAGCCCTTTAATTTCATACCTGTATCATAGGTATGACAATTATAAACGCCATTTTGGGGCGGTCGTCATATTGGATTTAGACTCACGTGACTTTGCTTATTGTGTTACCCTCATCAAGCCCTTTCAGTTGACTGATGCCTATGTCGTCGGGGTAACGATAAAATATTATGTAAATCGCCGTTTGACTGCGGCCGCCGCATTAGAATGACTTCATTTTGCTTAGTGCGTTTCTCTCATCAAACCCTTTTATTTATTCAAGATCAACTGGTTAAAAATTCAGTTACAAGATTTGTCCCACACATATATACCTACAGTATGCTAAAATACAAACAGGTTACATTAAATAATAATAAAAACTTGTCATTATATTTTTTGTTTCCAGGGCATTTTGTTTCCAGGTCCCCTACTATTAGGATTTCAAAATAACATTTTTACTGAACGTCAATAAAAGGCTTTTGGTCATTTTGACGCACAGTCAAACATTATAGATGATTTTTTTTAAATGCCCTCTGGATGTAAATCACGTGATAAATAGAAAAATAGAATTTTTTATAATCTGTAAATTGAGTCACTTATTTTTTATCGTATAGGTCCGCATTATTTTATCTAAAACAGGCGCTTGCTATGTTGAGGCATGTCCAATTTATTTTTTGTCTTTCCGTTTTTCTTTTCATTGGCATTACTTCAGGGTCCAATTCTTGAATGTGTTCTATCACCTTTTCTTACAGCTTTTGACGCGTGTTTTGGCGTTTATCAAATAAATCTGTGAATGCATCTATTTTCGGCAAAATGGTTTCTAGGTTTTTTAAGACTGCCACGCCCAATTTTGTCTTAGTTACTCTACTCCCCATTTCAAGAGTATTGTTCCTAGAATCACACACATCGGTAGCCTTCTTGAAATCATAGCCTAAATTGACCAGTCTGATCTAGTTTAAGGGAAACATTAAATTTTCAGGCAACTATGATAATGACTTCCGAGTAGCCTGTATTCTGGGTCGCTGGTATTAGATTTTATTTACGTGAGAACACAAAAATTCTTTGTACGTATTGTTATCAAAAATTCCATATATTTTGGCATATAAACCATACGATTTACAGAAATATGCTGGTTAGGCTATTGTGAAGTTTTGAAACATGTCAAGCATTTGAGAGCTGAAAATTGTGATATGATCAGCATGCTCAGATATTTGGGAGTTAAAATGTTAGTATATCAACGTCATAGCGCTTCACTTGGGATGGGTTGATCAGTCACTAAGAACAACGAAAATCCAGTGAATTGGAAACCCGTTCGTATAAGGCAAATTTTTTAAACTTGGTCAACTGAATAATACTCCTATCAAACCCCCCTTCTGTTTGTCCAAAGTATAAATAAGTTTGCGTTTTCATATTCTGCTGGTATTGTCTTACTTTTGGTGAAACTAATTAACTGCTTGTGCTATTGTATACAAGTCCATTTATGTATTTTGCATTTTTTTTTCGTTGTATTTCTCGGACTAATGGATTAAACTATTATGTTATGCCGTGTTTGATGCAGGTTGCCTTTCCCTTTTATAGACCCACGGTTATGAAGTTATGCAGAACTTTTATGACTTTCGCTAGGGTAATTTCGCTATCAGGTTGATATAATCTATTCAGTGGCGGTGCCAACATTCTTACTTTCTACGCCAATAGGCGGAGAAGATTTTTTAAATATCATGCAGGTTGCTTCCAAAACACAAACGTTGTACGACCTTGTCCTCTGGTTTTCATGCTGATAGAACTCCATGATCATCTGGACAAATGAAACTATTGACGTTCCGGTCACTGCGATGGCCTTTTTTAAAGTACAAATTACTGACAATTATTGTCACACATTTAAGATTTAGTTTGGCTAGAAAATTATGAAGTACTGTATGACCACATGTCCTTTAAGGATTTTCTAAAAACCGCGTTCGAAGATGCTTGGAATACCAATCACATGTGAAGTTTCTAACTCTGCTAAAACAAAAGAATTTCCTGCAAGTAGAATATACATCCGGAAACGGTAAAATATCTTGATATATAATAGACCGATATTCACCAAATTTTGAACAGAGAATTATTGATCATTCCTGGTGAGGTAGTAACAATAGAGCCGTTATCAGATTTGCCATTTTTTTTAAAGATTCCTATTTTTCAAATTTAAGTGGATTGTTGTCTTTTTTTATTAGCGTATATCAGCTCTCTATTATCTATTGGTATAACCCAAAAGCAGATGTAGCGTGGTTTCTGAATAAACATTAAATCCAGCACCAATGCAATTATTACTGTCTGAACGACTGCTGGTCCGTCTGTTCAAGATCTGGTAGATATCTGCCCAGTAAGTTCCAGGATGTTAGATATATTTCCAAACTTGATAATTATTAATTATGGTGCCATATCTTCATAAGCAGACTAGATGGAGTTCAAAAATTTGGAACCTATACTAAGTGGTGTAAGGTTGTGAATATCCGATAATAAACAAGATATATATTCGAACTTTTGAAATGTTGTAGTTTCTAATGAAAGAAACGGATCTGGTAACAACACGGCTGCTACTACCTGACTCTGTACAATTAATTATCTTTCTGTTCAAAATTTGGTGAACATCGCACCAGTACTTTCCGAGAAATGAGCCGTTTCCAGATCCGTGACTAACCCTCCATAAATAATTTACTAAAGAAGAACGTTAGTTTTAGTATGAGGTACATATGCGATTTCTTGATAGAGAATCTATTAGGGGTCACATTTATAAACGTTCCTTCAGGTTGGAGCACTGTTTGAGGAATGATCTCTGCTTGGATTTCTAACAAACAATAACACTTGCTTAAGGACCGTTCATGGGAGTATTTAACACACGTACTTCACAGTAGGCTGTAGCAGTTACACGATTCACTATTTTCAAAATGTATGATATATTCAATATTATAAAAATTTTCATATTTTCCAGTTTTAAAATTTCCTTAATTATCGTCAAAGATTCAAATGTAATCAAAATGCGCAAAAGCTTTAAAAATTACCAAAAACTTAAAAATTTTGATAGGCCTGGAAATTATGAAATTTTAAAAATCCAGAAAATCTGAAAAAGTAACTATTGGAAACATGTGATGACAACTGTGACACATTTTTAACCTTTACCAACTTTTGAAAGCATGTGATGAAAACTGTTACAGCCTATTGTGAAATGCAAATGCCAAATCCTCCCTTGAAGGTTCATCAAGGGAGCGTTGTTGTTTGTTTAATATACAAGGAAAGATCATTGCTTAATCGGCATTGAATCTTCAACGAATGTCTATAAATCTGACCCGAAATTTCGTGCAACACTAATTTTAGTATTCAAAATATTTAAGCTGTTCAAAGCATCTTAGCTTTTTTATAGCAAAGCAGCTGCGTAGGCAGAAGCCTAAATACCAGGGCACCGCGCCTGCTTTGAGGGAACTAAAAAAACATTGTTAATTCGATTTAAGAACTGCATAAGGTTGCTGGAAATGGGAAATGCTTCATCAGGTAGATTCCACAATCTGGATACCCTAGTGACAAAGGAGTTGTCGTATCGGTCAATCCTGGATGTACGAAGTTCTACACGGTTACGATGAGAGGCTGAAGTTAGGCCGGTCTGTCTGGCAGGCACATCGCGCGGCGACATCATAGCCGAGAGCTCTGAGGAGCAAAGTCCAACGATCTAACGGCAGAAGAGAGGTCGATCGCCGAAGGCCCGTCGGTGCGAAATAATCCCGAGACTGTCCGTTATAGAAGAGTCATCGATCGTTGGACAGCCCTCTTCTGAACATCTTCGAGCATGGATAATGTAGTCGGGGCAACAGCACCCCAAAGATGAGAGCAGTACTCGAGGCTAGTTCTTATCTGGGCCTTGTACATAGTTAGGAGGATGAAGAGAAAAGTACTTATTAGCCCTAAACAATAGCCTACCTGCCGGATGTGTTAGTGCCCGATCAAAATAGAACTCGGCCATCCATCGAAACTGAATTAACGCTAGGGCGGTGATAACCTCATGGTCTCTCGTCGCTGCTAGTCTTCTTTTCTCCACATCACCGGCAGAGTGTCTTTTATCTAAACCGGTATAAGATCCCCTTTATGTGCCGCTAATGAGGGAGGTATTACAAAGATTCCTTTCTCCTTTGTTCTTTATAGAACCAAGTTCATTTGCCAAAATTGCTTTTTCGACAATAAATACCTATTATTGCCCGCCGCTTACAGTTCGCCTGAGAGCATTTGCCAACTTTGTTACGGTGGTTATTTTCGTTATAATTAATATTGTACTTGACATAATTTCCTCGCACCTGCTATACTTTTCCACGGAAATTATGAACATATTTTTAGCACTATCATTCAATTCTGATGAGGTCAATTTTGTAAAACGTAAAAACGGGAAAATGATACGGGCTTTGACGTCAGTAAATCGATCAATAATTATGGTCTATAATGTACAAGGCCTTGGAGATTTGAGATTACCTGTCCTTTTAATGTCACTTTAGATATCTTCTGAAATAACTACCTAAATTTAACTATACTAAGTGACATATAAATCCGAACACCCAGTTTAGATGGTTTTATTTTAATAAAAGTTGGTAAATGTATTTATCTTACCGTAAATAACAAGTGAAAAAATTTTCAGCCTTATCAGTTGGACATTCCGGTTTTTATACTGCTCTTTTTTAATTCACTAACGTTCTAAAAATGAATATTTCAGCCGCAGTAAAGAATCAACGTTGGCGGATTTTGGTTCTTGACATCCTTTACGATCGGTTACGATGCCTAGAGTACGGAGACCTGTACGATTTCGTCAACTTAGTGAGTTTGATAGGGGACGTATAGTGGCGTCGGGAAGCTGGACTTTCTTTTCGGGCAATTGCAGTTAGAGTGCAAAGAAGTGTAGACACTGTGGTTAGGTGTTGTCAGGCATGCCTTCGAGAAGGCCGTACGCAAAGAGCAAGGGGCACTGGACGCCGCCGTAGAACAACAGACCGTGAAGATCGCCGCCTAAGATTATTGGCCTTAAGGGACCGTTTCTCCACTACCAGGTCCATTGCAAATGAACACGGAATACCTATTGGCATGCAAAGTGTTTACCGACGAATGAGAAGTTTTGGCTTGTTTTCATACCGGCCACACTGGGTTCTCCCTTTAACTCGAGAACACCGACGTAATCGCCTTGAGTGGTGCAGACAACGGTCACTCTGGGATCAGGAATGGAACAGTATTGTTTTTAGTGACGAGTCTCGATTTTGTTTAGGCATGCACGATGGTCGTGCCAGGGTTAGAAGGCGACGTGGTGAAAGGAGGAATCCACAGTTTTTTGTTGAAAGACATGTTCATCACACTGTTGGAGTTATGGTTTGGGGTGCTATAGCTTATGGTTCCAGGTCACCTTTAATCTTCATCAGAGGTAACATGAACGCGCAGCGTTATATCCACGAAGTTCTAGAACCCCATCTTTTACCCTATCTTGACACCCTGGCAGATCCAACTTTCCAACAAGATAATGCCCGACCACATGTTGAAAGAGTCACAATAGACTTCTTTCAACATAATGATGTCACATTGTTACCATGGCCACCAAGATCTCCCGACTGATCCCCAATTGAGCACGTGTGGGATATGATGGGTAGGAGATTGTTCAATTTGCAACGTCCTCCTCAGACTCTAGAAGCACTTCGAGAGGATTTGGTGGTTGCCTGGAATGAGATACCACAGGAGGACATTGACCTCCTGATCAGAAGCATGCCTAGGCGCGTTGGAGAATGCGTAGCACATCAGGGTGCATCCACACATTATTAAAGGTCAAAAGGCTTTAAAGCAGTGCAATCATTTTGAAATTTTTATCATTTACTTATTATGCTTCATTAAGTACTTATACAAAATTTTATCAAAATAAAACCATTTAAACTGGGTGTTCGGATTTATATGTCACTTAGTATATAAAATTATGCGTAATGTGACATTACCGAATTATCGTTGGAACTAAGAATTGTGAAAATAGACAAGGCGGAAGCAGCGGCCCTACAATGAGAATACGTCTTCCATTCGATTTGAATAAAATTTTGTCGTAAATTTTCTCTAAAGCTGACCGTTTTTTGTTGAGCAATTTTATCTAATACAATGCAAAATTTTCCATTTCCAGGGCACAATAGAAATAAAAATATTTAAGTCACCTAGTACAGGTTTTTCTAATGAAACTTTAGAGAGCTAAGAATAGACCGAAAAAAAATTAGAAAAACTGACAGCGGTTCAGTGTTTGCTTAAATTTCTGTGGACGGCATGTTGGTCTTTATTCTGTAACCCGTCGCAAAGGTGATAAAAAATCTAATAGGAATACTTTTTCCAACGATTCCGTCGTGTTTACATTGTAGTTGTAGTTTTGTTTCGTAATTGTTTACTAAAGGTTGTAAAAACCAATTTTTCGCGTACATTCAAAAACTAAGAAGTATTGGCCCAGGCTAGTTGGTCTACAGCAGAGTTGTAGAGGATGAAAATACCTTTAAAATAATATTTTAGTATGTCCAGTGTCCAAAAAATGACCATTGGATTCAAAAACTTTAGTAGCAATTATTAATTGTCGGAAAATGTTGAGCATTTTTAATAAAAAGAATTTGAATGTTTAACTTCAACACTACAAAAAGGATTTAAGTTTTAGGCATTATTTCATACTTTCTGTGGCGCAATTTTTGGTAAGAAACTACTTAAAAATTAGGTGTTTTCGAATAATCAGTTAACCGCTACACCAAATTGAAAATACAAGGTTCCATTTTGAAGATATGTTCATGCTCTACAAATTTCCTCTAAAGCAGATTTAGTAGTACTCCATATGTTTTTGAATATATAGGGCGTTCCCTAATGAAGTGGCTGTATTTTTTTACTACAATGTTTGGAATTTTTAAGAACAAATAGTTTTCAATTTGTAATTTTGGAAGTGCTTCAAATATTATTTTTGTTTTTATTATGTTAATGATGTATCACAAGACAAGTTTGCAGGGAGCCCACCAATGACTCAATAGAATAACTGTTTACAGTAAAATGTGTTATTTTATTCTCTTATAATATCCCAAAACTAAAGTAATATTTCTTCCTCAAGAGTTTAACATCCTGAAGCTAAAAATCTTAATTTGTGTGTCTTAACATTGCGGACATATGTTCATAAACTTTTCTTCTTAAAATCTCTCGAGAAATCATACCGGAGATTTTGCACATCATTAACGAACTCAATGTATTTTTTTTATACTCCAACTACCACGAAGGCCTAAGGCCTAAACACCCATTGGGTACCGTGGGGCTATAGGGGGATACAGGGGAAAGGGGGTACGCCACACAGACTCTGGCGAGTGAACACGTGTGCATGCAACATGCACACATTCTGGCTCCGCCTACGAGATCCGCCGGGTGGTACCTCCGCGTTCGACAGTCAGAGACCGTCTACCACCTACGGACAATCACAACATCCATAGCCAAGAGAAAATTTTCTGTTGGAACGGGATTCGAACCCGCACAGCGCACGGCGACTGATCAGGAGACCGAAGAGTCTACTACTGCGGCCACCGCTGCTGCCTAAATCAGAAAAAGTTACTAGTTTTCAACCTGACTGACGGTTAATGAATAGTTGTCCAGCAATTTTTTTTGTATCTGTAGATGAATAACCTTTCCATTTACCCTCAAGAATATATTTCTCTTATGAAATCCCACTATGCGGTTCTTTTTCCGAAAGTCTAATAACCAAGCTTACCTTAACCTATGAAGCCAGATAGAAATAGAATAAACTTCCTACCTCAGTAGAAACAATATTTAAAAAACTCATACTTTTGAGTTATCCTCGAACTTAAATAATAATGATAAAGCATTTATTGCCCAACAGTTAAGAGATGCCATTTACACAGCAATACATAGTACAATGGTTTAATTTACACAGTCTGTATGCCATAAAGTGAAACAAAAAGCACAAAAAAGAGAAATGCGCTTTAAGTAGAGAGAAAAGAAACTATGATTATGATTAATAGATATTACGATAAAAAATATATATAGCTATATCATTTAATGTCCACACGTAAATATATAACAAACAAATGACCAACATCTCAGGGTAATACCCCGTTCCGCAGCATTGCTAAAGTTATTTCATGCTAAAATAGGTAATAATGACCTTACCAGGTAAGAGTGCTTGAAAGTCTTCTTGTAATTATATAGAAACAAAAGTTTTACAAACAGTGTCAACAGGTTGTAGGTCTGGACTGTTCTCTTTTAAAATTTACACTTTCATGCTTGGCGTTCTAGGAATTGCAAATTTTATTAAGCTCAAAAGTTGGCAACGATTTCATACAAGATACGTTGGAGTTTCTCCAAATTTCTTTTCTTCGTGTTTATATTTCCTTACATACTGGTTTTATATCGCGCTTATTTGTTGGAAATAATTCATATATTTGAATTTACAACGAAAACAAAGGCGGTTTGTCCGTATCGATAATTCATCAGAACCACAATAAAAATATCAGTTAAACCGCGTTGAGCGTGATGACAAGGTCAATTTTCACCCAGATATGTTTGTCAACAGAATGTATAGTTTACATCGACATCATCGAGTTATTCATAGCCTTATGCATGCGGAAATTATTGCAATTGATTTGAGGTATTTGTGGCTATTTTGGTTCCGACACATCAACGCAGGCTAAATTTAAAATTGCTTCATTTCAGATACTTTATGATCTAAAATTCCATCTACAACGCCGCTCTCTCTTCTGTCTATCTGTTGAGGAAATCTTTTAGTCTAAGAAAGGGTTGGCGCGATAGTCGGAGAAACATTTTTTCTCAAATCGTCGGGCGCACAATACGCTTTTAGCAGCAACGACATCGGGGAAATCCATGCAAAGCGAACATCCTGGGCAAAGCGACTTTCCCGTTTTACATTCAAACTATGACTTGGCTATCACCAAAAGGTAGATGAACTTGTTCAACTTTCTGTAATAGGCGGCAATCAATTGTAGCAGACTCCGAGTCCTTAGTTGGGTAGAGGAGAAGGTGCTATTATGGCCCCACATTTTAATTTTTGCACGTAAAAAACAACCTAATGTTTTCTCGTTGACCTATTTATAATATTCAATCATTCAAGAGTAAGGGGTCATATAAGTGAAAAAATAATAATAAAAAATGTTTCCAGAAAAATATATTTTTGTGACTCTTGCAAACATTCATTTTTTCGAAGTAGGCAGGTAATATGGCCCCGGGGGGCATATTGCCGAGCAAAATATATAGTAGAAACGCAATAAGCTCTCAAAGTTTTATCTACAAAAATCGCATATGTAATATTCTCGTTCGGCTCCAGAGCACTCATTGTGTGCCCACATCGCACAGCTTTGGCACTGGACCCATATTTCGCCTTTTCGGTCATCAGAGAAACGGCGGTCACAAAAAATACAAGTTGCATCGTTGTTCTCAGAAACTGCCCCTTGCAAAGATTCATCAACATCGGAATCATCACCACTGCTTGGAAGAACATCTTCATCACTGTCAGAACTGCTGCTTGAACTAGGGCTAGGGGCTCTTCTGGGGACTTTTGCATTTGACCTAAAGTTACGTCGACCGCGACTGCTTACGCGACCGCGTCCAGCTGCTGCCTCTGTAGTTTTTTTCATGGATGCTTCTAATTCCCTTACGTAAGTTGACGTAAGTACAGCTGCCGATGATGTTTTGCGTCCTCGAGTTGAAGTCTGTGTTTTGGGCTTCGGGATAGGTGATATATCATGCGGTAAAACAAAAGATGATTCAGAAGCGCAAGAACCGGGATGATAATTGAGAATTGTGTTTTCTACATGATCATTGATTGTTGAGGGCCCAGGTAATGTCCATCGAGTATAAGAAGTATGGGAGAGTTTTCTGTTGGGTGGGTTTTTTCTAAAAAATGCTCAAACCATGCAGTAAATAAATTGGTTTGAATCCATCCCGAAGAATGTACCCTTCCAAGCGCACCAGGGGGAGCTCCTTTCATTAAAACATCTGAAAAATTCTTCTTGGGGAATATCATCATTGGCGGTATGAAAGTGCCTCCAGCGCTCATTGCACTAACTATGGTTATCAACGAACCGCGTTCTGCAGCAGTTAAAGCTCCGATCTGCCTTTTGCCCTTTCGACCCACTACTGCTGGTATTTTTGTTTGTACAATGGTGATGCCTGTTTCATCTACATTGTAGATGCGATCTGCGGGGTATTGGCATTTTATGTATTCGGCTTCCAAAATATCAAAAAACTTATTTATTGCTGCTGGATTAAAACCTTGAACTCGTGCATAAGAGGTTCCCGTAGGTTTTCTGAGAGACAACTGAAGTTTGTATCTTTTAAGAAAATGATCCAACCATGCTCGACCTGCTATATCATTTTTAAAAGGATTGGGAATATTTGCTCCATGTGCAATATACATTCCACTAATTTTGCTTCTAGGTAAGGTGGCAACACAGGCCTTCTACCTAAGGGCTTCTGTACAACTAGCTCTGGCAACAACTCAGTATTATGGACGAGCCTTCTTAGAGTAGTTTTTGGCACACCAAAACTTTCAACTGCCTTTGTAAAACCCATAGACTTAGTGCGTACAGCTTCAACTGCCCTTGTCATCTGATCGGAGCTCCACGTCTTTCTCTTCCTATCCCTCTTTGTAGACATAATTGTTCGGGGCATCTACAACAATTTAAAATAAATTAAGAGCCGAATTTAGCGTTGAGTTTATTATAAATATATAAAAGTATCCGCAAAAATATTTAATATGGCCCCCTGGGCCATAATTCCAGCTTTTATAGGGGGCCATATTACATACATGGGTGTATTGTAAACACGTCACCAAAAAAAAACAAAAAAAAAATTATTCAACGTACCTACCTTCGTAACACACCTATTATTAGCCCTTTATCTTTGTACAGAACACAATGAATATGTTTCTAAACCATCTGTCTAGACAAAAACGTGTTAAATCCAAAAATTATCTACTACGCACGATACCACGGAATTGGCAATACTGGCCGAACCTGTCGATAAGTCGACCTCCTTCTTTCTTCTAAATATTGTTTGAGGACCGATTTGTGTCGTTTACTATAAAAATCATAGATGACTCTCCGGTTTCTATGAAATTAAAAGGGGGGCCAAATTAACAGCAGCGGCCATAATACCACCTTCTCCTATACCAAACAGAAAATATGACCTTGCAACAAGAAGATTGATTTTGGTGTGTGAACAATGTAAATTTATATATAAAGTAATAAATAAAGCGCAAAAGTGCTATAGATAAATACTTCTTAACAATGATATACATGATTATAGTACTAGAACACATAGTTATGTGTATCTACCAGACTGTTGATATTAACATAGGTCTGAATAACCCCATATCACAAGCATCTAAGACATACAATGAGCCTTCAGAAGGGATAAAAACTACAAGTATTATTGTTTTATAAAAAGTCTGAAATATTATATTCGAAACAAATAATTTATATTGAAAAAAGTTAACTAAGGGCATTTAGAGTTATTTTACTATTATTATTCTCGATACCAGAGCTTAAAGCACTGTTTAGAGAATTCTGTGTTATACACGTATCTGTAATACTTATTTTTGTAATACTATATAGTTCTAAAAAAAACATTTTCTGCTAACAATTTCAATGTTGTACTTTTTATACAAACACGGCTTTTTAATGTACCTAATGCACTTTAAAAGTACTTTTCCATTTGAACAAATGAGTGGAATTGAGTCGATGGTTTTGGTAGAAATCAAGAAAGTTTCTAAATAAGTGACTTCTGCAAAGCGGTTAGGGCAATGTGATTAACCGTATTCGCACGTACCCTTATTTTTGTTGTTGATGCATTTAAAATTGGTACTTCAGTGCAGATTATACAGGGTGACTTCGAAGTTGAGTCATTTATGTTAACAGTGAGTAGATCTGATCAAAAGAAATGTTTTTTTCCTTTACCATTTTTCTGGTAAAATTAAAGTAACAAGGTTATAGCCCTTTAGAAGTTTGAGTACCGCCTTGTCTCAATAATAATATTATGTGCTCGTGTTTGGCAACAACAGATATAATCCGCCTTATCCGTTCATCGCATCGGAAACAAAAAAGCGAAAGAATTTGAAACGATGTTTTTAATACAATGTACAATCTTATTCAGTTGTATTCAGTCGATGTGTCAGTCGGTAACGCGTGAGTGAATAGTGGTGTTTGTTGCGTGGCTCAAACGAAATAAAAAATGGCACATGTTTACGAAAATGCTGAATGTAGTACAAAGGGCTCGTGAATCAGGTGACTCAAGACCTCACAGGGGAGGGCATACCGGTGCTCCAAGACCGCACGATTAAATACAGGTCCGCACTGAAATACTTGTCGGGAGGATACTTTATAAAACAAGGTAACATTTTTTTTAATTTTTTTTATTTTTACACACATATTTTGGTTTATCTTCCTTCTGCAGGGTGGGGCAAAAGTCGCGAAGGGATTTGAAAAATTAATAACTTTTTTAAATTTTAATTTTAATTTTTTTCCCTAACACAAAACTAAAATGCAATGTTTGGAGTTTGTTTACAATTTAAGTGTGAAAGATTACATCACGCAAATGACCGCCATTTTCAGCCTCGCAAAGTGCAGCTCTTGCAAGAGCATTTTCCATTACCCGAGTCAGAATATCTGGCCCCAAAGCACTTACTTCTGCTCGAATATTATCTTTTAGTTGCTGCAGGGTTGTGGGTTTATTAATATACACTTTTCCTTTCAGATATCCCCAAAGGAAATAATCAGGGGCTGTTAAGTCCGGCGAGCGGGCGGGCCAATTGAATCCTGAATTTCTCGAAATTAAACGTTCGCCAAAAATCTGCCTTAGAAGGTGCATAGTGGCTCGAGCAGTATGCGCAGTGGCTCCATCTTGTTGGAAAGTCATCGTTTGATTGTCAGCAAGAGCTGGTCTTAAGAAATTTTGAATCATATCACGATATCGGTCGCCATCTACAGATACAGCATTCCCATCGTGGTCTTCGAAGAAGAATGGTCCAATAATTCGTTGAGACGTAACTGCGCACCATACTGTACATTTAAGCGGATGTAATTGCCTTTGATGAACCACCCTTGGGTTCTCGGTACCCCATATTCTGCGGTTCTGCTTATTTACGAAGCCATTCAAATGAAAATGGGCTTCATCGCTCATGATCAGAGAATGAATAGATTCATTATCTTCTCGAGCCATTCTTTGCAAGCGAACTGCATAAGTTAGTCGTTCTTGAAAATCTGCTGGTTTTAGTTCTTGCACTAGCTGCACTTTATATGGAAACAGATGTAAATTTCCTCCTAATATTCTGCGTAAAGACCTTTGAGACATCTGCAGCTCAGCAGAACGTCTTCGGGTTGAGGTTTCCGGATTCTCCTGAACACTCTCCTGAACGCGTTGAATGTTCCCTTCATTTCTTGCGGAACGTGGCCTTCCGCTTCGTGGGAGATCCATAACTGTGCCTTGTTGCTGAAATCGTGCCACTAAGCGTCGAATCATTGATTCAGAGGGCGAATTCCGCAAATTGAAATGACGACGATATGCTCGTTGAGTTTGAATTATTGAATGGTGATATTCAAAATAAAATTCTATAAGTTTGGTTCGTTGATTGAGGTTGTAACGCTCCATAATTAATCTCCAGGATTTATTTTACACGGTCCTGAAAAAAAAAATGAAAACAAAATAAATTTAAAAAAGTTATTAATTTTTCAAATCCCTTCGTGACTTTTGCCCCACCCTGTACAATCATTATCTGAAAATTAATGACTCAACTTCAAAGTCATATGTGGATATGAAAAGAAAAGCAAGTCATGGGTCGTGTTCGGGAAACCTCAATTTATTTGTGTAAAACTGCGAATTGATGGTAGACACTGTAATGTATACATTTTTTAAGTGGCGTCATGAAGAATCTTCTAAACATGGAAGCACATTCTGTTGAGTTTATATATTTTTGAATAACATTTAGTTTTTAGTCATCTGTGATATAAATTCACTTTACCCAGGTGGTCTGAGCAAAGTGGATACAAATTGAAGGGGTGGTGGCGTCTAAATGCTTCAGCACTCAAGCACTTTTGAGAGCAGAAACAACTGAAGAGCGGAGAGTAGGGTAGTCTAGGGAGGGCGCACGTCTCACGAATCAGGTCTTCGCTAGGTAATTCTTACACGAACCCTATATATACCATTTTCTTGAAAAAGAAAAATGGCAGACGGGCGTGTAGGAGTGGTCGCCTCTCTCAATAAAAAATCTGTCCTTGAATGTTTCAGTAAAATTATAATGCTTAAAAAAACTGTATAGAAAATTATCATAATGTGCTACTCTCTACATAATACCAAAATCAAACAATTGAATCGAGGAGTTCAGTGTTTTTCTACTGTAGTATGGAGATCAGTTTATGAGCGCCTAACATTTCTATTATCAAATTAGTCTACTGACAATTAAATAACTTCTATTCTCAATCTGTAACTCATTTATCTACTCTGAGGGCTGGTAATATATATTTGTCCGAGCTCATAAGTGGCATACACTAATGAACTGATGAGTGGTGCCCTCAGGTGTCTACTAAGTTCTCGTTTTGGTCTTATCAGTTTTAATTTTAAATACAAATAATATGCAGTCGTATATGTATAGCCAACTTTAATGACAACGAAATGCAATTATTGTATCTAATCTTAATCAGCTAGCCTACAGATCTCCGCGCATAAAAGTTCAAACTTGAGCTTTGAACTTTAACTAAATTCCCTGTGGCAAATCACCGAATCGCCGATGACAATGTTGTATCGCTCTGAACAGTTCCTAGTAATTTTGAATTATTCATTTGTCATTTTACGATTTAGCTATCCCTTTCATAGCAACAACAAATTTTCTAAAAAACGTATGATTCCTGCACTATTTCTTGCTGACCTACTTATAAAAAAACAATCATGCCCTGACCTATTTGTTTGGACCATATTTGGAACCATGTCTGACCAGGTGACGATGGCGACAGCTGTCAGTCCTCGGTCGGGTCGGACCAGTGTTATCAGGTCTACCGATTTTTCGGTAGATCTACCGATTTTGGTCCTGGTCTACCAAACTACCGATTTTAAAGCAAAATCTACCGATAAGTGGACTTTTCTTTCAATTGAATAATTTTTGTTCCCTATATAAGAGAAATATTTCTGATGCATAGCGATAAAAAGAATGACAAAACTACTATTATTATTCGTACTAGACCAGATATATTTTTATTCTCTTTGCCTGACTATTGGTGTGCCACATACGCTGATTCTTCGCATGTGGGGAATCACCGAAGATACTCGACGATTTGGCTACATCGCCTAGGCCTAGCGGCTCGTGACAAGTCCACGGTCCATGCCTGTATTGTACGATTTGTATGATTTCGTGTACTTAGTAATTCCGAATTCGGACAGTATTGCAGTATTGCATTTTTTTTTCGCGTGCGTGTGCAAAAAATTATAAGGAAGACTGGGAAGAATTACCAGATCTCCAAGGCTGGCTTAAAAAAGCAATAAAGGGCGCGATTATGCGAAATGCATGGTCTGAGATAAAGATATTAATATCAAAAGTGGAAGAGATGCACTTATAAAACGCAAATGGGCAATTTCATAAAAAAGTGCAAACCATAGCAAAACAGCCAAAACAGAGTTGTCTTTTGCAGTTGCATGTGCATCAAAGAAATTAGAAAATGACATTGAAGAAGGTAACATTAATCAATCTATTTGAGAAGATCTGAGATTATATAGATAATTGTATTATTTCCAGCAGAAATTCGTTTGAATGCATTTTTGGCCAAGCATAATTTGCCAATCTTGCTGATGGACCATTTGGCAAAGCAAAATTAGTATAGTAGTTGTATATGACTGATAAAAAAATGAATCGGAAGAATGATTATCCATTTTAGCATACACATTTTTTATTTTATACACTTTTTCTGTTTTTCATTAAGAATATTTTATTTTTAGTTAGCTAAAGTGAGATATAAACTGTTTATTTTTGTTTTGTCTTTCTGTTTTAGAGTATATTTTGACTTGAATAAAATTGTTTCAAGTAAATGCCTTCATTTACTCTTCGGTATTCAATCCACCGAAAAAAACCTGACAGTTCTACCGAAATATCGTCGACTCCACCTGGCAACACTGGGTCGGACGCCTAGGTTTAGGTTATGTCAGGTTATGTTTTCATAACCTCGCTTTATGAGACCAGTTGTTTGGGAGTTCGGTTTTAGTTTGATTTTGATTCTCATATACAATTAATAAAAATGGTACGAAAGAAGATTGATAATCGAATTCGCGTGTTAATTGAGAATGGAGTGAAGTTGGGTCATAGAACGCTATTTGTGATAGTTGGAGATAAAGGGAGAGATCAGGTAAACCAAAGCATGCTGTTTTCGGGGAAAACTATTAAAACATCAATTTTACTTCTAGGTAGTTATTTTACACCACATGCTATCAAAAGCAGAAGTAAAGGCAAGACCATCAGTACTGTGGTGTTACAAAAAGGAATTGGAATTCAGTAGTCACAGGAAAAAGCGCATGAAGCAACTTCAACATAAAATCCAAGCAGGAAAACTGAGCATAAATGAAGAAGATCCTTTTGACTTATTCCTATCAGCAACAAAAATTCGTTACTGCTACTATGCAGAAACTCACAAAATCTTAGGTAACACATATGGGATGTGTGTACTGCAGGATTTCGAAGCATTAACACCAAATCTTCTTGCTAGGACTATAGAAACTGTAGAGGGTGGTGGTTTAATTGTACTGTTGCTCAGATCTGTTGATTCACTGAAACAGTTGTATACTATGAGCATGGATGTACATCAGAGGTTCAGAACTGAAGCACACCAAGATGTAGTGTGTCGCTTTAATGAGAGATTCTTACTTTCACTAGCATCTTGCAAAAGATGCTTGGTTGTAGATGATCAACTATATGTGTTGCCAATATCATCACACAACCTGCAGGTAACTCCTGTGGAAAATATACAAGATATTTCTGAAAATGAAGTAGAGTTGAACGATTTGAAAGAACAATTGAGAGATACTCAACCAGTGGGCAATTTAGTGAGTTTATGTAAAACCTTAGACCAGGCTAAGGCATTGTTAAAGTTTGTTGAGGGCATTTCAGAAAAGACCTTAAGGTCCACAGTATCATTGACAGCTGCAAGAGGTAGAGGGAAATCAGCAGCATTAGGTCTAGCTGTATCTGCAGCTGTCGCTTTTGGATATTCTAATATATTTGTCACAAGTCCTAGTCCAGAGAATCTGAATACCTTTTTTGAGTTTGTGTTCAAAGGTTTTGATGCTCTGGAATATCAGGAACATATTGACTATGGACTAGTACAGAGTACAAATCCTGAGTTCAATAAAGCTGTAGTCAGAGTTAATGTCTTCAGGGATCACAGACAGACCATACAAGTGAGTATGACATTGTATTTACTATAAAACATCTTTTATTAAGTCAATAAGTCAATGTTCATTGTATTACTGCAAAGTTGGGATATTCATATGCCCGCAATCAGTAACAGCATTTAGATTTTTAATACAGTAGTACAAGGACGACCTTTATGACAGTTTATTTGTTTTATTCCAATTTAAATTTATTTTGCTTTTAAAAAAAACACCTGATACAAGTTAGAGCATCAATTACTCACCCTCCACTCTATCTTGCAATCACCAGTGTTTTTTAAAAATCTGTAGTTTCTGTGACAAATGAAAATAGTTTCAAGTTATTTGAACAAAGCAACTAAGAACTGAGTAGATTTATGTATGTGTCCTTTTTCAGTATATCCACCCCACTGATAGTCACAGATTATCTCAAGCAGAACTATTAGTAATTGATGAAGCAGCAGCAATTCCTTTACCATATGTCAAATCAATGTTAGGCCCATATTTGGTGTTCCTGGCCTCAACAATAAATGGTTATGAAGGTACTGGAAGATCTTTATCTTTAAAGTTGTTGAATCAGTTGAGAGTACAGGCTGTGCCAGTGGGTGCCAATACTAATGCTGTTAATAAGAAGGATTCTGGGGCTGCTACTGGTAGGACTCTACATGAGGTATGTTCTACAAATTCATTTATTTATTGAGTCAGAACCTAGGCTCTATTTCTCTCCCAAGTCCACTATTCTTTACTGATTTATTGAAGATATTGATTATGTTCAAGTCAATCTTTCACCAGCTAAATCTTGACCGACACTAATGTACCACATCATAATGGGTTTATTGAATCTTTCTTACAGGTAACCCTGAATGAATCAATCCGTTATAAGCCAGGAGATGATGTTGAAGCATGGCTAACGAAATTGCTGTGTCTAGACTCTACATCTGTAGCGCCAATATTATCTGGTTGTCCTCCCCCAGATAGCTGCGACCTGTATTATATAAACAGAGATACTTTATTCTGTTATCATAAAGCATCAGAAGAGTTCTTGCAAAGGATTGTTTCTCTGTATGTAGCCTCTCACTACAAGGTAAATTAGGATGTTAATGTCATTTTTGTATCAAATTTACCAAGTTGACATATGATTAAAGTGATGTTAAGTTTAATTTGGATTAATAACTTCACATGATTTTCAGAATACACCAAATGACTTGCAAATGATGTCTGATGCACCAGCCCATCATTTGTTCTGTTTGTTGGGTCCAGTAGATCCAAAAAGAAAAACATTGCCAGAAGTATTAGTCATAGTACAAGTTTGCCTGGAAGGTGAAATTTCCAAGAGTTCTGTTATAGAAAGTTATTCTAGAGGAAAAAGAGCTTCAGGAGATCTTATTCCATGGACTGTTGGCCAACAGTATCAAGATCCAGACTTTCCTAGGCTATCTGGTGCAAGAATTGTTAGGATAGCAACTCATCCAGATTATCAAGGGGTAAAAATATGTTTAAGCTATTTTTCATCAGAGTTTAATAGCAAAGTATAAAAAACATTTTATAAAGGAATGTTAAATAATTTTGTTTTTATTCATGTGGTTGTGTATTTCAGATGGGATATGGTACAAGGGCTTTGGAACTTCTGAAGCAGTACTATGAATTTAAAATCCCCTGTATAGATGAAGAAGTAGATGTTGCAAAAGAACAAATTGAAAATGTAGATGAAGATGAAGTTGGCTTATTGGAGGAGAGCCTTGAACCAAGAAAATCTCTCCCTCCACTTCTCCTAAAGCTAAGCGAGAGACCTCCCGAAAAATTGGACTATATTGGTGTCTCTTTCGGACTGACAGAAGGCTTGTTAAAGTTTTGGAAGAGGGCTGGATATGTTCCAGTCTATTTAAGGTATCCCAACTTATCTACTGATATCAATAAATCAGTTGAACATTGAACTGCCAAGGCTCATCTAGAGTGCCACATCATTTGCATAATTCTAATGTTCTAAAAATAACTGGAATGGACACATGCATGCATACCAGATCATTTTCAGTTGCACAGGTAGCATGCCTTTGGAGCATAAAATTGTAACATTTTAATTAATGTTTCATCAGCTGTATCACAATGTTTAGACATATTTTTATCTTGGGTGGTGAGAGTGAACTGTGGTGTGATGTCTTGAGATTTGACAGGAAATACTCTGTTACATTGAAATAAGGATGATTTTATTGCAATATATTGACAGCAAAGATTGGACTCCATGTGGTGGTACGTAGTCATGCCATAAGTTCTGTCCCTCGTTTTCAAACAAGTGTAGACCTGTTAATACTTGTCCGATTGTTTACATTGTGGTGTCAGTTGATTAAGCGCTTTTCGGGTAATTACATATACCTCAGTTTGTATTGATCTCTCGAAGCATAACGATGGAGTGGGGCAAGGCAGAGAACCGTATTGCAGTGATAGCTTTACATAAGTGTAATCACAGTGCTAGTCAGATTTTTGAACTCTTACGCGGCCTTCAAATATCGCGTAAATTTGTGTCTAGGACCATTCAGCGGTACAATGAGACGTCCTCTGTTGATGACAGGCCAAGAAGCGGAAGACCTCGTCAAGTAAGGACTCCAGCAGCCATCAAAGCCGTAAAAGCCAGGATTCAAAGGAATCCACTCCGGAAGCAGAAGATCCTATCCAGGGAAATGGAGATTCCTGTCCGGACGATGTCGCGCATCATTAAACAAGACCTAGGGCTAGGGGCTTACCGGAGACGTACGGGCCAGCGACTTACGGCCACCTTGCGACACATCAGGGCGACAAGATCCAAGAAGCTCTTGGAGAGGTACGCAGCTGGGGGATTCCGAAAGATTTTGTTCACGGATGAGAAAATCTTCACCATAGAAGAAAAATTCAACCGACAAAATGACAAAGTGTATGCAAGGAGTTCACAGGAAGCTTCGGAGATCATTCCGAGAGTTGAGAGAGGCCACCACCCTGCGTCAGTCATGGTTTGGTGGGGGGTGTCCTACGAAGGGGTCACTCAGCTCCATTTCTGTAAACAGGGCGTGAAAACAAAAGCGGCAAACTATCAGAGCGACATACTGGATCCTATCGTCAAGCCTTTAAGTGGTACATTGTTTGCCAACCAACACTGGGTCTACCAGCAGGATTCCGCCCCCGCTCACAAGGCTAAGAGTACGCAGCGCTGGCTGGAAAGCAATGTGCCAGAGTTCATTGCTGCGGAAGATTGGCCCTCAGGGAGTCCGGACCTCAATCCTTTAGACTACAAGTTGTGGGACCTGCTAGAGCAGTTCGCCTGCTCCAAAGCCCACCGTAATATCGAGTCCCTGAAAGCGGATTTGATCCGATCAGCGGCAGCTATTCCTTTGGAAGCTGTGCGTGCAGTGATAGATGAGTGGCCCGCGAGATTGAAGCAGTGTGTGAAGGCCAAGGGGGGACATTTTGAATAAAACTGTTTGATTATGAATTCTAAAAATGTTGTCGAATAAATAATATCTTTCATATAAATATATCTTATCTTGTTTCATTTTTATCATGAGATTATCATGGGACAGAACTTATGGCACGACTATGTATTTTTTGCAGGCAGACAACAAACGATTTGACTGGGGAACACTCCTGTATTATGTTGAACGTGTTGAACATTGAAGAAATAAAGGAAGATGACTGGCTGGCGGCATATTGGGTAGACTTCAGAAGGCGTTTCATTAACTTACTCGCCTACCAGTTTAACAAATTCACTCCTGCATTAGCCTTGGGTGTTATGTCAAACAAAGCAATTAAACTTACCAGCAAAGGTAATATATGTTTACTGAATAATTCCTTGGAATGTTACTACTTATGGTAATATACCAAATGACATAGAAAATGCAACACTGACTAGGAGTGATGTAATTTTCTACTTATAAATAGAGAGTGATTAACATTTTAACTCGAAATTTCAGAAAATAGCTGAGGTATCCAATCTTAATGTTAATAGTGTGTTGTTCGCTACACATTCGTTAAGTGAATGAATTTGGTTTTGTCGAACCTCCAATGTTTGTGGAGGGTGCAGTGAATTTTGCAAGCTTCTTCCCATCTTGTCCCATACATGTTCGATAGGGGAAAGGTCTGGAGATCCAGGAGGCCACTGAAGCAGATTTATCCGGACGCTTCTAAAAAGTCTAAAAAAAAGTAGATGTTGCAATGTTTCCAAAAAGGGAAGCACTTCGTGGATATAGTGCTGGGCAGTCACGCTACCTTGAATGACCTGTTGCCATAAACAATGACATAACACCCACAGTGCGATGAATATGCCGTTCGATGGAATATTGGTCTTTCACGTCTCCTCCTTACTCTTGCACGGCCATCATGTGTGCCCAAAAGAATCTGGATTCATCGCTGAACACTATTGAGTTCCATTCCATATTACATTCAAGTATCTCCCTACTCCGTACCAATCGTTGCCGACGATGCTGTGAGGTCAGAGGTAGTACCATGTGGGGACGGTATGAAAATAGTCCAAAAGACATTGTTATTGCCGACAGATAACGATCCGGTCGCTCTGTAGTCTGTCTTCGAAGTCCAGTACCTCTAACTCGTTGATTTCGGCCTTCTTGGAACCACGCTAGACAACATCTCATTACAGTAGCTTCGTTTCGATTCACCCGAGTAGCGATTTTTCTGAAAGAAAACCCGGCTTCCGTAACCCGATTATCCGCCCCCTCTCAAACTCGGAAAGTTAGCGCGTCTGTTTACAAGTTTTTATCAAAAGTGAATAAATAATTCCGGGTGTTGCATTTCATATGTCACTTAGGATATTTAACATTGGTTCAACTTCAGAACTTCAAATGCTTCTGAGCATAGAGCAGGAATAAGTAGAAAATCTCACCAGAGAACGTGGTTTTGCCACCAACGTTTACATTAGATTTATTAATCTTTCAAGAGCTGATAGTAAGATTGAGTTATGCCTATAAAGCTTAAATGTACAAAATTACTGGTGGCGTCTGAACATGAACTTGACCCTGAAAATAGCAGCAACTCAATCTCAAAAACTCTCGTATTTATACTATGACAAGTATTGCAATATTAAACAACAATGAAAGTAGTTGTAAGCAAAATTGCTTGCTATTCCAGTTCTGGTGTCAAGTACATCCAAGGGGAAACATTTTGAAGTTATCTTGAAAAAGATCTTATCAAAGCAGCTGTACTTTTTTTTATGAAATTTCCTTCGAAATACATATATCACAATCGATTAAGTTGACCCAAAGGAGTTAGTTACTTGGTATGTTCTTCCAAAGAGATGAAAATGCTTCTTAGCCCGCTAAAACATTTCTGAAGACATACATATTTCACGTTTCATTTCCACAATTTTGGTCATTCTTTTCAATTGATTTGAATCTAAATTTAATGAAACTTGTTTATTAATTTCGACAGATCTCGCCAAGCACGAATTGGACATACATTTTACGAAATACGACATCAAAAGGTTGGAAATGTATAGTAATAACTTGGTAGATTACCATCTCATCATGGATCTGTTGCCAACATTGGCAAAACTCTACTTCTTGAATCAACTGGGTGATGTGCATATGTCTGCAGTGCAATCGGTGAGTATTTTTAGAAATGGTTTAGATGCATTCATATATTACAATCACATATATGCTAGAGTAGGACCAATATATTTCTTTTAGGCTATATTGCTGGGCCTAGGGCTGCAACACAAGACCGTGGATACCCTTGCCAGCGAACTAGACCTGCCTTCAAACCAGCTCCTAGGACTTTTCAATCGTCTTATCAGACGTTGCGTACAGTATTTGAATGGTGCTCTTGAGCAAGATGTTGAAAAGCACCTAATAGCAAGGAAAGAGGTTGAAATGACGCCAGTCGCAAAGAGTATGCATGATGAGTTGGAAGAAGCAGCGAAAGAGTTGAAGAAGAAGCAGAAGAAGGAGCTAGAGAAGCTGAAGAATGAGAATTTGGAGCAATTTGCGATCAAAGGGTCAGAGACAGAGTGGGGAAAGGTGTTGTCAGGAAAAGGAAAGAAGCAACTTATCAGCATCAAAAGGTAACACTTTAATGGACATTAATTAGTAAATATGTAGGAAACTTTAATCTCAATTATATATACGAGGGATGTCTTTCAAGTTTTGCATGTGGAAATAAAACAACACGGTAGGTAGTTTTAAATGACTTTATTGGTTTTCGAAGTATTCTCCACGAAGTTTAATACGCATCTGCATGCGCTCAAACCAATTTTCGAAGCACTTATTCCACTCGTTTGCTGGCACTGCTTCTTCTGGTGACTGGAACCTTTGATCACACAGTCTGTCTTTAATTTTCGGGAAAGTAAAGAAATCGTTAGGACTTAGATCGGGACTATATGGAGGATGGTCCAATAATTCCACGTTTTCTTCCGTTAAATACTGCCTTGTTTTTTGGGCTGTGTGCGAGCTTGTATTGTCTTGGTGGAGAATGATTCTTCTTTCGGGGTTGATTTTTCGAAGCTCGGTGATGACTTTTGGCAAACAAATGGTGGTACACCAATCCGCAGTAACAGTTCTTTGCTCATTAAGAGGAATTGTTACAATATGACCCGCTTTTGACTCAAATGTCGGGACCATCTTTTTCGAAACACTTCGAGAACGGATGACTTTTGTTGGCTTTTCTTCACCTTGGAACACCCAAACAGCCGACTGTCGTTTATTTTCTGGTTCATAACAGTAAATCCACGATTCATCACCACTAAAAATGCTGTACACATTTTTGTATTTCTGGTATTGAAACGGTCAAGCATTTTTGTGACACCAATTAACCCTGGCTGCTTTCTGCTTTTCAGTCAACAGGTGGGGAATCCAACGAGAAACTAATTTTCTTACTCCTAATTCTTCATGTAAAATTTTTTGAATTGAGGTCTTTGAGATCTTCAAGGACGCCTCAATCTCGCGATATGACACATGTCTATCTTCATTGATGAGTTTGCGCACAGCATCGACGTTTTCCTGCGTGACTGCCGTTTTTTGTGCACCCACCCTGGGATCGTCGCAAAGACTCACCTGCCCACGTTTGAATTCTCCATACCAATGGGAAATTGTCGACTGATGTGGCGCTTCGTTGCCGAAAACAGACAGTAACTCAGCAAGGCATTCTTGTTGCGATAATTGTCTCTGAAAGTTGTAATAAATTATGGCGCGAAAATGTTCTCAGTTGAGTTCCATTTTTCTAATGACTTGGTGACACTTAAAAATTCACTGTAGTGAGAACACTGCACGTATTGTTGTGAAACTTTGAATTTAGGTTTACTAAAGAGTGAGGTTAAGATTCAGTACTAACGTTCGATCCGCGCGGCCTACTATGTTTCTATATGCAAAACATAAACGACATCCCTCGTATGGCCCACCCCTACATTTGTCTTCAAAAGTCACTGCTGAAAGACGACTGAATTTGAGTTGTTTTTTAAGGTGCTGCATATTTCAGAGTCTGAAGAAATTCCCTCATCTTCAAGGGGCAAAAAAATAATTTTTACTTTTTGGAGCTGTCTCAATGCAGTTATTTCATAAAATACCTTACTCCAAGCAAGGCGAAGATTACCAGTTGCTGGAGTTTATTTTTTTGCAAAAACATATTTTGGGGTGTAACATCTTGTAGGCGGTTGTAGGTGGTTTGGAAATTAAATTAAATTGAAACCGTGAAGAAAACTCCGGCTATCCGTGGTGGACAAAGTGATGCATTTGTAACTCGAATAGTAAAGTGACAAGAACCATTTAAAGAAATGGGTTTCTAATTCTGGTGCCTAGAGTTAGTCTAATCATATTAACCCCCCACGTTTTCTAATTCTTTGTTGTTGATTAAAAAGTTTTCCCACAAACATTGGTGTACCCATTTTATGCGTCCATGATTTAAATACCCATTCGAACAACTTGCATCAATAAAACCAGACTTTACAATTATTTTGCAAACCAGGCTTATTTTCGTCTATGATAAGACTGAGTATAAAAACAGAGTTTGGCGATTAAACGATTTAAAAAATGCTTTTCCTGTAGTTGCAATGTTTCCTCAATTTTTATTTATTATAGCGGGTACTTCGACGGCCAAAATATTTTGAAATGTGCCAAGTCTAATTTTAATGTTTGGAAATCTTAGTGGTACTCAAGATTCTTACAAAATTGTATTTTTTTTTCTTCTTCCATCCCAGTTCACTGTTCATTCAGTTACATTTTTAAGATGTTCACCCGAATTAACATTTTTGTGCTTTTAACTGCTAGCTAAAACGAGTCTTAAAGAAAATCAAGTATACAAGTATGAGTATAGACCTACACCACATTACAAATACTCAAATGTTTACTTACATGGAAGTGTTAGCAGCACACTGACTACAGTCAGAATATATCCCAGACTGTCCACCCACAACTCATATATAATAGCAGGTGGAAGTATTATACAAATGTCACATGTCTAGCATTGACCGTGACCAATCCAAAAGGCACATGGGAATGCTCGCACGCTTTCAGCGCTGACCTGTCTTAATGTCAGTTTATTTTTAGCGACGACGAATACAAAGATGATTGACGAGTATTTTTTGATAGGTAATCCAAAATTAGCGCCTAGTTAGTAATATATTTATTTATATTCTCTTTCAGCGGCGAAAAGAGACTGCATGAGGAAACCAAGGATGAGACTAAAGATGATGTGTTGCCAATAGTAAAAAAGAAGAAAAAGCATAAGAATAAGGGAAATAAAACGTTGTAGTTGTTTACATCTGTTTATTATGTTTTTTATTATTTCACCCAAATCCACTGCGTCTATTATGTTGATCATCACACTGAAATCTATTTAGATTTTATTTTTAACTGCTTATACAGTGTGTTGGTATAAGTATTGTGTGTACAACTCGAGGATCATAGGGAGTATAAATGTCAAAGTAGTTTGGTGGTGCCTCCCTAGCAACTCTCACTTCAGTTTTCAATAAATCACACATTGCTCAGTGGTCAGTATTCTGAATCAGTAACGCCATTTGCCTCCCTTTTGATGATCAGTATTGTGGTATACATGTCGACGTATTGTGTAATAGCATTATACATATTTTTCGCGCACAGAGTATGCGGTACTATCAGAGACGAAAGCCTATCAAAAATTGGTTGTGTTGTGCTTGGTAGCATTTCCATCAATGTCACTGTGCAATTTAAACAAGAATTTTGAAAATTGGGTCAAGCAAGAAAAAAGCGTGTGGTGTCTTTCAAGTCTATTTTAGTCTAGAAATCATCAAGAATAAGTCTTTTTAGTAATTAAGTTAACATAATATACTTGTCATGAGAAGGTAGATTTTTTGTAATACTTACATAAAAATCATGTTATATCTTCAACTTTGCAAATCACGCTTTTGAGGATCGCATACAATTAGATCTTAAATAAATTATGAATCTCGTAATATGTTTAGTTAGGAATGATTTTACTGAAGTATATTGTTAGCAGTAATGTTTTTCTATACCGAAGCAGCCGCGGCGGCAGAAGCCTAAATGCCTGGACACCGCGGCTGCCATGAGGATCCCAAAGAAATTTTGTTAATCCAACTTTTGAAATGCCTAAGTTTAGTAGAACTAGGGAAAGCCTCCTTAGGTAGATTGGTCCACAATCTTGATACCCTAGGCGTCGTATCGGCTCATTCTGGATGTAGTTCGACACGGTAAGGACGGAACATCGCGTGGCGGCATCATGGAGGAGAGCTCTAAGGAACAAAGCATATTTTCCATCCCACATGGCTCAACTGTCCTACAATCTCTGAGGTCTTAGTCCTTTTTAGTGGCCAAAGTATAATAAACCTAAACCGCTGCAGCACATGATTGCTTTTTGGTCTAGTTTTCCTAACAGAGAAAACGTGGTGCAAATCAGTGGCGTAGCACTGGGGGGCGGCGAGGACGGTCCGCACCGGGTGTCACCTTTTTTGGGGTGACACCCACCTGGTGACTTAACTTTTCCACAGTTGAACTTCAGACAAAATCGAAGTCTCTTCAAGACCTAGCTCCATTGTTTTAGATCGTACAAACAAATACTTTGCTTTTGGCGAATACTGAAGAACTAAAATTAAAGTGTATCTAACGAAGCTACAAAGTAATCGTAAACAGTGGTTGATTCGTGATCAACGCGTGATCGGTAGCCATGGCGCTCTGTCGGCCTCTTCCTGATTGGCTTGTAGCGACGAGCCTCCAGACAAAGTCGCACGGTTGCCACGCTCGGCGAGTTTTCGCCAGAGTGGTTGATCACATTCGCATGGATCACAAATCAATCTGTTGGTGCAATACGTGCAATAACTGTTATAAAGGACATTATATAACAATAAATGGCATCACAAAGGTATATTCCAATTTGATCTGCAGCAAATTATGAACGGCATATACGGAGATGCGAAAACAAGCTCAAAAAGGTGAAGAAAATTTTGTGCAATCTTTATAGTTAAATGTTTCCTAAGAGATAGCATCAGTGAGGGAATTTTTTTCTATTGTCTTATTTTTCACATTAATGCGATGTCGAGGTATGTGGCCCTATCGCAATTGAAAATAAGGTTTCGATAATCCTTCCATAAAGTTTCGATGAGTAGATCTGAAATAACCTTGAGATATTCTTCAGGGAAATACAAAAATCTCCTTTTGTGTTTTTTGTGCAGATTTATCTATTAAAATCCTATCCGCAATCTATTTTCCGTGCACACACCTTCAACCGAATGTATGCCATATATGATATTACAGTTTCCAACTTTCACCAAGGTTAATAGGAACCATAACAGCTCCCCACCCTTCCCCCCTATAAGAATATCGATTTGTAGCCTCACATTTCAAGGTTAGACTTCTTGTAATGTTTCTGTTCAACATTCGGCGATTTCTGACAATTTTCCCAATAAAACATGATCATTGTGACATTAAGCCTGGCAACGCTGCATAGTAGAGGGAACTCTCAGCGTCACGTTGATGGTTCGTCACCACGCACAGGATTGTAATCAGTTACGAATACCCGTTTATGAGCGCGAACGTTTTATGCACGTCTTGACTTGATTTTTCTTGCGGAAATTTAATATTAGTTTAAAATGTCTGACACAGATACAGCTGATGAAGTGGTTGAAATCAGCTTAACGCCACCCAGCAAAAGGGCTAAAAAGCTTCATCTTAGCGCAGGTGAAAAACAAATTATTCTAAATATCTACAAGAACCAGATGCAAGAGAATAGTGGATTGGCTATAGAAAATATCGTATGTAAGGTTGCTGAAATTTCTGGAGTAGGTCGATCAAGTGTTTACAAAATCTTGAAGGAATATAGACAAAATCACTCACTATCTGAGCCAAAAACATATCCAGCGAGAAAAAAAATCTTCGAAAAAATAGATGACTTTGACAAAAGTGCCATTAGAAGAAAAGTACATCACTTTTTCTTCAGGAATGAAATACCTACAAAGATAAAATATTGAAGCAAGTGAATGATGATGAGGACCTGCCAAATTTTAAAAGATCTACGTTCCATAAGCTGTTGAAAGAACTAGACTTTCGATTTTTGAAAAGAGGAAGGAATAGTTTATTGATAGAAAAGGAGGAAATTGTTATCTGGAGGAGAGAATACCTTAGAAAAATTAGGCAATTCCGCGCTGAAGGAAGAACAATTTATTATTTAGACGAAACATGGGTGAACGCGGAGCATACGCAGGGAAAGGTTTGGGTAGTCAGATCTGTGAGGTCCTCAAGGCAAGCTTTTTTAGATGGCCTTTCGACGGGATTGAAAAATCCTGCAGGTAAGTTTCGAAGTATATGAACTTTTTTGGATGCAAATAATTCATTTTCTGATCGAATCAATGATTTGGAAGCTCCGAACTCAGTTTTGCTATCTCATCCAAGTTTCTGAGTATTTCCTTCACCCAAAAACTAATCTAAGACCCTATCCTACACTAACCTAAAAAGAGTAAGTTGCTTAATTTCGTCATTTAGTGCGCTCGCTGAGAAGTAAAATAACTAATTACTTTCAGGCAAGGGAAAACGCCTGATCATTTGCCACATAGGTAGCGTAGATGGATTTGTTCCTGAAGCATTGTGGGCATTTGAATCTAAAAAAACTGGAGACTATCACGAAGAAATGGATGGTAACTCATTTGAAAATTGGTTCAAAAAATTTTGCCGACACTTGATGATAACGCAATTATTGTGATGGATAATGCCCCGTACCACTCCAGAAAATTGGAAAAAATTCCAACATTGGCCACCAAAAAGGCAGACATTCAACAGTGGCTTGTCTCAAAGAAGATCGACTTCGACCAAACAATGGTCAAAGCTGAGCTGATAAATATAGTCAAGCGACATAAGTATAAATATGATTTAAAAATTGTTGACGAAATGGCCAAAAACCAAAATAAAACGATTCTCAGGCTGCCTCCCTATCACTGCGAACTGAATCCTATCGAGTTGATTTGGGCCGACATCAAGCAATACGTGGCGTCAAATAACAGCACTTTTAAGTTTTCTGACCTTAAACAACTGTTTGATGTTGCTGTCGATAGAATTACGCCAGCAAAATGGAGAACATGTCCAAGAAAAGGTTGAAACCAAAATGTGGGATATGGACAATATCATTGACACCCAAGTTGAACCCCTTATAATTGACATCAACAATTCTGATGATTCAAGCTACTCGGAATACAGCATATAAATCGATTGATACCATTAACACTGGCAGTTTAACGGGCTTTTTGGCAAGTCAGGTAAGTTCATTATAGACTGCAATCAAAGTGTAAGTTTCTAGTTATTAATGTGGAAATTCCAAATTTATAATTACACAAAATTAGGGTTAATTTAGGAGTTCCAAAGCATAATAGTGCCATTTTGACCTTCTTCCTATTTCTCATGTAAATTTTAATAGCAATCAAACTAACAAACTTTATGGAGTCTGTAATAAACTTTTCTACTACTACTACTACTACGTCTGTAGTTTCTATTTGCTCTGCATTGTGAATAGAAGGTTGATTTGTAAATATTATTGGGTATATATGTAAGTTAATAATAAAATATGAACAATTTCAATTGAGATGGTCCACAAGTTTTTTTCGTGTGCGTTTTAGTAACATTTTGCTGAAATGGTGAATACAGAATTTTTTGCGCTGATTCCTAATGTCGAAATATGATTAGAAAGGCGTGGTATATTCCTGATAATTTACTATGCTTTTGATAGAATTTACAGCAACACATATCTTGCACGACATTTTTTGATAGATCAGTCACAATAGCTTGATACGGCCCTGTAGCGTCTCCTGCGGTTAAGTTCTTGATCACGTGCAATACGGGTGTATATGTTTGATTTTACTTTGTTTCTTCGATGGATACAGTTTAGTTACATCCAAATTCACTGATTTTTATGATGAGGTCTTAGAAACAGAATTACCTTTGGAGATACCAAGACTGTGAAGATACTTAAAAACCACTAATGTTGCAGTTTCTGATTGGGTATCTCTAGATTTTTAGAAGTTTATTGTAGAATGGGATTTTACAGAATGTCTTCCAAATCTTACAATTGCACTAAACTTGTTCTTGACGGTTTGCGTGTCCGTAGCTTCATGTGAAAGCAGTTTCAGTAAACTAAAATTGATAAAAAACTAGTTGCGGGCAACAATGACCCAATCACGGCTTAGCAATCTTGGTATACTAGCCATCGAACACGAGGCAATGCAGAATATGAATATTGATGAAGTTATTTCTGAGGTAGCAGCTGTCAAAGCTAGAAAGAAAAGATTTTAATTGTAAGAAAAATATTTTTTCTTAGTTCTTATGTTTTAATGTTTGTTCAATATTTTAAACATTAATATTAAATGATCACTGACGTTTATAAATCATATAAAATTTATTGCTTATGACTTTCGATGGGGTGCCCATCAACTTCCGCACCTTTTTTTTTTATATCGAAACAGCCGCGCAGGCAGAAGCCTAAATGCCGGAACACCGCGGCTGCTATGATGATCCCAAAGAAATTTTGTTAATACGATTTTTGAACTGCCCAAGGTTAGTAGAACTGGGAAAAGCTTCCTCCCGTAGATTGTTCCACAATCTAGACACCCTCGGGACAAAGGAGCGGTCGTATCGGCCAGTTCTGGATGTACGAAGTTTGACACGGTTAGGATGGGACGCCGAAGTCAAGCGAGTCTGTCTGGCAGGCACATCGCGCGGCGGCATCATGGAAGAGAGCTCTGAGGAGCAAAGCCCGTTGGTGTAGCGATAGAAAAGAGCTAGATCGCCGACGGCCCGCCGGTGCGAAAGAGTCCCGAGACTGTCTGTTAGGGAAGAGTCATCGATCAGTCGGACCGCCCTCCTCTGGACAGCATCGAGCATGGACAATGTAGTCGGGGCGGCAGCACCCCAAATGTGTGAGCAATACTCGAGGCTAGGCCTTATCTGGGCCTTGTATAGAGTGAGAAGGTCATGCGGAGAAAAGTACTTCTTAGCCCTAAACAAATAGCCTAGCTTTTTCCCAGCAGCTGCAGCTATTGAAGAGATGTGTTCGTGCCAGATCAGGTCCTCGGTGATCTGGACTCCGACCAGCCGAAATGAATGGCTCTTTGGTAGAACTCGACCGTCCATCGAAACTGTATGAGCGCTAGGACGCTTTTTGTTCGTCAAAGTACAGTACTGTGTTTTGGAAGCATTGAACTGTACAAGATTGTTGCGTCCCCAAGCAGTGATAGCCTCCATGTCTCTTGTCAGAGAAGAAGTCGTCGCTAGTCTTCTTTTTTCCAGCTCAGCGGCAGAGATCGGCTTGTCACTCTGAATTCCTGCATGTAGAGTGCTGTCATCAGCGAAGCTGTGGATTGGGTTGATCGTGCAGGAAAGGAGGTCGTTGATATGTAAGAGAAACAGTGTTGGAGCCAAGACCGATCCCTGGGGAACACCCGCGTTGACGTTGTGGGATGAAGAGGAGAATCCGTCAATTACGACGGATATCTTGCGGCCAGAGATAAAGTCAGCCACCCATCCGCAAAGCTTTTCTGGGAGGCCGTAGGATGGAAGTTTGCTTAAGAGGGCAGCGTGCCACAGCTGATCGAACGCTTTCGTGATGTCAAGAGCAACGACATGAGCCTCACCATGAGTCTGGATGAGCTGTGGATCGTTGGTGCCGGAAACCGTACTGCCTGTCGCTAATCAAGCTGTGACGTTCGAGGTAGTCCAGAAGCTCGCGATTTATGCACCTCTCCATCACTTTACTTATAACAGAAAGCAGAGCTATAGGCCTGTAGTTGTAAGGGTCGGTTTTAGATCCTTTTTTTGGGATGGGCTGTACATGAGCAAATTTCCAGTTTTCTGGGAAGGTGCCGGATTCATAAGTTATCTGGAAGAGACGTGAAAGAACTGGAGCAAGCTCCGCTGCACATCTCTTCAGTACAATGGCAGGAATCAAGTCCGGACCAGAAGCTTTGTTGATGTCGAGCGACAAGAGCACTCGTCTTACGGTCTTATGCCTGAATGTTACCTCCCGCATAGTGTGGGGAACCCTTTGAATTGACGTCACTTGGGCGTTGGTGGGGACGTCCATGGTGGAGTTGGCAGCAAAGATCTTGGCTAGCACTTCCGCCTTGGCCTTTGAGTCGAATACAATAGTTCCATCCTGACACGTAAGTGGTGGAAGGCTACTGTGTGAGAAGTTCTTTTCAATCTGCTTGGCCAGCGTCCAGAAAGACCGACTGCCATTGCGCTGCGACATTACCCTGTGCCTAACTTTTATATCATGCTGGTTTTTGGCATTGCGAACCGCTTCGTTATATTTGTTTCTGGGCTCGACGTCGGCTTGTCTGTTCTCTACAGTGGGGTTTTGTAAGTAGGTTCTGTGGGCCTTGATCTTCTGCTGGCGAGCTGTGTCACACGATTTGTTGAACCAGCCGTTGGACCCTGGTTTAGGAACTTTCACTGTGTGAGGGATGTATTCCTCCATTCCGACGTGGATAATTTCGGTTATTGAAGAACAGACAGTCGACGCATCCGCGTCAGTGAAACAGACATCTCTCCAAGGAAAGCTAGAGAAGAAGTCTCTGAGCCCCTCCCAGTCGGCACGTCCGTAATGCCAAGTTTTGCGGGCTGTACAGCAGTGCTGTAAGGGGCAGGATGCGTGGTCAGAAAGAGATCCAGCAGGCTACTGGCGTGTGACGAGACGCGGGGGAAAAAAGTAGGGCTCGTCACCAGCTGGGTCAGCCCTTGAGTAAGAGCAAACGCTTCGACTGCACGACCTGCTGCATCGGTCTTATTTGAGCCCAACCAAAGCTCATTATGGGCATTGAAATCACCGAGAAGAACTACCTCTGAAGCGGGGTGATTGATGTTCAGGAAGTCGATCTGGACGGCAAGGTATTCGAGTAGGTCATCCCAGTTATGGTTCGATGGAGAGCGATAAAGGCAGCAAATAAATTTGGGTGATGTTTTGGAGTTGAGGCGAAGCCACAGAATGTCCTTCCGGTTTGATTCCAAAGAAAGATCCCTGGAGCAGGAAAGACTGCTGCGGACAAAAGCCACAACTCCCCCGTTCTTTCTCAGATTGGAGTGGACCTCGTAGTTTGGGAAGTTGAGATGGTTAATCGGTGCAGTCTCTGAGATTTTTGTCTCCGCCAAGAAAAGCACGGCGGGACGATTGGATTGCAGGTAGTGATGAACAGCATCAATGTTGCTGTTGATCCCGCAGATGTTCGAAAAACAAATTTTATCTTCGATGTTGTTCCCTCGAACCCACCCTCCACCCGGACATTCCGAGAGTGGAGTAAGTTTACGTCCGGAGTTTTTAGTGCTCGAGGGATCCATCATCATTAAGTTCTTTGTTTTGGTAGATAACCGACTGCATAGCTTAGGTGTGGAAACATGCGGACATTTATAAGACACCCTGGGAAAAGCTAGCGGGTGGTACTGCCTCGGTCGACTGGTCCTTGTCTACCACCTTCTTTTTACGTGTTAGTGATGTTAAATAGACCTAAAGTGGCCCGTTGGCGGACTTGTACCGCCACCCGGCAATCGGTACTGAGGTATTCCTTAACGCGTGCACAATCACTTGGACGGGAAGAAGTTGTATACTGGATACAACGACTTCCGGAACAAGCATTTGCCACGGCCCTCGCTCAGTTGGTGCCACCCAAGGAAGCTACGCCACTGGTGCAAAGTTCCCCAAGCGAGAGCCAACGTTGAATCCTTCATTATCAAATATGTCCGAGAATTCACTAAATATACCCTTTCCCTATCGAACGGTTGTACTATTAGGGTGTTCGGAAAGTTGTGTTCCGTCATATCGACGAGTTTGATATTGCTACAGCTTCGGTTTTTGCATATCCGACTAGTAAGCAAATAACTCTGCTTATTTACATGGCGCGCGGCCCTTGAGTTAGATCCTTATACACGAATTTGCACCTATTCCATTGATGGAGGCAGGTCTGTGATTGATATCGTAGATTTTTTTCGAAATTAATAATTCTTTTTTCAAGACTTTGTTGTATACAGGATGTTCATTTGAAACCTTCCCACCACGGATTTATCGAAAACTCGCCTATCGAAATCGTCTTCGGTTAACTCTTGCAATATTTTCATTTTGAATGGATGACATTTATGGAGTTAAGTAACTGTGTATACAGAACCTAAAGAAATACCAGTCGCACCATCAATTTTGCATAATGAAGTATTAGGATTTATTCCAAAATGACTCAAAACTTCAACTTGAGCGGCTTCATCCAAAACTCTCCGATGATCACGTTTTTTATTTGCAACAGATTCAGCTTAAGTAAATTTAGTAACATGGTCCAAAACATACCTATGCGAAGTTATCTTCCCCGGATGTCTGGCGTTAAACGTGACGGCAGTTTGCCGAGCACATTGATTTTGGGCACCATAAATTAGAATCATTTCCACTCTCTCGGCTAATGTGTAAACAATTTTGCAAATAAAATATGAATCAATAAATTAGTTTTCACTATTCCAATATTGTCAAAGGTAACTGACAGTATTAAATTCTTTCTTTCCATTAGCAGCAAATAACTAAACAGGTATAACAATGAATACAGTTCGCCCAGGATATCTGTGTTTATGAAAAGAATGCGGAAATATTCGGGTTGTTATTTGATTGTTGCCACGTCTAATCTTCCGAATGGCTGTTTATGTTGGTACATACGTTCCGTTTTAAATTATAAACGAATTGTAGATTCGGAAAACCCTAACGGGTAACATTTTGAACACTTATTGAAACAAAAAGTGATATTTTCGTGTTTTTGTTTTATATCTGAACAAATTAAGATAAATAAGGATTTTTCTAATGTTCCCGAAAACGAATCGACTGATGTAAAAAAAGACTTCGAAACACCTTTTAAACAAGCTATTACTCGATTTCCCTTGTCATTTAAAATTTTTAAGGGAATGACCCTGGGGGACCGAGGGTTAAAGGGGGTGAAGTAGTTTTTGGTTAAAAGGTTGTCCCCCTTGACAAATCTTTTGACGTGTGGTTTTCGATAAATCCGTGCTGAGAAGTTTTCAAATGAATGTGTGTTACTAGGAAAATTTGCTTGCTTTTGTAAGAACTATACGCCGGCCGTATAAAAGAAAGCACACCATGTGAAGTCATCTTTTTTCTGTCCATTCCTACAGTACAATATTTACTATTACAAGGGTAAATAAAAATATAATTAAAGTAGGTTATTTTTATTCTACAGAATTTTAAGTACATAAGTCGATAAAAATTTGTTAGAGCAACATAGTTTGTCGAAAAATGAACATACAAATAGTATGGTCAACCGAAATAAGTATCACAGAATCTTTAACTTAATACATAAAACTAAAATGAACTGTTGCATAACTTACATAAATATACCTTGTTTGAATATTTATGAGCACCGAGCATAACATGATATAAGAATAACAAATTTGCTTGTTCCTACTGGTTAAATGAACGAAACGGATAGCGTTTATATAAAAAATGGAGTCCTGGGGATGGATACATGTGACTTGGCACTATATATACAGGGTGTTCCATAATTATTGCGACAAAATGATAGGGGTTGTAGAGGGCATAAAAATATGCAATTTTGCCTTATAAACCCCTGTTCGTAAATATGCCGTTTGAGCACTACCGCTAATTTTACCTTAAGAGCTCATAGGAGAAACAAAAATTTCACCAGCTGCAAAATGTTCGTCTAGCACATTTCATGGTCTCGCCGGTTTGTAAAAAAAAGCCTGCTGAGTTTACATTTTTGTTATCGTAAATTCTCCACACCGATTCATTTAATTTATCTGAGTGGTGCGTCAAACTAGATAGTAAACAGTACCTTATTGTTAAAATGCAGCGTTATTCGTATGCGGAACTTACGGATATGCATTTAATTTACGAAGAAGCTGGTGGTAGCGGAAGACGAGCCTCGCGAATCTACGCCCAACGGTTTCCAGAACGTCCTCATTCGCATCACGCCATTTTTGCAAGGCAACCAAACTTTGGTCGCTACGTTTTGTTCACTGACGAGTCTTGTTTTACAAAGGACGGTTATTTTAATAGCCGTAACAGTCACATTTGGGATGAAGAAAACCCTCATGCCATAGCCCTCCATAGAGACCAACATCAGTTTTCAATTAACATCTGGTGCGGCATCGTGGACGAGCATATCATCGGACCATATTTGCTTCCACCACGTTTGGATGGGCATGCTTATGGTCGAGTCTTACAGCATGTGCTACCGGAACTATTAGAAAATGTGCCGCTGAACATAAGAGCCAACATGTGGTTTCAACACGATGGCGCTCCAGCCCACTTTTCTTTACAAGTGCGGCAGTATTTGGACGACAAATTTCCAAATAGGTGGATAGGCCGAGGTGGCCCTGTGCCTTGGCCTGCGCGGTCACCCGACCTGACCCCACTGGATTATTTTCTCTGGGGCCATCTGAAAGCTTTAGTGTACGAAACTCCTGTTCCCAACCAACAAGAGCTACTGGGAAGAGTGATGGCCGCGTCCGCACATGTTCAGGACATACCGGGGGTATGCCACAGAGTTCGCCGATCATTGAACAATCGTGCACAGCTGTGTATTGAGCAAGGTGGAGGACACTTTGAGCAATTACTGTAGGTAAGCTGTTTCAAGAAACTGATCTTTTTTTTTGTTGCAGCCCAAACGGCATATTTCCGAACAGGGGTTTATAAGGCAAAATTGTTTATTTTGATGCCCTCTACAACCCCTATTATTTTGTCGCAATAATTATGGAACACCCTGTATATAATACGAGTATATATATATCATATTGACTTACAGGATATGGACTATGGAAAACCTCATTTTTGCTCAAAAGAGATCAAAACATATAGGTTTCAACAAGGAATACATATTGTCAGGGTTTCTCAAACTGGAATATGCGTGCCTCCAGGGGTACGTCAGATAATTGTAGGGGGTACTCGACAAAATTGCAGCGGCTCGGCTGATTCAAACATCTAACAAATTTTTAAATAAACAAATTTAAAAACAACAATATTCGGTGTCGCCAATAAAATAGTGTGAGTTTTCACATGTAGAGAGAAAATACAAGATTCGACTGGATGTTGAATCTGAACAAACATTGAAATCGGCCAAAATTGGTCCGGGAATTAATTCCATTTGCGATAAGCCCATCCATCACGTTATCTATAAAAAATAGAAGAATAATCATTATGTATCTATCGCTCTATTGTATGTATTTTTATATATATATAAATCAACTTATTTGTGTTATTTATCATCTTTAAGGGGTTCGCCGTTGATTTGAAAGTCTAATATTGATACGTGAAAGTATAAGCGTGAGAAACCCTGTCTCAAGTTAAAAACAAAACTAGAAGGTTGTTTCCGCATAGGCGCCCGCTAGACTTTTTCTCAAGGGCGGCATCGACAAGAGATAACTTTTTATGAAAGTATACCTGCACCCAAAACTTTTTGAACAGCAGAAGTGTATCTGCTCCCAAAACTTTCTGAAGTGCGGAGGGTAGCAAGGGGGATCCTAGAAATTCCCAAAATTGTACTTAAAGTCATGCTTAATATGCAAATTTTGAGGTCCAACCGGATGTTCGGGATGGTCACAAAACCCGGGCGCCCAGTGTCTCCGAAATAATAAAATTTACGATAATTTTAACAGACAAGATAATGATACATCACTAACTAGTAGTACTATGATTCAAGGTGTATGATTGAGATTTGTACTCGTAGATGAGATTTTAAAAAACAATTAATCTAAAATCTTTTAACACTTCCAAAAATACATTCTTGGTTCAAATGCAAGTTAGTTAATAGTGAAATATGTCAAACTAGGGTGGTCTCTCGTCAATCTACTGCAAATACGAATTGGAATATGAAGGTATGGGCTTTTTGACAATTTTGGGTGATAACTAAAAATACCTGATGACAATAGGATATTGTTGCCAGTACTTAGTTGCCATGTTACAATGGAGACAACTTGAGCGTCGAGTGTACTTACGGAGATAAGTTCCTTCTAACCTCTGAGTACACTTTACAGTCTCAGCACAGCGGGTACTTTTCTCTATTAACAAACTTTGATTTAAACTTCACCATTCAACCAATCATTTTAATGGGGAGGCAAATAATTAAGAGAACTAACTGGGTCTGAAACTTGAATACATAGTTATTAATACAAGAACCCCATCGCTCCAGCACACATCAATATACGATTCACTTGTATTTAATACTAAAAAGTTACAATTATACATATATGCTATATGCCAACTATACAATTTGTATAAAATGTATCAAATGTTGTAAAATACTATATGAAAATAGAGTATCAACATTTTCATTCAAAAAATAACCACTGAGATTCCAGTTTCTTGAAAGATCTAATTTCTTGTTCACATTCCCGATTCCGCGATACCTTCGTCATCTAAAAAAGAAGAAAAGTATATCATACACACAATAATAAGATAGAAATATATATTTCCGTATACGATATATCATTATTATATATCACACTAAAACAGGAAACCAAACACTCGGTTACGTTTTACAACCGCTCAGTTTGGCATACAGGTATATTCACTGTCCAACACCCATTTTGGTGTAGCATCTCTAGTGTTTGAGATATAAGCAATTTAATATTTACAACATGTCATTTGCGACCTCTAAAAACAAGATGAAAAACGAAAATTTTAATATTGCCAAAGTTCTTAAATATCTTTCAAACACTCTTTAGCATTTAGGGAGTACTTTTATTGTAAGCCTTTGTTTTTTAATTGCTTAAAATTGACTTATCATGTCAATGCTGTTTATCTTGAAGTAGGAGGCGCATAAAGTATGTAATTCACCATTTACATAAACATCACATGATAAGTATAAGCAATTAAAAAAAACAAATTTTTACAATAACAATACTAGTTAAAATGCTTTGATTTTGTTGATGGCTATTTGAAGGATATTTGGCAACTTTGAAAACATTAAAAATTTTTTTATTCGGAGTCGAAAATGGCATATTTTGCACTGTTTCAAATATTAAATCGCTTATATCTCGAAAACTAGAGCTGCAATGGAAAATGGGAAGGCGTTTTTGAAATTAGCGCATCAGAATTATTTGAAATCTGTAGTTAATTCTCCGGCACCATTTTTCTTTATTTTGTTGGGCTTTGATTTTCCATAAGGGCATTTCTAACGGTGACAGTTGAGCGATACTCTCTGCAAACTTCATGACATCAGCGCACCAAAAGTCATTCTAAATCAAATGTAGATTATGACTGTGATGTCACATTGGGCTGAAATGCTGTCTGTAGATCTGTAGCACTGGTCACGCCAAATACGCTGTTATCATAAAACTTTCAGAGAGTTAACTTGATTTCGAATAAAACTGATTATTTAAAAACCATTGGCAGTAAAGCAAACATTCTATTGGTCATAGGGTAGTAGCTACATGCGTTGTGAATGGTTAAATCCCAGTTCCTGTTAGGTGACATGCTAGCTAGACTTAAATACAGTGTAAGTTATAAAAACCGTTATTGATTAACAAATGTATTTGATTCTACTTTATATTTGTGTTGATTCTCGGCTCAGATATTCCTATCACCATAACACTGTAACTTGTAGTGAATTGCAAAAGAGGTATCGCAGTTCACATTACACTGAACCAAACAGTGGAATAGCCACTAATCACTTCAATATATCCCCTTGTTTAAAAGTACCTCATTTAATCCTTCAAAATTGAAAACGGAAAAATATAAAAGCAGCATAATGGCCTTCGCCAATTTCTGGTCTTCAATTATAATAATTGTTGAAAATATTGTTTCATTCCTGTGCTGAGAAAAAATAAATTATATTTTAATCTCGAAAGATTTCGTTTTTGTCTGTTATATGACAAGTACATCACGAAAAATCATGTCATTCGGTACGCCGGGCAGTGAGCCCTGGCAGAAGAAGAAGAAGACGCGGATCGAAAACATTTCTCTATCATTCTGTTTTAAAGGCACATTTATGGGGAAATATACGATGAGTGGAATATGGCTAATAGATCCCTAGAATTACCGGGGATGGGATCGTATAAATAAACAAACATGAAAAAATTTATATCTCCCCTCCCCAACCCTTGCAAACCCCGACCCCAATTTTTAACCCCTACATTTGTTTCTGAAAAAAATACCACAAGAACATATAGAATAACGAGAATACGACACCAATTTATTTCGTTAGATTACAATAATGTCAGTAATGATTTTCTCCTGATACCATTGGGTAAGCATGAAGTGAGCAGCATGCATATTCTAGGGCATGCCAAGAAAAGGAGAACATTTACCACTGAAAGCATGTTACATTGTTGCAGCTGTTGAAAAAACTACCTCTTTATATCCCCAAAAGTTGAATCAACTTGAGCAGTAGCGCCGTCACCAGCTTTGCCTGAACCACAGAATAGCAGCTTTTTACATCGACTTATAAACTGAGACACCACCTCTGCTAGTGCAAAAAGTCCGTGTAAGAGGCAGAGTTATATATACAAACCTTTTAGTGCAGGCGAAATGACAAAAACGTGATATCGAATTTTGTTCAAAACTACAGATACAACCTATTCACGAGTGGGTTTTAAACTAACCGCATTTCTCCTACAGAAAAAGAAAAGCGAGCTTTCCATGTTATTCTTCAATCTATTGTTTTGCACTAAAATATTGCAACAGTTTTTAAAAAATGAAGTTGCAAACGGAAAACTCCATCTCTCCTTTAATCATGTAAGTTCTGAGTCCATGAAGGACGGTCAATTTCTCTAGTACTATTTCACCTGCACTATAGGGTTAGCAGAAACACACGGTTTTAATATATTTTAGAAGTAATTTAAACTGCAGTAATGACTCATTTATTATGTTATTCAAATGATCAAAAATACCACCAAAATTATGTCAATGGATATTCTGGTAGAACTTGAAGTCACAAAATTCTAACCGCCGCCGCCGTGGCCATTATCGCCAAACTATAGGCATTAGGAACTGATTCCGTGTTTAGACTTAATTGTGACTCTAGTGTTCGCGTTTAATTTTCTTTCCTTTGTGTCGTTTTACCAACAAATGAACTAGCTTCGCCAACGTCATCTATTTTGTTTATGAACCAAAACATGTTTTTTCACGTCACGGTACAGCCGCTTGGCAAGTTAGCGTGGTTGGACAGCTAGTGCGTATATAGGTACTCGGTTTTATAAAATAAAGGGCCTGATCAAATTGCTAATTTAGAAGAATAATCAACAATATTTGGACATTAGATATCAGGCATCACGATAATATTTGCATTATTGATATTCTTACCTCAATAACAGAAAGCTTTAACTAGGACTTTATAGTGAATGAGGAGTGTCATGGAATGTACAAATCCTTAAATGTGCCACGATCTTTGTGCTTGCGAACTTCTCGGCTATAACGTTTACCGATTCGCATAAATGTCTGATTCAGTTTGACGATTGTTTAATATTATTCTTTTATGGAATATGAAATGTATCTAATGTGATTTTTATACTTTATACTCTTGACAAGCGAAATTTGTATACGCTGAAACCTTAACAGGCAGAATACTGTAACGCTACAGTACATAGGCTGAGTTTTGGTAATTGGTTTGGCACACAACACTAGTTTGTAGTTATTGACCAATCAATTATGAGATTATCAATTAATCCTGGGATCGTACGCAGGGGTTTCCCACACCCCACACAATGTTCGGGCCCTGGCGCTTTGACTGTATTAGTGGTAACCACGTCATTTATTGGATTAGGAAGGTGTCCCATTTAGAGGAGAACGATGTACAGAAAACTTTCAGTTGTCTTTTAGAATTGACACGATAAATATTTTTCAAAACATTTTTTATTCGTTATATTTAACTTTGCTGTATTAATACTGATTATTTTCACTACTGTTTACTTATCAAATCTTCATTTAATATACAGGGTGACTTCGAAGTTGAGTCATTTATTTTAACAGTGAGTAGATCTGATCAAAAGAAATGTTTTTTTCCTTTACCATTTTTCTGGTAAAATTAAAGTAACAAAGTTATAGCCCTTTGGAAGTTTGAGTACCGCCCTGTCTCAATAATAATATCATGTGCTCGTGTTTGGCAACAACGGATATAATCCGCCTTATCGGTTCATCGCATCGGAAACAAAAAAGCGAAAGAATTTGGAACGATGTTTTTACAATTATTTTATTCAGTTCAGTTATACATACAGTCAGTGTCAGTCGGTAACGCGTGTGAATAGTGTCTGTTGCGTGGCTCAAACGAAATAAAAAATGGCACATGTTTATGCGGATCGGTTTTCCAATCGAGTGCAACCAACGCCTCGTGCCTTTGTTAATGTAGTACAACGGGCTCGTGAATCAGGTGACTTAAGACCTCACAGGGACCTCACGATGAAATACTTGTCGGGAGGATACTTTATAAGACAAGGTAAACATTTTTTTTTTATTTTTACACACATATTTTCCTTCTACAATCATTATCTGAAAATTAATGACTCAACTTCAAAGTCACCCTGTATATAAAAACTATTTTTAATTTTTTTTGGTCCATACAACGGTACATGTTAGTGTTCATACACAGACTGAAGTGCTGTTGGGTATAAAAAAATGACACTTTAGATAAACATGTCCCATGCGCTTTTTCTCCTCGAATTCTGATCACCGTTCAAGCAGTGAATACAGTGCGCACCAGATAATTAATAAAACTTGTTTTTTTATACTATGTCGAATCAACTTTTATCTTTCATTTCACTCTGCAATCGGCATAATACTCCAAAAAGTCTTGATTTTCAAAATAAAGCAACCTATTTTGTACAGGAATAATTTTCTCAATGTGTTTTTCAACTTTTTTTATTATAAAAAACATAAAAATGTAAAATTCACTTAACAGTATTGATGTAAGATACTGGCGGTGCACGTAACCCCTATGTAGGAGATTGGTCATATTTGTATTGTGCAGGGTTCTAGGGTTAATAACATCATATAAAGCAATCCCGTAAAGTGTGTCGGAGAACATAAAAAGATTAGCGGTGCTTCCGAAATTAACCACAACCGAAAGCCCAAAAGCAATGCCTCATCTACTTACTCACCTTCAAATCCTTGGTTCTCGTGTATCTCTCTAGTTGAACTACTCAAATCCTTCCCTTCTAGGACCGCTAAAAGGCATTGGTGTATACATATGTACTGTTGTTCTGTCTGCACCATCCAGACTCTTTCCTTTCGCATGGCGAACACGATTCCGAAAATGTCCACGTAATCGCTGACTAGGATCTGCTGGAGGATCCTATCCAGGCAGATGAACGTGCCGGATCTACCCACACCCGCACTGAAAATGGCAACCATTTTGTAATAAGACGGTGGTATTAAAAAAAGAGCAATAATGATACGCTTTAACGATCGAGAAAGATATTTAGAGGCTATACACACGGTGTCGGAGTTTTTTCAGGTGCCGTGTGCTTAGGTTTTGAGTGCGGAACCTGAAACGTTGCGTGACAATTTTTTTTGAAGTCTTACACTTTCTTACGCTTTGCAAACAAAATTTGCTTCTGCATAATCTCAGCCGTAGTTACAACATCTGTTGAGGTTGAAACAAAACCATTTTTAAGATGTCTACAGATAAATGGAAAATCTGAAAAAACTGAATATTTTCCTTACATTGTGATAATAAAAACTGTACCAATCATACATCTCTCTTACCTGCAGTGTACAACAATGGGTCTTTGATCGGGAGGCACTCTTTCTCTAAATGCTCTTACAAATCTCACTAACGTATGCGGTGGATTTGGAACTCCAAAATCAGGCCAAGTTGTGAAATGGAAATGCCTTACCACCCTTTGCTGTTCGCCCTAGAAATGAAAAAAAAAACACTAAAATATACAGTGACACCAAATGCCTATACACGGTGACCCAATTCAATCCCCCCACCCAAATATTCCGAAAACTGGGCATTCTAGAATAAAGTTTCAAACAAAAGTTGTAGGGTTTCGAGGGAGCAAAATGATTTTCATCTTGACTACTACCTTCAAGGTTATTTCAAGATCAAGTGAATATTTTCAAATGAAACCTCCCTTTTTCACATCGGAATTGAAAAGGGAAGCAAATTTGACTTCAAGGCCATTTCAAGGTCAAATTAAGATATCAAAAACAATTTGCTCTATCAAAAATATTCGTCAGCATAGTTGAGGTTCGTGGGGATCACCTAAAGGCCATGACTTTCAAGATCAAGTTAGAATTTCCAAAAGAGACCTCTCATTTTTATACTGGTATGGAAAAATCAGGACATTTTACGGTAAGTAAAATTTCCTGTCTTTTCCATTTCCAGTATAAAAAAATAGAGGTTTTCTTTGGAGATTTTGACTTCACCTCGAAGGTCATGGTCAAGGTCACCTTTTAACAATATTAACATACTAGCTAGCAGTTCTTATGTTCTGCTGTACCACTTAAGAGGATTACACACCTTTCTTGTGGCTCCGTGTTTTTTTTTCGGTGTTTCAATTTGTACTAGATCTTCTATATTTGATGTTATTATTAAGGAAAAAAGTATTTTTGATCTAGCCTAAGCGAGTCTCATTGATTCTTCTGGCTACTGAAGATTTGAGTACTTACCCTACAAACCATGAACTCGCAGACATTCCAATCTGGATATCGGGACTCGTTGAGAATTTGAACTGATATGTCACCGTAGTAGACAGGCATCGTATCGTACGGCCAATAATGGTCGCACTTTTCCCTGCCTTTCTCCACGCACCTCGTCAACATGATGATGGCTCTCGAGTTCGACTCCCACACCATGCGCCAGAAATCGTCTCTGGTCGAGTGCAAGGGACCTTGCGTTACTATGAATTCTCTTGGCGAGTTGTATCCCTGAAGAAAATATGGACAAGCAGATATTTTAGTACATTAGTAGCTTTATTCCGGCGATCCTGGAGAGAAAGCTACATTTATAACTATAGATGCTAAACCACCCTCTTTCTTGTGATACTTGGGTACTGTATTCTTTACCATATTCAATTAACGTTTACGCTGCGATAAAACAAATACGGGGCCTCGATAGATTGGGTAGGCAACAATAAGCAAACACGAAGCAAGAATTTCACGAGCGAGCAACCGTCTTTAATGTCAGAGAAACTATAAATCATTATGTGTGTATTATAATGGAAAGTACTTCTAAGCTCAGGATCAACCATAACATATTTTTCAATACTTACAGGAACATAGTTGGCATTGATATAATCCGAGCCTTCCTCGTCATCAACTGGTTGTAATTTGAAACGGGAGTGGTCATATGGAAGGATATTCGTGAATCTATTTTTCGGTCTATTACAGGGCAAATCTGCAAATGTGCAAGGTTGATCTCTTCCTACGTGTTTAAGTTCTTCAAATTCTTCGCTGAATCTGTAAAAAAGTTTGTACGTAGCCAGAATGAAGGTTGTAAATATTCTTAGTAGATCTAATACCAAGCCGGGTTTCTCGGTAACGTAATCATGATTCCCCTTTCCTAAATGATGATGGAAACGGTTCCAATGCATTTCTTCCGATTATCACGTAAAATGTGCAAGTAAATTTACTATAGCGATAGGATTCTGATTCAACAAAAATTTTTTGAGGCACTAATTTTGGGATTTGATATCTGTGTATCTAAACCAGCAACGTGCTAATAGATGTATGATGTTTTTTTTAAATATCTTCACTAATAAAAATCCCTCAAATATTATCTTTGGAATATAAAAATACATCAATCACGGTAAGAGCACAACAAAGTTGGATGAATGAAATAGTTAATCAAAACTAAAACATCAAATCTCTATCGAAATCACAACAACGCAAGGGAAAATATAACTGTAAACATACTGTAAATGAAAGGAGAAACCAGAGTACATAAGCTTTTTTTAGACACATCATTTACGAAACACTAGGTATCAGATTAACATTAATCAGAAAATCATATACAGGTCCCCAGCCTATTTGTGTACGCATGATATATGAGATCTGCAAGCATCAGACGGAACGAGGCATAAAAAAGCGAAGATATCTGCAGTCACCAATCACGAGTTCTCGAAAACTATTCTACCTATGAACTTGAAATCTGGTAAAAACGTAGCTTTCAGACAGAATATCGTCTAAGAATGAGTTTTGCGACAGAGCCAGAATAAAGGGGAATTGTGGCATTTACAAGTTCGTGCGATAGTCCTTTGTTTTTCAACTAGAGACATAGAATTTGGCAGAAAATTAGCTTAGAGGCAGTAGGTGTGACTTAATGAGGTTTAGGCTCCTTGGACTCTGTTTGAAATTCCTGCTAGATAAACTAAGATGAAAATTATGAGGTTCTTAAGAGTAGATTTAAACAAAGAATCGGACATGGGCTAAATTCTTTCAACAATTTTAAACGTACAAAGTCGCGGGTAAAATCTAGTTTAATATATCTACTTACTCAGTATTGGGTTATAATATTTGGCAACATGTTGAGCATATGGAAAGTACACTATAGGTGTCGTCACGTGACGTGAGATCAATCTGAATTTGTTCGCACCTTCAATGGTGATTCAAGTTCCCGGCAACTACTGAATGTATTTTTCAGATGGATGTTGCTTAATTCTGAGGTGTCTAATTATTAACTAATTGAGTCTATTTACCTGAAATCCGAATCAGCCGACATAATCCTGTAGTGATTAGAAAAGTTTTCGATTCTCACTGGTCTACTAGTTTCGATGACAGAATCAGGCAGAGACATGTTGTCATTTCCTCTAGCGTCTGTGGCTTTCCTTTTCAATACCGCCCTCCGACGTCTGATGAATATCACAGTTATGAACAGAACCACTATCAGAACCACCGGGATGACGATGCCCAAGATAATAGGTGTGTTGTCTTGATCTATAAATTCAGGAATTATTAGGAACATCTCATTTCCATATTAATATATCTAAGAATTTCTACATGCAAATTAGTATTAAATCACGGAGAATGGAAAATAAAATTAGCAAGTTACACTAAAGCGTAGTTTAATTTCCATAAATATGATAGATGAATAGTTAGTCTACTTACGAGATTTCAAAAGTCCTTCATGAATGCGAAAAATAGAACATGTTTATTAGTATTTTATTGTTAGTAAAATACTTTAGCGATGATTGTCAAAGGTATAGGTTAACGGGACAAATCTAAAACTTGACGGCAAAGCATGTCTTTTACGATTTACCTAGTACGAGGGTTAGACAAAAATAAGAGCTTCGGATTAGACCAGTAACTTGGAACATGTTTCTCAAAATATACAAGAATACGCTAGCCACAGTTTAAAGACCCGAATAATATGTAGTTGTTTTTTAGAACTCTACCATTAAAAACACACTTAATGTTATGCATTACTTCACATAAAGCATTAAAATTAGCCATATAAATCGCGAAAATAGAAATAATCCTGAATAGAACAGTACCGGATTGGCGAAAACCCCGAACCTTTGCACGAGCTGCAACTAGAATTTTTGTTCTTTCTCATTTTTACAGACTGTACAAAAACGAAAAGATGAATCTATGTACAAAAACTAGATTCAAGAAAATGCAGAAAGCCATTTGTGTTTATGGTAAGAGGTCCTATTGAAGTTATTATTTTCTGTACAACTATTCGAGCCATTTAACAAAAGGCGCTTTTTAATTCTTGTCGGTTATTTTAGATGACACCGCATCAGGTAAATCCATAGACCTGCACGACTTGTTTTTTTTTGGATACACCTGTTAAACATTTAGTTTTACTTCTTGATAAATTCACAGACACGAAGTGGGGCCCCGGGATTCAATAATTTATTTCCGTTTTCGGTTCGTTTTTTACCCATATTTTTCACGTTTCCTGAGGTTGAAAATAATACATGCTTCACAAAGTTAATTCGTTTTTGGATAAAACAAAATATGTTTAGTCAAATTATATCGTTAATGGTTGTATATAGTGATTTTTCGAATTCCTTTATGTATAAATGACGGAGTAATCGATTTCCGTGATAAAATGTAAGCAGTAGCATGCACAAGAATTTACTAAAATTAAACTTGAATTATCTCACATTAAACGTTAAGTAGAAATTTAGGTTTAAATTCAAACATTATTTCATCAAGTGATCATTCTCTGTTTAAGTAGATTCATTCTATGAAATATTGCCTAAAAGAGGATCATACATATTGACAAGTTCATAAGGAAGTATCCGTTCAAGAAATGAAGTAGTCACGAATATTTTCGAATTTGCATTGTTTTGGCTTTAATCGTTCGTACACCCACCTGTTTGTATCGGAAAACTGTAACTGGTATCAGTGAACTTGTCCGGCGCCGTGAACGCCCTGATTTTCACCCTGTATGTAGACCCGGATTTCAAAGGGCCATTGCAGTACCCAACGTGCCTGATATCACATGATTCGGCGCCTACGGTGAAGTCCTCCACGGAACTGTTGAGGAACGGATAATACGGCTCCTGCACTTGGTAAGGCGGCCACACAGAATACGCCTGCACGTCTCTCCAACTCGGCATCTCCAGACCTGAGGCGTTCTTTGAATCGTCCTCGGCAACTATGATGGCGTATGAAACGATCTGAAAGAGATGGAATCAAGTCGAGTAACATGATTATAGGGCATTTGTAAAATGAAATACAAATTAAGTACAAAAATTCCGCCGTTGTGACAGAGACGATGTCGTCAGTAAATAATATTTCAAGCGGCCACACATATAGGTTTCAGGTGTTATATTAAACAACTTATTATAAAGATTATAGTTACAACAATGCTGTATTAGAGATCAAGAACTGTGCCATTATTGAATTGACCTGTATACGATTTTTCTGATAAAGGTTACTATCGTCGCACGGTGGTACCGTGGTGTGTGTCCACGAGGTGGCGTAGTGCAAGTAGAAAGTGGTTTCTTTCATTTGAATGCCGCCAGGTGGGGCACCAAGGCAGATTGAGAGAACAAAGGAGGAGTGACGTGGGTAGAATTCAATTTGCCTCTAACAGACGATGCGGAAAGCTGGTTGACAGCTGGTGCTGTAGACTAGTTTCTCCGGTCGGCAGGTTCGAATCCCGCCGTTGCCCATTTTTTCTCAGGTTGTTGTTTATTAAACGAACTCGCGGTTGCGGATGCGCTCATCAAATAGAATACGAGCCCATTACAGCTTTTTTATCGATTTCTCTTGTTTATTTCATTTTTAAGTTCTAATTCTCCAGAGAAACACCCACTATGGATACTATATCGAGGAGGAAATTTCATAAACAGTTATAAAAAATATATAAAATATACATACCGGTCCATTTGCTTCACTGAAGTAGTTCTTTCTAAACCTAATCTGAATGGTGGTAGAGCTCTTGCAAACTTCAGTAGGAACCACTTGCATGCTAGGTTTCGGTGGTGCCAGAATAGGCATTTTCTGTTTCCAAATAGTCTCAGGGCCAAAGCCAATCTTTGTTTCAGCTTGGATTTTGAAGATATACGTCCTACCGGGTATTAACTGGCTGATAACACCTCTGTATTCATGCGGACCGAAGTCCTTGGAGGAAGTATGCAGCGATCCCTGGAAAACGGCATACATGTATTTATACAATCTGAACATCACAAAAGAAAATACACAATTTTAATTTCTGTATTTGATTTGTTGAAATTTTGAAATTCTGTTAATAAAGACGTCTCTAGTACCTCATTATACTACAAATACTAAAGACACTAAATTTCCGTCAGCAGCTTTGTTATGGTAATGAACATGCAGTACCAATCTATCACTAATCAAATATGGCGACAAGCCAGTCAGACGTATCGTTGAGTAGTTCCTGCAAAACGTGTAATAGTGTTTTCAAATTAACTGATATAATAGTCCGTTGTGCAGGATTGTGTTTCAAACCCTTTCACCGTCAGTGTGTTGCAATGAAGGATACTGATATTAGTCTCATCGCCACAGAAGGAAATGTTTTTATCTGAACCTGTAAAGCATGTCGTGATCTCATAAGGGGAGGTGAGTCACACCCCTTTTGCAAATTATTTTCGATACCAATAAAGTAAATAGCATCAAGTTGTCAGATTTGGAGGATAGCGCCAAACAATATTTTGCTGCCATATATCCTCAATTGAAATATCTTTTGTCCCCTGCTGGGGTTGCTCTGCGTGTGTTCAAACTACAAGAAATGATAATAAGGTTCATATTTTCGTTGAGCCCTCTGCAGACTTGTAGAACTGTCTTTCAGTCAAATCATCTGTTGACATTTCCCAGTATTTTTATGCTTGAGACTTACAAAAGCACTTATCGTAAAATCGTGTGTCGCTATATACAATCAACTACCCAATGATATCAAAACCATGGTTGCTACTAACTCTTGCAAAAAACGTGTGCAAGCATTTCTGTTAGAAAAATATTACTTAGTTAATTTTGTATCGATTTTATCATAATTTTGAGTTTCATAGTGCATAATAATGTATCCTATATTTTGACATTTCATATCCGCGAGGATGACATGAATGAAAGTTATTGTTATTATTATTATTATTTTTATTATAGGTACGCATCACGGATCTAGCGTTGTCATTTACATTCCAATACTGCAATAATCGTGGTAACATATTATACTTTGTTTTGAAAAACATTATGTATTTTGTGTGCGTTTCATCATTCTATTTGTTAAACCGACAATTTACGTAATATGTTCTTTACCTCCAGCCCATAAGTAATGGAATACTTCCTTATAACCCCATTCTGTTCTGCTGTAGGTAGCGACCATTCAAACACAATCTCACTGGGTTGGATGTCCACAGGTTCAAACTTCTCCACTTTGCCGGGTACCGACTCCTTGGTGGTAAAAATGGCCGATACAGGCAGCGACCTTCTCAGAATACTGGATTCGGTACCACTACGCACGATCACAGTGAATGTGTAGTTCCTGTGAGGCTTTAGGTCGTTTATGGTGATCGAATTGTGCAGGGTTAAGTTCTGGAGGAAAGCGTTTTCAGTGGTCAAGTATTGCACCTCGAAAGCGTTGTATTCTCCGCGGGGTGAGTCCCATGTGAGGGTTATTTCTGTATCGGAAATGTGGGTGGTGTTTATGCCGGTTATTGGTTCGGGATCTGGAAGAAAGCGTATACGAATAAATAATTCATTATTTCTTAGCTTGAATAAAACATTCTGATACTTTATTGAGTATTTATAAAACATATGGTAATTTTTTTGGACTATTCTATCGTTTGACGCTTTTTAACAAATTATTCTGAAATCAACTTTTATTAACAAAAATTACAGATGGAGCTCCTTAGTCTTCAAATCTGTTCAAAATGATTAGGTAGGTTATACGGTTCTAATCGACTCTTAATAGAATGTCAAACTTTTTCAAATGCAACAAAATCGTTTCTCAACACATCCAATGATATCAGCATGTTTCCGTTAAGGTCTCTAGTGACCTTCGTGTATTTGAGATTCCAGCAGACTATGAGAAAGTGAGTTATGTTGCATTCTAGCACGAGGTGCATAGTTATTTCGAACAATAAAAAATTACACCTCAATTTAACTTTATACATTAGATATCCATCATATCCATGTCTGACATCTGATAGATATCCGATGGATATGCAGAATTTCCGAGAATTTCAGGATATCCATGAAATAGCTATAATAAATTTAATAACATTAAAATTAGTACTTACACAACCTATCTTGCCTTTGTAACGGCTGACTAGCGACATCGTGTGAAACGGTCCAAACAGTAATGTTATACAGTCTTCCAGGAATGAGACCGGTGAACGTGACCAAGCGATCAGAATCATTGGCCAATTTCTCTTGATCTGGAATGCCAGGTTCTGACAACGAAAATCGGTATCGATCGAATTTAGATGATGTTTGAGGTGTAGGAGTGTACCTCAGACTGATGGTATCTGTTGACTGTTGGTTGTTCACCACGACGACTTCTGACTGGATCAGAGGCACTGAAAATAGATAGGAATAACGTCCAAAGAGCTCGAAAATATTAGAGTTCAACACATTTAATTCGGATTATTTCTCTCTTAATATCAAATTATCTTTGCCAATACTTGGCTAATATATGTCAATAAGCATATTCGATGGAATCGAGTTAAAGTTTAATTCGACATTCCTGTACTGTAGAACATTATGGATTCTAATATTCCAATTATTGAAATCTGTAAAATTTTGCAAGGTTTTCCTATCATTCAACGATTTAGCCAATGTTTAGAAGATAAGATTCTTTGTACCAAATGATCATTTGACCATTGATTGACATAAGTCACCGGAAGATACTGTAGCGCCCTCGTAACTAGGTGTTTCTGAGTACATCGGCGCTTAGGCAACCACAATTATGTACAGCGCGAACATTAGTCACGCTTCCAGATATACGGTGAGGTTCAACTTTGGCTGACGTCATAGTGTGTACGAGAGAGAAGCGTACAATATGTATGTTAGAAAGAGAATGCCGATGGCAACGCGGCAAGCTGCAGCTGCGCCCGTGGCCTCGTTACTCGGGTTGCTAGGCAACGAAGTGCTTTTATCTCTTTCTAACTCACGTATTGTACGCTTCTCTCTCGTACACATTACAATATCAGTGTTATATGGATTTCACTGTATACGCGTGCCGAGAGTGGACAGACACAGCTGACGGACAGCGGATGATAAATCGACAGCGCGAAATATCATAGTGCAGTCGACATCGTAATAAATTTGTAATAAATCAGTTGCAAGGGTTGTAATAAACTAGACTTAATAATAGTAAAAATGGTGTTTATGTCACAATAACCAACCCAACTGAAAGCCGTACCCGCGTGAAAATAAGCATAACCTAGATTGACACCCCTATGATTTATGTATACAATTATACAGGGTGACTTGTTGTTGAGTCATTTATTTTAACAGTGAGTAGATCTGATCAAAAGAAATGTTTTTTTTTCCTTTAACATGTTTCTGGTAAAATTAAAGTAACAAAGAAGTTTGAGTACCGCCCTGTCTCAATAATAATATTATGTGCTCGTGTTTGGCAACAACGGATATAATCAGTTCATCGCGTCGGAAACAAAAAAGCGAAAGAATTTGAAGCGATGTTTTTACTACAATGTACAATTTTATTCAGTTGTATTCAGTCAATGTGTCAGTCGGTAACGCGTGAGTGAATAGTGGTGTTTGTTGCGTGGCTCAAACGAAATAAAAAATGGCACATGTTTATGAAAATGCTGAACTTGTGGACATGATTCTTATTTACAAAATGCTGCCGCGGCATCACGGATTTATGCGGATCGGTTTCCCAATCGAGTGCAACCAACCCCTCGTGCCTTTGTTAATGTAGTACAAAGGGCTCGTAAATCAGGTGACTTAAGACCTCACAGGGGAGAGCATGCCGGTGCTCCGAGACCGCACGATCAAATACAGGTCCGCACTGAAATACTTGTCGGGAGGATACTTTATAAAACAAGGTAATTTTTTTTTTATTTTTACACACATATTTTGGTTTATCTTCCTTCTACAATCATTATCTGAAAATTAATGACTCAACTTCAAAGTCACCCTTGTAGACTAGTGTCTATATGTGCCTTGCAACCTCTCGGATTGCTGTGGCAGGGTATGTGATTTCTTTTCCCGTCCTTGAAAGAGTCTGTGAATATGAAGCCTTAAGAATAGTTACGAGGGGATTGAGGAGTTATATGTGGGACAGTGAAGTCTGTTTTTATTACTTCTGGGGGAATTAAGCGATACTATTTGTCAACATTACTGTAACAATGGTAATTATAAGTTAACCTACAAATATACCATATTTTTCGATCTATCTATTTTAATTCTATTGAAACACTCACTTGTCCGTGTCCTTAGAACTGTGATATCACTATCCAAATTGTTAGAAATTGCCTGTATTTCAAAAATATACTCTTCGCCAGGCATCAAATCGCCAACAAGAAGCCTGACTGGTCCAGTGGTACTCTGATTTTGACTGACATTTCTTTTGTGGACTACTGATGGATTCGTTGATTCTCTCCATTTTACTATATACGTTTCGACCCTTCCTTCAGGTCTGGGCCACTCTAACGTCACATTATTCGAGTCTACAAGTGGAACGATGTTGGAAACTGGATTTGGACCTAGAAAATGTTTGTTAAATTTAACCATGTTAAGTTGGCATGGAAGAATATATATTTTGTTCATATTTTGCAGGATGTTGTTTGAGCAGTTTTTAGGTATAACTTTACCCAACATAAATATAGCTGCGTGGATAACGTTTAGTGGTAGAGATAATAAAATTTTAAAAATGTTGACCGCCCGTTCCTTAAAAATAATATTCTTATTAACTAAAGGACTTGCAGATCGCTGAAACTTGTTTTAATTTAGCATAAGCAGATTTACATTCATATTTGTATCACGATATCAACCTACGTTCACGGTGGCATAATGAATCTAGTTGATCTTGCATTGTAATAGTTGTTTTTCCTTATATTGATAAAAAATAATTTTGCATTTAGTTTGTTATTGCTTGTTCGGTAATATTTTAGATATATTGCTGTTGCATGATATGACACGTTAAGCAATAATTGAATCTTGTTTTTTCCTTAATATTAACGAATTTTCAAAAAAATATTATACAGGATAAAAATGTGACAAAACAGGCACATATACTGAATATCAGCTAGATCACAGGGATGATAATTGTGAAACCCCTCACATATCTCAGCTAAACTAAATACTACCTCACTAGATAAACATTTTACCTATTCTATGTTAACAATGCCATGACAGCTTTTTGGAAAAACTTTAACCTTCATTTTATATAGGGAAAATAGATTCTTGTTATTTTTCAACATTAAAGCTGCCATTTTAGTAGTATCCTAAATTTGAGATTTATAGTGTACATTGTTGCTACTGAACAAAGTAAAATAAGATTTCAAAATTATTCGGCAAAATAGAGAAACTCCAACTAAAATTCATTGTATTTCCATATTTCATTACAATCTTATAAAAATAAAAGCCAATGACCCCACCTTCTTTGAATAATAAATACTATTTTTCCATTTTGTCCAAGGGAAATAAATGGCTCATTTTAATATTGTGTACTGTTAATGAAAATCTTTTATATCTCATTATTTCAAAGTACTGCAAGTTGGAATCTTGTAATAAAGAATTTAATAAGTTAGCTTGAAATGGGAAGCTTTGGCGCAACATCATATTTACATACTTATAAATTTTAAAATAAGATGCATCACTTAAATTGAATGCTAAATATAATTTTTGTACTTACGGACAGTGTGATTGAGCTGTTGAGGTTCATTACTCTCCAGACCATAACTGACTGTGTTCACCTGAATAGTGTACCTTTCTCCAGGTGTCATATCAGTCACTTCTGCCTCTGTATTGTGGACAGCCGGTAGCTTTACCCACTGATTGTCAGAGTCAGTGCGATATCTGATGGCATACTCGGATATTAAAGATCCTTCGGGGGCTGCCCATTGAACAATCACTGAGTTGGTGGTCGTTTTTTCGATCGTCATATTGGTTGGGGGTTTAGGAACTGAAAAAAATAATTCGCGTTTAAAAGATATTAGTTCGGGATATTTGGTCCGGGTGGAAGTAGCAGAAAATGAAATTATAGACAAAAACTGAGAGAAATGAAAAAAATTGAAAAGCGTAGATAAAAATAATTATGTATGTTTAGGTTATCGGAGGCTTGAAATCTAGAAGTTTCAACAGTTAAGGGTAAAAAATTCGACCTTTCTGCAAATTGGGAAGATGAAATACGTTTTTTATCTATTTTGGTAAGCAATCGTAATTCAAGTTATAAACAACTAAATTATTAAAAATAACGTGTTCATTTTTACATGTCCACTCATCTACAGTTTATATATGGTGATAAGAAAGGAACTAAACATGGAGTAGCTACTACAATATATTGAGAGCATTTGCATTATGCTGCTGTGATAGAAATCGAGGGTCAATTTGTACGTCTCTATATCTGATAAATTATTCGAAAAAAAACTTTAGGCCCATGGATAACTTAGTTCTACGTTTAGAGATTTACAGTATACCAGATTGTTAAGAAAGTGCCCAAGGTCATAGAAGAGCTCTGAAGAATATTTAAAAAAAAACACCAGTTGCCGAACCAATAGCGTTTAGCATATGTATTGTCGATTTGAGCACACAAAAAGATAGTCGATTTCTTTTCTTTTACTTTTAATATGACCACCTTCATTTTAGTTCGTTTGGAGTGCATATGTATACGTGTCATTTACTTACAGACTGGTTGGAAATATTCATGAGGTTCGCTTCTTAGACTATGTGATATTGCAAAGACTTTAACCAGATATCCTGCGCCAGGATAGAGATGCTTGAGTAGAATTTTTGATTCATTGGTTGTCCTGAAGTTCACTTCATTCGTGTCGTTTCTTATCCAGTGTACCTGAGAAAAACAAATGAATTAGTACATTTATAATGGCAACATCCAAAAGTCGCTACGAGAATATTTTTGCTGTTCAACGAATGCGTACTAGGAGTCTGCCAATTTTGATAAATTTCAGAAGACCAACCTGTTATAATGTTCAGTACTTTAATATACAATGAGGCATTCATGATATAAAATGCTGAAATAGATCAATTCGCAGTGGCGTAGAGTGTGTTTTGACGGCTCAGGTTTGCCCTATTTTAACTATTAGTGTATAAAATTAATAAAAATCAAATAAAGCATCTTTTTAAAATCGTGCGTTCCGCATTTTCTTTCATTGCAAAATATGTTATGCTGAATGGTTAAAACACCTACATTTGATAGCCTCAACGTGGACGACGATCTAAGATACATTTTGATAACTTAGAGAAGCTTATCTGGCAACTGGCATATTACTAATAAAGATATCTTTACAAGTAAAAGGTTTTCCCCAATTTGAAGCGCGCAGTAAAAAAAATGCTGTTTGTTGCGCTTTTTAGTGGACTGCGCAAGAGGAAGGGTTATGTTTTTCGGGCGTATGCATGCGGGAAAAAATTCTATTTCGCCAAACGGTTTGATGGATTCTGTCGAATGAGCTTTTAGTTGTTCAATTCGTCTTCGGGTGCGAGTGGGTATTTTAAAATTCTATAAAAACAAAATGGCAGATTTTAATAGGAAAAAATTACGTTTACCGACTACAGATTAAACAGATTTTGATATATAACATGTGTCTAGATTTGTCTTTACTAAAGTTTTATAAAATCAAAATGGCGGATTTTAAGCACAAACTCCAATTTCGAAATTTCTATTTCACGGGCTACAGCTCAACTTGATGCATTTTGAGATTTGAGGTGTCCTTAGATTCGTCTTCATACGATCGAATCATTATTATTTTTAGTTACTGCAATCAATTAGTTCGTATTTTTAAAAAATGTGCTTATTCCAGTATCTAAGCATTGCGCTTTTATTGTAATATTCTACTTGAAAATTGTCTTTTTAGTGCAAAATTAGGCGAGTATACAGATTATACTAAACAGTTTTCAAGCAAAATATGCTTTATTTACGTATTCAAAATATAATCACAAACATTTCTAGGGATAGCTTTGAAAATATAACTTCGAAGTTGAGTCATTTATTTTAACAGTGAGTAGATCTGATCAAAAGAAATGTTTTTTTCCTTTACCATTTTTCTGGTAAAATTAAAGTAACAAAGTTATAGCCCTTTGGAAGTTTGAGTACCGCCCTGTCTCAATGTGCTCGTGTTTGGCGACAACGGATATAATCCGTCGTATCGGTTCATCGCATCGGAAACAAAAAAGCGAAAGAATTTGGAACGAATTATTTCATTCATTTGTATACAGTCAGTGTCAGTGAATAGTTGTATCTGTTGCGTGGCTCAAACGAAATAAAAAATGGCACATGTTTATGCGGATCGGTTTCCCAATCGAGTGCAACCAACCCCTCGTGCCTTTGTTAATGTAGTACAACGGGCTCGTGAATCAGGTGACTTAAGACCTCACAGGGGACCTCACGATCAAATACAGGTCCGCACTGAAATACTTGTCGGGAGGATACTTTATAAAACAAGGTAAATTTTTTTTTTTAATTTTTTTTTATTTTTACACACATATTTTGGTTTATATTCCTTCTACAATCATTATCTGAAAATTAATGACTCAACTTCATATAGTCTGTTCCACTGCGATGGCCATCGCAAATTACTTTTAATAATTTTTCCCCAATGGGTAAGAATAATTTCAGTGAGCTATTAGCGGGGGCGCTATTCAGAGTTTGAAACAGAATTTTTTGATTTAAATAAGTGCGGCGTTTGCCACCGCCTTTTTCCGTATGCCACCCGGCGCCTTCGCCTCCTCCGTGCCCAAAACACTACGCCTTTACCAATACGATTCAGCACATCGTTTTTTTTACAAACGCTGCAGCAGAAATATGTGTCCAGTTCAACATGTTTCAGCTGCAGGCACACGTTGGACATCATGTGCCCGGCACTTTTGCATGCAACTGCTGTATTGGGTAGCATACTTCAAATAGAATATATTGAGTCATGTTAACCCTTGAGATCTTACCTCATATTGATCTTGTTTCGAATTCACATCAGATTTCCAACTGATGTTCAATCCATCCACCATGGGCTTCAAATCTTCTATGATCGGAGCACTTGGACGCGTGGTAACATAAACCACCCTTTCTTCAGACTGTTGATCCTTTGAAATAGCTTGAACTGTAATCGCGTATTTTCTACCGGGAAGAAGCGTCTCCAAGCTGATCTCCGTCTTGTTGGTAGCGATGGTGTTACTATCACCAATGGTGCTTTCTACTTCGTGATACGATACCGAGTAGCTGTCTTGGGTACTATTCGGATCGGGGCGCCATGATATGGTTATAATTCCTGTTTTTTCATCTGTTTCGGATCTAAGATTCAAAACGGGTAGTGGTTCTGGAAAAGAAATATAATGGTCATTTACCCGGTTATTTATTAGCCTAGGGTGTTAAGCGGGCAGCAAGGGCCTGTGGCGTGAAAATTGAGTCTACTGTGCGAAGCGCCACTGACTCTAACACGCCAAGAAGCATAAACGCTTACAACGCAGACACAAAATTTATATTTACAACCAGTTAAAATCAGAGTGGCTAACTTGACCTTACTAATATATCAATGCCCACTGCCTAGCAACGAATAATGAAGACAGTTCCTGTGGCCCCCGTATTGTGTTCAATGTAAGTTAGTTTAGACATAAGGGGCGTTAAACTTACTTCACCGCCCTAGGACACGTGCCTGTGGGCTCAGAAGTAGGACCTAACACCCGGAAAACATGTACATATAAAGTACACCGCACGGTTATAAATAAAATTAAACAATAATTTAGACTGTTATAACTTCACATTCCTATTTCAAAGTTTGCTATCAAGAGCTGTTTCCATCTCGACCTACATTGAAGACCATAATATTTCCTACATAATATAAAAATATGCTCCCACAACATATTTAAGGATTATTATTTCGCAAATCTGTTTCTTACGATAAATTTAAGCAATTTATTGAACACTTTTTAAGGACTATTAACACTTACTCAATGTTACTTCTGCGCTGACTGGCCATGACGTTACTTTCCCTGAAACTGTTTTCACGATCACAGAGTAAGTTTTGCCTGGTTCCAAGTTGTTAAATTCCAAGTAAGTCGATTCTTCTTTGGGTCTTGGGACAGGAGGCGTTTTTTTGGTTCCAAGCGAAATTTGGTATTTATCGAATTCACTGAAACAAAAAGTATACTTACGCTACATGTACAATAATGCAAATTTCGCAAGTAGGTTGACTCTGACTCATCAGTTCAGGATCAAGTTAAACCCTCTCAGAAAAAAACAGTTACGGACATGTAAAACAGAGAAATTAAGTGGATCGAGTCAGTCAAACCGGCTCATACAATTAGCCTATAGACATTATTTCCCTGTCCTACATGTATTTACCGTCCATCTGGCAACGTTGCCAATTCTCATATCATCAGACGCAGCAGCGCCCACCATGGTACCGCTGCAGAATCAATCGGATCAGTACGCCGGGCGGTGAGCCCAGATAGCCGAAGGAGACACGTATCGAAAACATTTCTTTATCATCATAAGTTTTGCGCGCGTAGAATCACCGGTGTTAGAAACGTATAAATCTACTAATAAAAAAAATGAGATATACTCTTCCCCACCCCTACTACCTCCAACCCCCAGTTTTTAACCCATACAAAAATGTTTTTCTGATGATGATCACAAGCCTCTGGAAAGACAAAAAAGTTTCAGCGATTTTTATGTTTCTTAGTGTTTCCCCCTCTGTCGCGTCGCCACGAACGAATCTGAAAAAAAACTACAAAGCTTTTTCGCCCTCAGCATAGTAGTCACCTCATGTGAAAATGTCATCCAAATCCGAGAAGTACTTCTCAAGTTATAGACGGAGGATTAGTTGACAGACAGACCGACAAACAGGCGGAAATAAATGGCATGGTTTTTCGTGATGTACATATCGTATAACATCCAAAAAAGATATCTCATTTTCGAATTTTTTCGCGATTACAATACTTTCTCGCAGTGGCGTAGGATGTAAAAATGTCGACATGTATTTAAAAGGTGTTGGAATATAATATTTAATTGTGACATCAAGTGACCCTAGTAGTCGAGGCTGATTAAAAAATACTTGTTGGACATTGAACTTTTGAGAAATATGTACCTCAAAACTGACATTCAAGAAAATTATAATGCTTATTACATGTAGACTAGAATATTAAAAATCCAGTTATAGGAATGCACCTCACATGGAATGTATTTCTTTTTTTGCCTTTTCCGTGTTTTTCGTTATTATCTAAGGATGTTTGAAGACAATCATCGATCTGGAATACCTTGTGACTGTAGAATAAAAAAAATGTTAAACATTTTCGATTTCGAATTCACAATTATATAGCTATTTAAAAAACTTACTGTAAGTTTTAATCGTAAATATTATCTAATTGCGTGAACACTCAGCCTATGACATTTATGATATATGTAATATTTGCTAGCTGTCAGGTTACCGAACACATAATAGGAAGAAATCAACAAACTAATATAATTAAGCGGCTTTCGACAGTTGCACCTTGCACCTAGAAGATCAAATGAAAGAAATGCACTTTCTTGAACACATAGGTTTTCTCAATTGTTCATAACTATTATGTTTTTTATAATCGTGCTACGATTTTCTCACACATGTATTAAGTTTCTATCGATAGTAGTATAATTCTGTAATGTAATAATAACACGATTTAATTGGAATACTTTCAGTAGCAGTCTTTGAGATGTATCGTATTACTGTTATTTCAAGTTGTTTGAATCTCCTACCAACATTCACGTTGAATACAAACCTTTTCATATATGAATGCAATAAATGGATTTTAGTGTAGATGCAAACTTGGCCAACTATACATACAATTTTGGGCATTCGAATAGCCCTTTGTGGCCTAATGGTCTTTAGGGAGGGCCGCTAATTCATAGTGGATTTACTTCTGGTGGCGTTCTGACGTTGCCGCAAGAATTACTGTTTGCTTAAAGTTTAGGCAAAAACATTTTATCATCTTATAAGATAGCTGAACTGGTAGAAACAGTGGGTATACTCGTAGTCACACGAACCTTACGGAAAATTCAAGTTGCGATGTGGACCTTTGCATCAAGCACAACACATTCTATTACATAATGGGAATTTTAGCACTTCACTCCATATGAAGCTAATAATGCTATAACAATTCAGTTTTACCTCGGTATCAGTGCAGTTGAAAAGAAATAAAGGCAGTATTGGTGGTAACATACTGTATGATATTTGACTTGAAATGAACGATTTCATAACGAACAGCTAATTCAAACAGATATGGAAGAAGTATGTGTAGACATTTTACCCAAAATGCTATTAGCACTTTGAATATTGATGATATGATTGCCCAAGCTTCAGAATGCGTAGAGTGACTAAATACTCAGAAAATAAAAATCATCTTACACTTGATGAAGAATCAATTATAAGTATTGATTTGTAACTATATCAAAATAGTATTCATAATTATGATTACCAACTTACCTCCTTCCACTAGGTGGCTCCCAATGGACAACAAAAGAATTCTTCGTGATTTTATCCCTATCGAACATAATTTTCTGAGGTTTTAGAGGCACTGTTCTATACTGAGCGGTAGTGGGCGTGGATATTTCATCTTCTGACATTGTTTGGACGGAAATGTTATATGCTCTTCCTGCGGAGAGAAGATAAATATAAGAAGAAGGATAAAGAAGACTAGATTAACAATAATTATTTAGAACAATCCGCTTTCAGGTCTGTGATCCAAAATTATTTGAGGCTACATCGCAGAATCGGAAGGTGGCCTCTTCTGCTCAGCACAGTGCCAGTTTAGATGAAAATGTCTAAATAGAAGGTCAAGCATGGCTTCTTAATAAACGCAAACAAGCGCTTTGTAAAAGCTGTTCCCTTATGCATTTTTTGCCTCTTTGTTCTAATGGCAATTCCATAATATGTGAACTTTGTCTTGACCTATTCTTTGATGGCTCGCTTTATTCATTCTAGAAAAACAACCAAAGAAAGGTTCTTGACCTGCTAAGTTTAACTATGTATGAGGGTGTTTTCGTAATCCCAACCAGCTTAAATTTATGAGATAAAGGCAAGAGGAGAGCTGTTGCTGAGGTATCTAGTTTTAGTTTTAAGTTTAGCTAAGGAAGTGAATTTCTATGTCAAAATGTTAGACCGCCAGGGTGGCCACATGCATAGACCCTCGAACTTTTTTCAAAAGAACAAATAAATAAAAATGAGTAAAATTGAGGTTTTTGACGGTGGGGCGACTAAAGAACAGGATCATTAAACGGAACTTTATAACTATTTTATAAGACTGGTTGTACAGAAGTAGAGTAAGGGTCCGGCTAACCTTGAAAAATTTCAATTTTTTTTTTTTTTTTTTGGCTTTAGGACTAAGCCATGCAGCCAGAAACTAGGTTGTATATAGAATATATCTAATTTTGTACAAACACACGACGTCACAACATCCATGGCGAAGGCGAGATTCGAACTCGCGACCCGGCCGGCCGGCTGATCAGTAGCACGACACTCTGACCCACGCGGCCAACCGCGGTCCCAGAAAAATTTCAATAATCGTGGGAAAAATCGGTATTGCTGGATGTGTGTTTTAAGGCGAAATGTGGTAGGGGACATCAATGATTTGTGAAATAAGCCTAATAGGAGCGTAGAATTACTGGAGTTGGAAACGTGTAAATATACTAACGCCTAAAAATTGAGACATACCTTGCCCCCACTCCCTACAAACTCTAGCCCCCATATTTAACTTATCAAAAAAAAGTTTTCCGGAAATGATCATTAGCGTCTGAAACATCAAAAACGAGAGTTTAGGCGATTTTTATTGTTTATGCTTCCATCTCCTCCGCCACGGAATCGATTTCCAACAACTACAATGCTCCTTCGTCCTTGGCATAGTAGTAATCTTGTGTGAAAGGTTCATCCTAATCCGACCGGTACCTTCCAAGTTATAGACGGGGCAAGGATTAGCGGATAGACCCACCGACAGACAGACAAGCCGACGAAAATAAAATACATAGATTTTCCTGATGTAGATGTCATGTAACATCCAAAAAACATAATATCTCATATTCTACATTTTCCGCGATTACAACTTTACCGCCAGTAGGAGTGGGAAGTAAAAATAACGCCCTAGTCGGTGGTTGGTTTGGATAAAGTATCCATGTGACTGTTTTGAGTTTGAACGTAGATCATTCGCCCTGCTGCTGGATCGGTACCTGTCCCGTACTGCGGCAAAAAGGTGGAGTCAAGTGGACTAACTCAGTAGTTGACTCAATGGTTTAATTCTATTTGAAATTCTATTCACCCGAAAATTGAACGCGTCATTAAGGCAATATATGTAAAAAAAAGTCTGGTTTTTACATTTTTGGGCACTTAGAGCACCCTGAAGTAACCAAAAAGCTCAAAAATGTCTCCGCACATTTGTGCAACCGCTGGACATATTCTCACAATCTACAAAGTACTATGATGACATGATAATAATCATATTTTACCAGAATACGAACAATACCTTCTGAGTTATAAAAGCAGATACAGAAGAGGTCACCAAATGAGTGGCATACGATATAGTGTTTTGTGATTTACATATAATCCACATCATCATTTCTGGATTCAGAATGGCCTATTTAATGCGTAATGATCTTTAGGGACAATTCAATGTCTTTGTGGAAACATTCCAAAAAATGAAAAAAGTAGTAATTTATGAAAAAACGACTAAAAATGCGAAAAATGTCCGTGGCCACCATGTAGCCCGCCAATAATTTCAAACAATTGTAGCCTGCTTGATTCTCATAGTATTTTCTCTCCTTCAGAAAGGCTGGGGTATTTCTAGATGTTTACTGTTCCGTGTCAGCGTCTGCGCTTTCCTATTGTGAGCCCGTTTTCTTATTGAATTGTAGGAAATTCCAGGCTGATGTAGCAGAAAATATAAATCAAAAGCATGAAGAATTTGATGCATATAGATATTTGTGACATAACCTCAAAATAGAGCGCTGACACGGAACAGTAGAAAACTATGAAAATCAAGGAGGCCATAAAGGCGTCCTTCAATTGTAGGAACGACTGGCAATACGGCCCTTTGTCTTTAATGTTCAAGATATGTGCAACAGTTCATACAATTTTAATGCATCACTTGGCATACCTGGTACAAGTCCTTTAAAAGCTGCCTGCGCTGGTCCTGGGGGTTCTCCTTCCTTTTCTACATAAAGAATACTGTCATTTGCATCTGGAGGATCGATGGACACCTTGTAGTGAGTGTAAATAGCTGCTGGATAAGGTGGCTGCCACAGAACGAGAAGCGTTGTTTCATTTCGGAACCAAACGATGAATTTTCCTGGTGTATTTGGTTCTGGGAAGAAAACATTTGCAAGTTACTCAAATACAGAAACAAATGTATAGTCATGCAAAAATGTTGATCTTTCAACTCAGTCTGACTTAACGGTATCCCCGTGCTCTAAAAGAAAAAAAAAACTCAACGTTTTCAACTCGCTACGCAAAGATGATGTCACTTGCATATTGCTTTGGATATGTCTAAGATGTCATATTTGTTTAACCAGTTGTACATATTAAGTGTATTGGAGAACGAGAATATTGCCCTTGAGATTATTCGCTTCATAATCTTCCCTAAAGTGTTTTTAAATTTCAATGTGTTTTTGAATCTAATAATGACAATAACATTCACGGAAATATGAAAGTTGGAAAAATTCTTGCACAAATATTTCAGCATGTTGATGTTAATGATGTTAATTGAAGATTTAAACAAAATATATGGAACAAAATCTAATCAAATAACACCTAAAAATTGCTTATTTTTTAAGCCAAATCATATTACGATAATTATGTTATTATTACTTCCCTTTTTATATTTACGAGGATGAAATTTAGTGCATTAAAATTACCATATAACGTCCGTTGTGTATTCTTGTAGAATAAAAATGTATTTTTTACATGCAATTGCTAAATGTTCCTGCTTCACTGGTTATGTGGTACAGTAAATGCAAAATAGCATCACTATCATGTTTGAAATCAATTGCATTTTTTAATCTTACCTAGAAGGGTAAATTCGACCGCAATACTTCCATTTTTTACACCTCAATGCATTGCTGCGTCTATTGCAGTAATGAAAAAAAACTTAATTACATAATAGACTAAAACTTGATATAGTTTGGTTAAACTGGACATTCAACTCCATACGGTGAAAAGTGTAAACATATTTTAAAAACAAATTGTTATAGATCATAATATTAGAAGTAACTGTTAATAGTAATAATTTAGTCCACATAGTACTAGTGAAAATGATATATTTTAATATTAATTTTTGATATTGCAATGTGTCAAGGTGAAGTCGTGTTTTTTTAATATACATTGCCGCCTTGAGAAAATAATACTCAAGAGGTTCTCTTAATGAAATTATGAAAGTAAACTCCAAACACAAATTAACTGCGACCGTGATAGATCTAGAACTTTGAAAGTTCACTTCACCATTACAGGAAACGTTCACTTTAACTATTTGACATAAATACATAATTTATTTAGTTACACTGAAATACAGACATCGTCTATTATGTTTCAGCCGTTTTTAGGAAAATATATATTAATTTTCCCGTGTTAACAATGTGAAAATAGGATCAATTAAATTCAATTCAAGATAATTTATTAAAGCGTTTAGCAAATCATACACTTGTGCTCTAGAAATCGACTATTAAATTTTTTACATCAGAGTATGTTCTAATGTTTACGAGCGTTAATGTTTTCATTGCCCGAACAAATTGCTAGATGCTATCGCTATTGAGTTAATATTTCAGTGAACAACAGATCAAAACAATGAAGCAATGAAGTCTGCATATTGTTTGATGACATGTTACTTGAAAACCATACTACAAAAATGAAATCAATATCCATATACAATTCGAATGTAAGTTCAAATAAGCCTACAAGATATAATAAGTGACATATAAATCCGAACACCCAGTTTAAATGGTTTTATTTTAATAAAATTTTGTATAAGTACTTAATGAAGCATAATAAGTAAATGATAAAAATTTCAAAATGATTGCACTGCTTTAAAGCCCTTTGACCTTTAATAATGTGTGGATGCACCCTGATGTGCTACGCATTCTCCAACGCGCCTAGGCATGCTTCTGATCAGGTGGTCAATGTCCTCCTGTGGTATCTCATTCCAGGCAACCACCAACTCCTCTCGAAGTGCTTCTAGAGTCTGAGGAGGACGTTGCAAATTGAGCAATCTCCTACCCATCATATCCCATACGTGCTCAATTGGGGATAAGACGGGAGATCTTGGTGGCCATGGTAACAATGTGACATCATTATGTTGAAAGAAGTCTATTGTGACTCTTGCAACATGTGGTCGGGCATTATCTTGTTGGAAAGTTGGATCTGCCAGGGTGTCAAGATAGGATAAAAGATGGGGTTCTAGAACTTCGTGGATATAACGCTGCGCGTTCATGTTACCTCTGATGAAGATTAAAGGTGACCTGGAACCATAAGCTATAGCACCCCAAACCATAACTCCAACAGTGTGATGAACATGTCTTTCAACAAAAAACTGTGGATTCCTCCTTTCACCACGTCGCCTTCTAACCCTGGCACGACCATCGTGCATGCCTAAACAAAATCGAGACTCGTCACTAAAGACAATATGTTCCATTCCTGATCCCAGAGTGACCGTTGTCTGCACCACTCAAGGCGATTACGTCGGTGTTCTCGAGTTAAAGGGAGGACCCAGTGTGGCCGGTATGAAAACCAGCCAAAACTTCTCATTCCTCGGTAAACACTTCGCATGCCAATAGGTCTTCTGTGTTCTGCAAACCATTCATTTGCAATGGACCTGGTAGTGGAGAAACGGTCCCTTAAGGCCAATAATCTTAGGCGGCGATCTTCACGGTCTGTTGTTCTACGGCGGCGTCCAGTGCCACTTGCTCTTTGTGTACGGCCTTCTCGAAGCCATGCCTGACAACACCTAACCACAGTATCTACACTTCTTTGCACTCTAACTACAATTGCCCGAAAAGAAAGTCCAGCTTCTCGAAGTCCCACTGTACGGCCCCTATCAAACTCACTAAGTTGACGAAATCGTACAGGTCTCCGTACTCTAGGCATCGTAACCGATCGTAAAGGATGTCAAGAACCAAAATCCGCCAACGTTGATTCTTTACTGCGGCTGAAATATTCATTTTTAGAGCATTAGTGAATTAAAAAAAAAGCAGTATAAAAACCGGAATGTCCAACTGATAAGGCTGAAAATGTTTTCACTTGTTATTTACAGTGAGATAAATACATTCAGCAACTTTTATTAAAATAAAACCATTTAAACCGGGTGTTCGGATTTATATGTCACTTAGTATAAATTAGATTAAGAATATACGTAAAATTTCTGTATTTTGGTAATTAAAGGTAGGGCATAGGGAACACTTTAATTCATCAAGCACACCTCCTGTAATAACTCAAATTAGTACAATTAAAACTCTAACAGCACATACATTCTTCCGTTGCAAACATTGACATCATTGTTGCGGGACACTTACTTGGATCAAGCCAAATTATTAATATTTAATTGGAATTATTTGGTCACAAGCAAAATTTTACAAACTGATAGTGATGGTACAATATTGTTTGTGGGTGGATTTTAGTAAAAATTGGCATGCGTGGAGAATGATAAGTTAAAATTTTCTGGCGTAACTAGGTGTTCTCAAAAAATAATTATTTAGATTTTTAATTTCTATTTTAGTGTACTCGTATGTTGGATACACCGCGAGGGTCTCATAAATTAAACGAGTTAATTATTATATATTTATATTATAGCTTTCAATCGAACTGTCATATCAAATTACAGAATTTGTTGTTTTGCCACATCTCAAATTGTAACAGTATGGACCATTTATACCATAAATTGTTATTTGAAGTACCAAACCGACGATACAGCATAAGGTACAGTTGATAAACATTTTCACAAAAAAGTTGAGTGAATAAGAAAAAATGAATTTTTCGATTAAATATCTATTGTAACATCTGAAACTTATCTGTGGTTTTCATGTCGATAATCCCCCATGTTTGTCTGGCCAATCAAACCACATGCACCTATTTCAAATTCTTCTTTATTGTAGTATACGTTTTGATCCCACCGGTGACCATCTTCATTTTGTAACGGTTTCACCGTCCGATCGTATTTATTAAATCACTTCTCGATTATCATTTCATTAATCCCATCTCTAGCTTTTTTACTTGGAAAAATTTCCGCTTGGAGCGCGCTTGATGCGAAGTTCCTGATCTGCGATCTTCCTCGCGCTTTTTTTTCACTTGAGCCGCCGATCGAACAAGAGCTAAGAATTTTCTTCTCTGTAGCACAAGGTCATATAGCACCATGTGCTAGAAATTTGTAGAATGTGTGTCCGTATAGGACAAAATGATTGGGGCCACCCCCTTTCTCTTTCCCTTTGCCTTTGTCTTTGCTTTTGCCTTAGTCTTTGACTTTGCGTTGCTTGGCCTATCACTTCACCCATGCATGTGCCTTGGCAGCGCCATCGCCTTTAAGTTCAACTTCGCCTACAACTGGTTTTGAAGCCACTATATGTGAGGTCACCCCTCATAACTGGGACCTCCACTTCAAGCACCTGGCCATCCTCGCTTCAGTCGAGTCAAAATGGACCATAAGTTGATAGTTTTATAGCAGCGCCAAAGATGTAAAACTTATTTTGTTCTTTAACTGTAAAATTGTAATGTAATGCAAATGCTTTTTTTGTTAAATAAAATCTGTTAAATTTTTGTGTTCTGTTTGTTCTTCTATCCTCTAGCCATGCCATGGTCGACACACAGCTACACGCCTGTAGATGTCTTCATGCCACCGACTGAGCTACCGGAAGCTAATGGTAACCCCCTTTCTGTGATTGTGCAGAAAAGTTGGAATCTTTATTGCATTCCATCTTTTCTGGAGTTTTTGCGGAAAGGAAGCGTTACAATTTCTAAGCTGACACTTTTTTGTCAATTTTGTACACAAGAAGGTTACCTTTGGGACAGAAACGTATTCTACAATAAAGAACAATTTTAAATACATGTGGTTTCGTTGACCAGGCAAACATGAGGGATTATTAAATATCTAGGCAGTTAAATGAGCAGATGGATCCAGGTCTTGGAATAAATACTTGAATCCAAGCACGGTATGAATTCTTATACTTAGGGATAAGAAACCAAATTGGGAAATTTTTGGTGAAACCAGATGTCTGATATCCTGATGAGCACATTAGAAAATCGAAACGTATTGTGTTCCGAATTTCACAAAAGTCGATTCAGTGTCATCCAATATATGACTCATTGGCGATATGGCGATGTATCTTTAGAAACGAAATGCATGTATACCACAAATTCGTTATGGCTCGTTTGTCTGTACTCAACACGTTTTGTTTTTTTTTTGCAATACTTTACAAGCAATGTCACCGCTGCAAAACCAATTATTACTCATCAACATCAAAATATATGTAAATATTTCTTATACTGGAATTGGTAAATATGAGCATTATGATAATAAAGATCGATGGGAGGGATAAGACGAGGCCAAACATAGAAAGTTTGGTTCTCGAATATCATTACCAAAAATGTCTATAAAAAAATCGAATATACGACGCTTACTTGTGGTAAAATTCCTAGAAGTATAAGCCGCGCTCTCCTTATTCTCAAAAACGGTAAATGCTTGCACTTGGTAGGTGGCTCCTGGAATGAGGTCTTTCAGGACATACTGCGTGCCGTCGATGTTATCGATCGTAGTAGGCTGCGGTTTCTGGTCGGCAATGTGTACCAAAGGGTTGATCTTCAGCTTGAAACTCGTAAAGCTGCCGTGCGCAGGTGGGTTCCATGATATGATAGCAGTCTTGCCACTTTTTACTTGTACTGTGAGGCCTGATGGTGGGTCCGGAACTGCAAAAGGAGATACATAATCAAGACTGTCACCTATGTGTAGTTAGCTAATAGCGGTACTATCGACGCCTCCGTATGGTAACAGGGAACCACAGTTGAAGCCGGACAAGGGCGTCCCAACGTCACTCAGGGGAGTAAGTAGTATAGACTATACCAAAACTGATGATTGCTAAAAAGCATGAAACAAAGTTGTATACAGTTTTTGAAGGTCGAAACGACGGAAAATAAACAGACCCTATTTACCCTGTGAATGGTCATAATGCAGGATTTTTTCTTATGCTATGGTTGCTGCTAATATAGTTTTTAAGCTTTTGTATAAATATATTATATATACAATTTCCCGGTATCTCTGAAAGGCAAAGTCGACCTCCACATAGTAGGGTTGCTGAGGATTCCTCTTCCGCTTCCTCATAATGCGGAAGTTCCGCAATATTTTGGGTTCCTCAACCGTTACCGCATCCTCATAATAAAAATGAAAATAATCCTCTTCCGCTATCGCTTCCTCAAAATTTAAGAGGAATTTATGAGGAATTTCACTGCGCATGCGCGTCGCGTATCCATGGTAACTCACACGCCGCAGCGCGATGCCGGGCGGAACGGGTGAGCGAGACCTCCCCTCCCGCCACCCGTGCTTTTCTTTGCTTGTTTCAACTTGTTTTAATTTTATTGAAATAGCAAATAGCAAGCGTTGTTTTGTTTACGCGCGTATGCAACTATACACGCAGTGCAAATAATATAATCTAATAATTTGATTTCTTTTATCAAAAATCGAAATGAGACCGAAGTGTAGTGCTATATGGACGTACTTTAATGAAGTAGACGATCAGACTGTGCGTTGTAACTTGTGCAATCAAACATATTCAAGAAAAGGGCGCGGGACTTCTGGGCTACGGAGTCATCTCCAGTCACGTCATAAAACGGAATATACGGAGTATGAAAAATGCGATGCGGCTTCGAAAAAGGCTGAAGTGGAAAAGAAACGTAAGTGCACAGAAGAAACTTCTCTTCAGTTGGTCAAGAGGCAAGTTACTTTACAAGAGTCATTAATGAAACACCAGTGCTGGGATTCATCACATGAAAAAAGTCGTGAGCTAGATAAATTAATCTGCGAAATGATTGCATTGCAAGATTTGCCTTTCAATTTCATTGAAGGTATTGGTTTTAGACGTTTTGTCCAAGCCGCACAGCCTAAATATGATCTAAAAAAACGTCAGTATTATACTTCGCATTTGTGTAATTACGTTTATCCTAAACTTTATGAAAAGATTAAAAACTTGATAAAAGATTTGGAATACGTGTCTTTCACTACTGACATATGGACAGAGCCTGGAGCTGGTGTTTCTCTGCTTAGTTTTACGGTCCACGGCATTAATGATGGTTTCAAAAGAGTGTCTTTACTTCTTAAATGTGTCACTCTCGAAGAACGACACACGGGCGATCTGGTAGCTCAAAAACTCGACGAAATACTAGAGGAATGGGACATTCCTCGGCAAAAGCTACATGCAATGGTCCGTGACGGTGGATCTAATATGAAACGAGCTGCCCGTATCTCACAAATCGACGATATAGATTGCACCTTACATCAATTACAATTGTGTGTACGTTCAGCTTTGGCGTCTAATGAACATTTCTCAACGCTGTTGGCTAAATGTAAGCAGATTGCGACGCACTTCAATCACTCTATAACTGGACAAAAGGAATTGAACGCCTAGGTTTACCTCAGCTGTCAGTTATCCAAGAATGTGCTACTCGGTGGAACAGCATGTTTTATATGATTGAGCGACTTATTAAGATAAAGGATGCTATCATATTATATACATCGCAACACCCAAATTTGCCGCAACTTGTACCAAGTGATTGGGTAAAACTTGAAACCTGTACGAGGATTCTGAAACCCTTTGAAGAGGTAACTAAATCTTTGAGCAGCACTGAGGCATGTATATCCTCTGTTATACCACTGATTCATGTCTTAGTATGTGCAATGCAAAATTTTTTGACAGAAGATAACATTGGTAATGACCAAGATTGCAAAAATGTCATCCAAAAACTGATAGAAGAGATTAACAACCGCTTCGGTGAGCTTCATAATAATAATCTCTACGCCATCTCTACATATTTGGATCCAAAATACAAAACGAAATTTTTTAATGAAATAACTAAAGAACGTATTGAATTAGCGCTACTAACAGTACTAACATCAACCAGTCAACGCCCAATAGACAATGTCGTCATGGATGTCCACAATCAACCATCCACTAGTTCTGGGGCTGTAGTAGACACATCCTGCCCCACAGCCAGCACTTCCACGGGAAAAATTGTAGATTCAATGTTAGCCGAAATGTTAGCCTCTGAGCTAAATAGTGACGATGAAATTGAAAGTTTACCAATAGAAGATAGATCCGTGGTACTGAAGTTACTATTAAATAACTACATTAGAGAAAAACGAATTAATATGCATGAAGACAGTCTTCTATGGTGGAAAAATAATCCGAAATATTTGGAGCTTTACGGAGCTGTACGGCAATACCTATCTTCTCCTCCATCAAGTGTCCCAAGCGAACGACTTTTTAGCAATGCTGGATTGGTATATGATGAGCTAAGAAACCGGTTGTCAGGGGAAACAGCGTTCAAATTAATTTTTATAAAAATTAACCTCCCTATAATTAAGTTTGATTATTAGTATTCAGTTCTTTTATTTTGACAGTTAATATTCGACTTAAGCAATTAATAAAGAAATAAAGACTGCATATTTATTTTCATTTCAATTCCTAAATAAAATTGTATCATTCACTCATCTTTTTTTTGTGTACGTGTGTTGTGTATGTTACCGAACTCCTCCTAAACTGCTGGACCGATTTTGATGATTCTTTATTGCGTGTCTTTTGAGAATGGTTTAGATTCATAGTTTGGTCCACTGAAAAATGCCCTTTTAATTAATTTTGTGTATGTACATATGTACCTAGTTATGTACAGACAGAACAGCGGCTTTTGGGTTGGGTCCGCTAATATTTATAATTTCCTCTTCCTCATCCGCTTCCTCATCCGCTTCCTCTTCCTCAAAAAATATCCTCTTCCTCATCCGCATCCTCTAAATTTGCGCGTGACAATTCCTCTTCCTCCTCCTCTTCCTCATAATCACTTCCTCAACAACCCTACCACATAGGGTCCCCAGCGTCACTAAGGGTTGTACTAAGTACTAAGTAGTATAGACCTATACCGCACTGACGATTACTGACAAGCATGAAACAACGTTGTATGTGGTTGGTTAAGGTCGCAAAGGTTGAAAACAAACAGATCCTATTCAGCCTGTGAACTGTCATGATGCAGGACTTGTGTTATGCTTTATTTATTGCTAACAGCTTTTTTATATCGAATATATGTAATATGTAATAGCAGCCGCGGTGTTCCTATAGCAGCCGCGGTGTTCCGGCATTTAGGCTTCTGCCTGCGCGGCTGTTTCGATATAAAAAAAAAAAAAAAAATGCAGTGTGAACCACAATTATTTGAAACCCTTGTTATTAGAAAGCTGTCATCTTGAGAATTTTGCAATTTTGACGTAACTTTCGTCACACCCCACAATGTCATCGTGTAGAAAACTGTTCGGTACTGTCAGAGGTTCTTGGTGGGAAGAACGTCTAATTTCATGATATGGCAACATATCTTTTGCCTCAGATTTAGCGATATAACAGCGTTTATAATTTTTCTACGGGGTTAATTAAAGTGAAAGGATTATACATATAATTCCATCACAATTGAGAAGCTGATATAACATACATTATCGTAAACATTCCTCAAAGATGTTCTCTAAGGGAAGCTGTTGTGGAAAGGGATGACTTCTCACAGCTGTGTTTTGCAGATATTGTATTCTAGAGAATGTTTATAGTAAAGTAGAGCAACATATACATACTCTACTTTTGCAAAAATTTGTTCGAATGTCAAGCCAGTCACTTGAGTATGGAACACCCTGTATTAACATAAGCCGATGGTGATGTTTTACGATGACACATCTTTTTACAAAGATTGCGATTACTTTTAATCTTAATGCTTGTTTTTTAAAAGACATGTATGATAAGAGTAAATGCATCTTATCAAAAACAGTTTTTAAGTCGTAGTATACAAAAATGGGAATGGATAAAAGGCTATGACGCAATTATTGTGAATGAAAGCTCCTCGGCATTTAATTCAAATCCAGCGTACCCATAAAGTATTTTGGCGCTACTCAGAAACCATTATAGTAACTCAAAAAACCAAAAGTATCAAAACTTGAGGACATTCTGGAGTTTTTCGTTAAGCTACGGAAAATGTGAACGTCATATGAGAAAAATATTTATAGAAAACCCTTTTTACTCTACTCAGGAATATCTTAACTGTCTTTTACATGTTTTCATTGATGTTGTTATTTCAAACCGTTTTGTTTATTTTATACTATGCTTGTTTATACAGGGTGGCCAATATATAACTGACTGATTTAAATTGCGCGCCATCTTTGATACAGGCATTTCAGTAGGTGGCGCCGTAGTAGTTGTTTAAAGGACATGTGTCCAATTCGTCATGGAGCGCTACACGATCCCAGACCGCGTTCGTATTGTTAAAACGTTTCGCTTAAATAATTAGTTGATTGTTGCAAGGATTCGGAGGCTACGACAAGATTTCGGTCGAAATAATGTGCCCAGTGTCAACACCGTTCGTCAGTTGGTGCGGAAATTTGAACAAACAGGTGAAGTTAAAGACCTGCCGTGTTCGAACTGTTCGTACGTAAATATCGAGAGAGTTCGTGAAAGTGTAGTGGAGCGCCCTGAGTCGTCTACCAGACATCATCGTTCTCAACAAGTGGGTATTCGTCGCAGGAACTAAGGCCTAGTGACCATGACAATACAGTCAGGCAATGTTGCTGCGTATTACCCAAAATAACGATTTTTACCGACAACTGATGATGAGCGATGAAGCTCACTTCGATATCAACGGATTTGTTAATAAGCAGAATTGTCGTATCTGGGGACGTTTAATTTCTCGATTTCGTGGTGTTAACTGGCCAACAAGGTCATCGGATTTAACGGCTCCTGTTTTTTTTTATGGAGATTTTTGAAAAATAGAGTTTATGACAACAAATCAAATACTGTAGAGCAGCTGAAGAATAATAATACCGAAGCGATTGAAAAAAATATTCCTCCCGAAACCTACCAAAAAGTGATGGAAAATGTAGTCAAGAGGGCTCAGGTTTGCGCGGCTTCTAGAGGCGGACATTTCTCTGATATTATTTTTCATACATAATTTATAAGCTTCAGTAAAAGATTGAGATGAAAAAAATGGACGTATTTTATTTCATTTCACAAATATTCAAGACACAAACCAGTCAGTTACATATCGGCCACCCTTTTTGTCATAAAGCTTATTCTGTTCTCTTCTAACTCCGCCGTCAGTGGACCGATTTCCAAAAACTAAAAGGCGGGAACCTGAAAATACCGAGACACCGCGACTGATTTAAGGGGTTTAAAGACACCTTGTTACTCAGAATTTTGAGCTGCCTAAGGTTAGTAGAACCGGGAAAAACCTCAGGCACATTCCGCAATCTCGACATACCAAGAGCGGTCGTACCGACCAGTTCTGGATGTGCGAAGTTTGGGTGGGTCTTGATATAGTAGTAGGTAGAAACCTTGATTCATGAAAATGCGAGTAGTACGTGATATTAGGAGAGACACTGATTAGCGGACAGACACTCAGCACAAAACAGAGAGAAATGTGTGCATTGGCTTTTTATATGATATCGAAAAAAAATAATATCTGTAAACAATATCCGAAAAAACCTACCGGTGGTGAAGTTAGCTGTCCACGTAAGCGTATTATGTGTAGCGTTAGAATAGTACAACCAGAAGTCATACTTAGTACCAGGTAGGGCCTGCGAAAACTTGATAACGTCCCTGATGTCCTTGGAAGCGATGGTGGTATTTGGTGCCGGATGTCCGAAAGGAGGGTAGTAATCTAATCTGTACACCACGCCGTCCTGACCTAAGTTACCTGGAATGTGGATGACCAGTTCGGCGCCGGAGGACAACTGAAAAGAAGAAAACGGATTAGATAAGAGATTTAGGAATTTTGGTACTTTTGCAATATTATATTTTGTATACTGATTCCTCAAGTACCGTTTAGTTGTTTATTTATAACAGTGCATTCCAAGGCGTTCCATGTACATTACTTTCCAGATCATAAAATTCACAAAAACTTTTTTAGCTACAGACCGCTCGCATGATGGATGACGGATGTTTTCGGAGTATTTTTGACAGAGTCGATGCAAACACAAACTTTTTATTATAAGCATTCAATATGTAAGTTTTTGTGAAAATGCTGTTAAGCTGGTCGACTGTGTACTGCCCACGCAATAATGTAAGAAAATGGCGTCAAGTAGATTGACTCTATACGTCCCACGCCTCTAGTATAATTTTTCATATAGTGCAATGAGACCAAAATATTCATGATGCAGTATCAAAGCAGCCAGTTCCCGATCAAGAAGAGCCATTCTGCGGTCTAAAAATTGCTGACGTAATAACCACTCAGACCCCCATTCTTAAAATGATCCCATATCAGTATACCCATAATCTCGTCGTTATTCGAAAGTCGTGATCACGTCTCGATTTTAAATCACTGATAGCAAAAACTAACGGTATTATTAGATATCCCAGATATTCAAAAAGAACGATATCAACCAAACGTTTTAACCACCATTGCTATTGCGATAAGTATGTGATCGAAGGGCCACATATAATTTCTCTTATTGATAAACTTCTTGAAATAAAGTCACCTAATAAGATGGATTGACAGTTTTTATTCAGTTTATTCATAATTTGCATGGTACCCGATTCCAGAACTTGAAATTGATTTACTTTTATCCTTCGCTGCGAAGATCGTGTGACACACAAGAAGCAATCCACTAAATACATACACGTGTAACTTTATGTATGTAAATACCGACGCATTGTTTGAGTGAAAGACCATTGTGAGAGAACAATAGAGAATTCAAGTTTTAGCACCAAGCCTTACACAATTGAGGTGGTTCGCAATTCCACAATATAATAGCATTTTTATGTAAAGTCGTTTGAAGGAAAATCGATCAAGATGTTTTATTATGTGGTTGAAAAATACACATCCTGTTTTCATTACTATAGTATATAGGGTGGTTCAGAAAAACCAGGCAATATTTCTAGAGTAGGAGGTACATCAAAAATAACAGAAAAAGTTCCAAAAATGTCCTATTAGCAAAATACAGGGTGTTTTAAGGGTTTACGCCACTGATGAGACTGATTAAGGACAACACATAAACATTGTATAACTAACGCTATGGTGAATTTTGATTACTTTCCTAATACACTACATGCAATTTTCAATGTCAAACTTTATTAACTTCAGCGTATTTTCAACGAGGAACAGGTATGCATTCAGATTCGGACAACTGATAAACCCCGTTAAAAAGGCTTTTCGATAATAACACATGGTGATATAATGATCCAGCTTCTACCACCCGAAACTCAATTTTTACCCCTCCTAGTAGTGTTTGGGTCCGGGGGAAAATTTTAGACGTGAAAGAACCTTTATTTTGTGGGGCTGTCTAGTCATTTTTAACAACTTATGTAGATCGAAAAGCTTCACGCTCAAGATACATCTAAAATTTACGGTACAAAAGCTCAAAACATAGGTAGCTTCAAGATTTTACTAACAGGACATATCTATACACTTGGCTGCATTAAAATATGCATAATACATTGAAATTATTTTCACCCTGGACCTCAAAGTGCGAGCTTCCTCTGAATGCCAATAAAATTATTCGACTGTCGGCAAAAATAAATCTCAATGTAACGCAGCCGTGCATTGTCAGAATGTACTTCATACACAAATGCTGAAGTGTGTCAAGGTGCAATTGTATTTAAAATCCTTCCTGTATGAACTCGGAGAATCGTGAGATTTAATTCTACGACGATGCGATTTTATTAACATTTTCACGTTTTTCATATGGATGAAATGAAATTTACCTCTTCACAAACATTAATATTATGGACCAATGGGAAAATACCTTATCGAAATGCAATTTGACGGAAGCTGTCAAAGGTCTCTGAATATTAGTGATTTCTATTGAAATATTGAATAAAATCGTGAAAATTCGACTGTATTATAAACAAGACCAATTTTTGATTCCAACATGATGCTTTTGTACAGAAAAAACAGGACAAATTTCATGTATTTTGATATATGTTATAGGTTTACATTTAACAATCCGTTATCCCCCTCAGCGAATGGGAATGCGGCAAATAATAGGTCGATTTTCTAGCTGTTAAATTTGGCAGCAGATTTGGACGTTTGTTAATGCATGGCACTCTTAAATTTACCAACTTCAATATACTGAAAGTTATCATTACATACCTGTTGAATAGTGTGGATTTGTCTGTATTTTGCAAGAAAATAGAATATAAAATACATTCCATCCAATTCCTCATCTTCCTTTACGTCATAATATTAATTTATGGGTTAATGAATTTCTTCAAAGCAATAAAAACATTATGTCCTTTCCATCCTAAAACACATAATATGTGTAAGACGTGTCAATCCCTACATCTCCCTGATGCATAATGCAATTACTATGGACATAGACAAAAAATTATGAAAAATGTTTCACAGATAATGGCTTTTGAGTCCAAAAATCAAAAAAACTAGTAATGTTTATTGTTTGTCTATTTTTCTTTTTTGACTGGCGGGGATATCTATCTGATACTCGCAGGGTTGCCAAGTCTAACGACGATCACGTTCCGTGGTGGAGGGTGCGAAATGAATCTTTTACATTTGCCGGTTTTGAATTTTTTTCGTGAAAATTGACTAGGTATCATGATTATAAGCATATTTGGTAGATTGTTCGATCCGGAATGGGAAAGATCTCCTATTTATGAAAATATTTTTGGTATCATCTAACCGTTGCAATCAATGCACAAACACTGTGACATATGATTTATAGCAGGGCTGTCCAAGATACGGCCCACGGGTACATGTTTGTATAAATTACTCTCAAATACCGAATATGCACAATTCTTACATTGAGTCTGTAATAATGTTGTATAGAAAGATTTTATAATGCGGCCCTCCAAACTGCATTTTTTTTGAAGTGGCCCTTGGGCGACATTAAATTGGACAGCCCTGATTTATAGCATAACCCGCTGCCATATCAATACAAATTTAACATACAGGTCGCCTAGCCGTGGGGATGCAGTGATCGGGATGAATATCACGGCAGCAACTGATGATTTGGGCATTTCTGGTAACAACGTATGAAGTGAAACTCGCTAACTTCACAAATTTGAAGATTTTGAACAATTTCTTTGAAAATGATGAAACATATGTCTGATTTGGCAGGGTATGTCGCAGCCAAATGGCAGTCACTCTTTCTGACACAGTCCGGATCGAAAGATGACGATACTCGTGAAATGTATTGATACTTCTAAATATAGGATCGTATCGAACATCCCTATTGTCAAGATGTACAACCCAAGGTACCGACGGAGCTATATTGCGGAGTCAAGGAAATAATTTTAAATTTTAATTTGCATTTTTTCAAGTGTTGTGCAATGATTTTGGGAAAAATGTCACGAATAGTCTTATAAAGCATAGTAGAGTATATTTCAACAGTTGGCGGAACTTACTCCACTGGGACCAGGAGGGTGAAACGGGATATTATTGCACAATCTGGCAACCCTGTCGCACCCTCACAAAATGACCGCTGATAACCACACAAATCACCGTGTTGTCATCGAATAGCATGGAATTAAACCTTCATAGTATAATATGTTTTGTGACTGGTACCAAGAGTTGACAGATCCCACACATGTGTCACTCCTTGAAATGCAATAATCAGCTGTATCCAGATAATGTCTAATATAAATATAACCTAGAATGTGTACTCGTGAAAAAAGAAAAATATGGCAAAGTTGTAGTTTTTTTTTGCAGGTTTTAGGTTTGATGGTAGCTTTAAGGCGTATATTTGGGAATTTATTAATCGCTGTGAATATAGTGTGGATGTTTGTTCAGTTCCTGAACAACGAAAAATATTCAACTTTATGGATGTATGGATATCAAAAAACCTGAATGGTTTTGTGGGAATATCAATCAAAGGTGTCATAATGGTTCTGATGAACGGCAAGTAAATGAATGAATGTTTGGAAACGAGCAATATCTTTTGGTAGAGCCTGTCATCAAGTAGGTGCTTAATGGCTAACTGCAAGAGGTTTATAGGAAAAAACACCCAGTATCACATATCAATTGAAGAAAATAATATAAACACGAATAAAAAAATCAACAATAGTAATTAAAAATGAATTTAATTCAAAAATCAAAAATTTCTTAAAATTTTGACTAAATTATGTGTAATTTCTTAATATTCAATAAGTTGGTGATGTTTCAATGACAAGTTGTCATCTCATACTTTGACAGTATTTTGTTTTCAACATTTCATAGCTATTGGTTGCTAACATTTTTTGATTGGAACTTTAAGCTCATTCGCTGTATATGACGGTCTGTTACCCTATAGGTGGAGAATAACGGACTGTTGTTGGTGAAATTGGGCCTAAATCAATATAACTTTGTTTCCGTATTATAATGAATGTCATATTCATTAAAATTGGGATAACTCGTTTTTGAATTCTGAGAAATAAAGTACTGATGCGTAAAATACTCAGGATGGTATTCTGGTTTCTTCAAAATGCTTGGCGCTTTCAAGTAGCTCTGTGAACCTTACTACAAATGGCATAATAGCAGAGCGGCATAAATCAGAAATCAGAACATGGCACGAGACTATTTATTGGGTATTCCTATGGGTACATTCCCTTAACTTCTATCGATACAGATAAGTGAAAATTCTCATATTTTTCCAGATTCAGAGATCATAATCTATTTTTTCAGAACTATATTTCTAGACCAGTTATGAACTTTTGCGTTGAAAATGAGCATGTTATCTTATCGCTTTTGCACATTTGGCTTAATGCTTTTTTCTCTAATTATATACAGTTAATATTCTATTTGTACTATGTTTATTTTGATTAGCACTTGTAAGAACACGTATAGGTACCGTTATCTACCACAACCTTAACCAGCTATGGTAGAAATGGGTATGTTTAGAGTGTTGGTATTCTTACGTGCTAATCTGTATTGACAGTAAT